GTTTTCTTGGAAAGAAGAAGAGGAGAAGAGGTTGAAAGTGGGTTTGTGTTTCTTTTCTTGAGAAAGAGTAGAAATTGGAGGTGAGTGTGTGTTGTGAGCGTGTAAGTGGATGATGCTGATGCTGATGATGAGCGGGAATGAGTACGGAAGGGAGGGTGGCCAACGGGGCTATATATACAGAATCACAACAAGAGGCAAAAGCTGCAAAGGTATAATTATAGAAGCAACCCGTTACAAAAACATGAAAATTCTCTCCCATGACCAAGCAAACGTAAAAACTATCCGATCATCACCGTGTTAAGCCGCGAGTACACACACCAACGGCGGCGGCCCTCGGGATCGGTGGATCCCTCTGGATCGTGGGAGAAGAAAAAGCCAACAAAAGAAAAAGCAAAGCAGAAATATCCACCCGTTTTTTTTTTTTTAATGCCTGCTACATGCCTGTCAACTCGAAAACGTGCAGCCCACGGAAAAGTTTTCCAGGCACTCGGCCGATGGGCCGGTCCACTCACATGGAACCACATGGTGCGCGGCGACGAGGCACGATGTGGCGATCCATCCATCCCAGCTTGCATGCATCGTAAAAAAAAAAAAAAAGCGAAGCGATTGGTGATGATTCGACACCGAAGTTGTTACCACCCATGTTGTTCCCGCCCATGTCACCTGGGACGGAGGAATGCGTAAACGAAGTGGTTCGAGACCATGAACCTGGCCAGGCCCTGCGGCACTGTACGGCTTTACCAATCCCAGTTGCCCGTTTCCCATGCTGTTGAGATGAACGTGTGCCCGTCCGAGACGTGTCAACGGGCCGTGCTGATGTGACTGGCTTCCCTCGTCGCCTCTCATGTCTTGCGCACACGTCTGCTTATTAGCCAGCTCCCTGGCCTCCCTTCCCATCATTCGGCCCGTCGTCCAACGTCCGCAGCCACCACCCGCAACGCCGACACCGACCTCACAACCAGCCTCACGTTTCGTGTCTTCCGAGCTTACACTCGGCGTCAGGTAGCTGAGAGGAAACGAGGCCGTTCCCTTCTCCTCGGGATGGGCAGAGACATTTCCCGGCTGGCTTTGTTTTTCAGCTCTTCATCCATCCTTGTCACCATTTGTCACAGGGACACCAGTGGAGAGTTCATCCTGTAAAAAATAACTGACTACATGCAACACATCACAAGGTCGGAAAGACACACTCCATCGCCATCCATCGTGGACCTGCGCCAAGTGGATGCCCAGGCGGGTCGACCCGGCATGACCGTTCGTCGCTGAGCCCATCGTCGACCAGTCAGCCCTGTCCTTGGTGTAAGTGAGCCTTCGCGGCCCCCAACGAGGACCGTTGTAAAATTTTCTAGTGGTTGCGGTCGCCGCGAGTTTGAAGCCGAGCACCGAGAGCCGAGATGCGAACTTGCTAGCCGCCTTGCAAGGGATGTTGACGCCAAGGCACAGCCACCATGTCCACGTTCGTGAAATCATCTTTGACGAAAAGCATGCCATGAAAGAAGAAAAAATCAATTATCGTCGACGTGCTTTCTACCTACCCATGCAACAGCGCTGTCGCCTCATGCCGAAACACAAAAAAAAAAGAAATGGTGAGAAAAAGACAAAGAGGTATCACAACGTCACCATATTCACCAAAAATACCGCCTTTCCCAAACCCAGTCAAAGGTGCATGAAACAAAATGTCCACCAAAACAAAACAAAAAGAAAACTCCTCCTGTAATAGTTACCATCCGCCTCATTAATGACGTGCTTGGTGTGAGGCCGTCAGCCGAGACGTCGTCGTCTGCGTCTGCTCCAGCTTGGAAAGCTACTCCCGCAGCCTCGCCGCGCCAGCTTCCTCTTCACCCACCGACAGTCGCTCCGACTGAATCGTCCCCCATAGATGCTCCATCTTCTTCCTACAGAAATTGCTTGTTAGCCACAAAATCTCTCTTTCGTCGTGTCCTGGAAACCCCGGGTGTACTTACCACGTCTCCTCCACCAGCTCAATCTGCTCCCGTCGGCAGAGGTTGATGAACCTCGTCATCGTGTTCCACCGCTTAAACGCCACCATAATGTCTCCCCTCGGCTTGTCGTCCTCGAAGCAGATGTGCCTGTCGCTCATCACCAGGTACACCCGCAGCGCCTTGAGGTTCCACGAAATCTTCACCACGTCCTCGAGCCGCACGCTGAAGTCGACCGGCTCGCGGTGCATGCTCCAGCCCGCCGGGTTCCTGTCATCCAAGATCTGATGCTCAAACATGCTGTTCTCCTGTACCCAGCTCCAGTACTGCGTCACCTTCTCCGAGCTCGTAAATAGCCGCGTCTTGATCTGGTAGATTCGGAAGTCGAACTTGCTAATCGGCGCACCGCTCACCGAGTCCGCGTCCGATACCTCGCCCGTCTCCAGGCTGTCCAGCACCTTGGCCGCCGCCTTTTGCTTCTTTCCCACCGGTCCTTGGTCGGCGGCGACAGGCTCGGCCGGCAAGGGCTCAGCACTGGGCGGCTCGGCCCGCGGGCTTGGCGAGCCGTACGATGGAGGGCTCTTGCGCTTGCGCTGGCTCGACGTCGCAGGCACGTCATCATCCACGCTATCAGCCCTTCGCCGAGGCATCTTGATGCCCGAAGGTCGCCCAATGCTCTTGAATCCCGACTTCTGGCGCAGTGCTGCCAGCTTGGGATCGTTGTAAAAGTCGTGAATGGTCTTGGAAAAGTTGAAGCCAGAGCCCTGCGCCGTAATCAGCTCGTGCAGACGTTGGCGCATCCAGTCGACGGGCTCGACGTCTGTCTTGTAGTTGGCTAGCGCCTCGATTGTCTCGCAGAGGCGAAACAGGGTGTCGTAGGAAGTTATGCTGCCCTTGCCCACGCTCACGTATTTCTTGGCGAGAAGCTGATACGGGCTAATCGGTCCTTGCTCTAAAAACTTGAGAATCCTGTTGCCTCGGTTGACTTGGCGTTCCGTATTGATACTTGACGCTGCCAGCCAACATTTTGGACTCTGCTGGCTGCCTCCGCCGACTGAAACTTTTCCTCCCACGAGCGCAAAATCGGCTCCGTCAAGGTTCGCAGCTCGGGCCACTTGGTCTCCCAATATGGATGGCTAGGGGTAATCTTTTCTAAAGGTACTCCTGCGATACATTCAGGATACGTATAGAAAGTGCCGTTGTGCCGTAAGACGAGCGTTTCTTTTGTAATGTCATTTGAACTTGGTGCCGCAAAATCCATTGGGCGAAAGCAAATGGGCGCCATTGGCCGCGGAATCGAGCATTCCGAGGCCGAAGCCTTGGGGCTCCTCCGGTAACTGGTGCTGCTGGAAGCTGTTAGAGATGGGACGGCGCTGGGTACTGGAGAGGCCGGTTCGTACTTGGCAGCCTGATTCACGGCTTTAAACCCAGACATGTGTACCTGCGGCGGACTGCAGTGCGATGAATACGCTTTAACAGTTGCCTGTTGCGCAGCCGCTGCCAGAGCTTCCAGCTCAGCAGGCGAGCTGAGGGAGGGGTCTAGAATGAGCCCTGGTGTTGGTGGGTGCGAACTACTGCGCGGAGGTTCCAAAGCGGGAGGCTTGCGAGCAAGCATGTTGGTCGGTGACAATGCTTCTAAGCCCTGGCAGCTTGTTCCATTCCACTCGCAGTTGCCGCACTTGGGGAAGAGATGGCCACCAACGGCAATACAGCCCTCAAAGGGACTCTCGTTACTGCTGCAGCCGTGGCACCTTTTCTTCTGGAGGAGGCCGGTCGCCTGTATCATACAGGCTATCCAGCCAGTGCCTTTGCCGTCCGCAAAGCTGTAGATACTTGGCCTCGTGTCTTCGAAGAACCGGTTGGCGCTGCGCAGCTTGATAGGCTGAAGGACCGCACGAGAGGATATAGTTGTGGTGCGTTCGTTGGATAGTCCAAGATATTGGAGCTTATCAAGTATAGTGTGGTCGGAGTCGATGATGGCAACTATTCTATCGTCATTCTTGGGCGCCTCCCTAGGAAGGTGCAAGTTTGCCAGCGGCGGCAGCTTGAACTGTCTCTCTGCGGGGCTCTTGTCAATAAGCTCCGGCAATGCCAGTCGCCGTTCGTGAACACCGTCTTGATTTCTGCATCGCCGAAACCAGTCGTTCATTTGGACTTCGATCTTTTCGTGCTTCTTGACCAGGCCTTGCTTCTCCACGCTATGCTGAGTGTCTATACTGTTTAAGCGTTGGGCTTCATGGTTGTATGTCTCATTGACGAGGGCCGTCCGACTGCGAATAGCGGCAAGCTCTCGACTGAGCTTGTCCTCCTTTTCTCTGAGCTCACGGATTTCGGCCTCGACGCCGCGCATGTGAGTTACGATGGATGATCTGTCGTGGTTCCAACGCTGGGAGTGTTGGGAGAATTGGTCGTCGCGCTCAATGGCATTCCTACGCCAGAAGTCGTCTTCCGTGACATCCCACATCTCGGCGCGCTGTGAGGGTGGGAGCGGTGATATGGAAAGATCTCTAAGGTCTGATTTGAGGTTGTCGACTTTTCTCTCCATGGCATCGGGGCTGGAGATAGATGCGTATGTTTGGAGCCAGCCAGGTTGGTTGGCTCCGGTGGCGACGTTGAGTCTATAACGGGTCAGCGCCGCGCCCGCAGTGATGTACAAGCGACCCCTGTATTGCTGGGGTATGATCGATGACTTGACTAGGTACTGAATGGAATATATGAAGGTAACCCTCAGCCCAGTCACGCGCAGAAAAGAGTGACCGTGCTGTTGGCCACGTCTTTTGTGCAAGTGATGTCGTGTGGTAGGGCGAACAGCAGCTGAAGACCTAAGACGTTGCACACGCTGGTTGGCCGTCGTTTGCTTTGTTATCGAGTCAAAACCAGGTGAAGTGTATATCTGTACTTCGTTCGCTACCAACAACAACCCAGGGCCCGACAAGTGGCGGACAGCCTGGTGCAAGCACGTGCCCTGTACTTGATGCGGGGGCGGTCAAGTAGATGGCCAGCGGTGACTGAGGGGGCAGGCGAGGTTTGTGCTCTTTGACAGATTATTGTGATTGGGATATAGTGCAAATCAAAGAGACAAACATACGTTGCGGGAGGGGTGTGTGTGGCAGAGTGACACTAGAGCGTTGTGGAAGGGGTGATGGGCGAGGGGGGGGATAGGTGGCGATGGGGAAAGAAAAGAAGTCCAGGATCGGCAGAGACACAAGAAAAAAGGGGGGTTAGCATCGTGAAGAAGAAAAATGAGCCAGGCAACAGCAGATATGATACAAACGGCGACCATATTGCACTCAACCAACAAGAAGTGGGTCATTTCGGAAGCCAGAAGCCGGTCCGTGATGCAAGCCAGCTGGCAAGATAGAGTGGCCGCGGAAAATATTAATAAAGATTTTTCTCCTTGGCTATTTTCTTCATTTATTGTGTTTTTGCTTGATTGCCAGTATCCAGTTTCAAGTTGTCAGGGTCATAACTAGAGTTGATCTCCGATAGGCGCTCCTAGCCAACAGACGTGGGGGGCCCTAGAGCTTACAGTACATAGCTCAGCCAGCTGTTGGCGCGGCCGCCGTTATAGACGAGACGAAAAGTTGAATACCAGCTTTGCTTTCTTTTTGCCTTTTGCATCAGACCAAGCAACGAGCTCGGGTTCGTTTTTTCGCACAACAGCTACCAACATGAAGAGGAGGGGCGCATGGGAGGGTCATTTCTTCCTACAGAAAAAGGTCTTATTAGCTCCCAACTCATCCGCGCATTCTATTCGTTACCAACAACTCGGCACCCAGTAACAAGACGTTATTTTTGCGGATCCCTGGTGGTTGGTGTCACTTTTTTGGTGACGCGGAGCGGGCGCTGAGCAGAGCAGAGCAAGAGGCGCAGGGACAAGGGCAAGCGAGTGCGAGAGAAACAGAAGGAAAAATCTCGCTGCCATCGAATCGAAAGAATACCACGGACCAACCGAGGCAAACTTTATCTTGCGCTCACCTAATTGCAGTAAGGTATCGTGTCTCTCTCTGGGAGCCAACTAACTACTTGCGAATAGCTCCGAAGATGCTATCTTGTTAACCAACCAACCTCCCATCGCCCAACCCTCCGCCTTCCGTCCTCTTTTTCTTTCATTTACTGCTTCCCAACGCCTCCTCCCTCGGTATTTCTCCATCGGGCTCGACCGGGTGACGCCTCCCGTGAAAAAAAGCATCGTCTGGCCCGCGAGCTGATAGTATCCCTCCGCTACTATACACCAGACAGCCAACAAAAATCCGCGAGTGCCGGCCGTAGGTCTTGCACCTCCCCTGCTCTATACGCATTCGTCTTGATCCCTGCTGCGCCCGCCGCCGTCCGTCAGTAAACGACTACTTTTGACAGCGACATAAAAATAGAGCTGCGGACTTTCTAGAATGGGATGGGTGTGATTCACTGCTAGTATGTATCATGGCGGCCTAGGTTCGGTCTAATCCCGCAAGGGGAAAGGCGAAGGTGTATGTATCAGGCGCCTACAAGAGTACAAGATGCTTGCTGCATGCGCCTTAGTATGCAAGCCTCACGAAAGGGACGTCCCCGAGAAGCCCGGGGTGTGGTGTGTTCAGACTTGGGAAGACGAGGGTACCAACAACACTCAACCCAGACAGTAGATCCCGAACACCATGGGCGCACTAAGTGCACGGGGTAAAAGGGCTTTTTCTCTCATCTCCGAACCCGTACAAATAGCTAGTTTGCCCTAGTAGACGAAATGGAGTCGTCCTTATATCAAGACAATGGAAAACGCGCCGCTCTTTTCCCCAGTTATCTCGCGTTATAGCAAGCCACCTAGTTAAAAGCAATCCCCATTGACAAAGAACGAAGAACGGCTATCTCCAACGGCGGGCAGCCACATCAGCGCCAGTAGGTCTACTAGACTTTTTCGTCGCACTGATAATGACAATCCGCAGGAATAACTGGCGCAAGCTCCGCAAGGCTTGGCCCAAACTTCCACCCATCCCCCATCCCATCTCGGCCGGTCCTGGTTCCGCATATCAGCGGAGCGCCCGCACTAGAACGCCTTGTTCTCTTGGCTGAAAGGGTGGAAACATCGTGATTGTGCGCGAATGAATTTACACCGTGGGCAGTGCAATTTTTTTCCCTTCCCTGTAGATTAAAAAAAACGAGGCGGGGGCTGTTCAACAGTAGGACATGATAGACGAGAGCCCTGTCAAAACCACCCCTGCCTCGATATGGATCCGCGGGGGCAAAACGTACAACAACTTGCTGCTGCAGTAGTGTCAAGTATGAAGTAATAGAGGCATTCTGTCACGTTCTACGGCAGAGGCGCGAGATTCACACCGTATGTGTAGTCTGTTCTGTCATGGGAGTGCATCATCTCTGTGCAATGCGGGCGGGCCGCGTCACATCTGTGTGCTGGGCGGCCCCAGCCCGGTTTTCTTTCGATGACGAGGGGCTTAACAAAAAAGTCATAGATCGACCAGCATAGGGTCGAGCCTGGGGTTGCGTCTTTTCTCTCACATGACAGGGTGGCCACTGTGTGTCGTAAGAAACACCAGTCGTTGGACGACGATGGCATGCCGTACTTGGTAGAACAAGTGAGTCGCCTGACGTCCACTGTCTCGCGCCGTAAAACAACGAATCTCGTTCCTGTGTAACGAGGGTCTTGATAATATGGGTTGTCTATTAAGAAAGAATGTTAGGCGTTGTTGGTGCCTTCTCCGCGGCACACCGGTGACCGGTGATACCAGTGGAATGTGGTCTCTGTGGACATACTGCGACATCTTAATGTGAGGTGATATTATTATTAATTACCAGGTACCACTATACACAACAGCACATGTCGCTCCTTTATTTCTTTGTAAGAATATGAGATAAAACTTTGATATTCAGACGAGGCTGTGGGAGTTTGGGGGGGTCTTTGTCCGTATCAACGCACACCCACGCCACATGACAGCATTTCCATCTTACCAACAATAAGACGAAATCATCTTTTACAAGGTGCTCGGAGGCTCCAGAAGTGGATAATGAATCACCATCCTTGTAACCCCGCCCCGGTCAAGAGACAGACAGACGCCACCATGGGCTGCGCCCGGAGGCAAAAATGAAATAAACCCCTTCCCTTTGTACAAGTATGTACACGGCCCAGCGCCAAGACTTGCCGCAAAAAGCTCAACAAGACGGGGGGATAAGAGAGGTGTGTTCGATCTGCTTATACTTAACCGTCGGAGTTAGCAAACGGCTTCTTTTTCCTGCTCGGACAAGGCGCACCGCACCGAGCCACACACAACATCACAAAAACGAGGCGTGCAGGCGCGCCGAGGCCGAGCTGGGAACGTTGGTTGACCCGGATAGGATAAATCATCATCAGCCCCCTCACACCGGCTAGGCGGGTATTTTCATCCCATTTGTTGGCACCTACTTTTCTCGTCTCTTCTAGAAAAAGACGTTAAAAAAGCTCCTTCTTGTCTCTTCCTAGTGGCGCATTTCACCTTGCATAGTCGTCGCAAAAGCAAACGACGGCCGTCCTTCCTTCGTGTCTCGGCAAGGGGGTATGAGTTTCTAGAAAAAGTATCCCCAGCCGTCACTTATTCCACCGTGTTGGGAGCTCTCTTTTGCAAAAGTTCCATCTTCTTCGTAAAAGTCTGTACAGGCAGGTTTCACCGCTCTGTGACTGCGACGGCTGCCTGCGAACGAGGCCAACCAATCCTGACGCCCATCACGCTGCGTATCACGCGCCACCTGCCGATGTCGGTTTGACTGATATTTAAATTCATAGACGTGTAAAAAAAGAGGACTCGCTGTGATCTATAGGCTTTCCTCATCAGCCTATATCTATTTTAAAAGTCGAAAGTGGGGGGGGAGGCTAAACAAATGGCAAACGGCCATCTCCAGCTCCATCTTCGCCGTACTCCGACGACTAGAATGTAGCCAGCCACACACCCCAGCTATTATAAGGGTTTAGTAAATAGACACAAAAAGAAAGTACAAGACAAAGAGGATGCATCCAATGCGCCGATAACGTTTCCGTTATTCTAATGGGGAAAGTGCTGTCTCTGTAACTCCAGAGCAGCGTCAAAACCAGAACCAAAACACCAAAGATTCGCAGGACCAACACAACATGTTTGCAGGCCAATACAACACGTTCGCAAGGCCAAACCCTCCCTTGCTATTCGCATATTCTCTCTTGAGGGGTCATCGGTAGTGGCCTCTAGTACTTTGCCGAATAGCGTGGAGTGGGTGAGTACGGCATGTCGTAGGCTGTCGTCTGCGCGTACGGATCATCCATGTACATGGTAGCGCGGCGATCCTCCTCGGGGAGTAGCTCCTTCACCTCCCAGTTGTTCATGCGTGTGCCCACAGAGAACTCGAGGTCTTCCTTTGTGATGGAATCCCAGTACTGCAGCGATTGTCAGTAATGATGTCGTCATCCCTCTCCACACTTTACATACCTTGTACACCATCATCACTCCGAGAAGGTTGCAGACGGTGGCGAAGAACAGGCCATCCAGGTAGTGGCTGATGACGAGACACAGCTTGGCCGAGAACGCGTAGAGCATGACCTGGCCAACGACGAAGAAGAAGACTCCAAAGGCGATGTCGCCGAGCGGCCAGCGGTCCTGCAGAGTGCGCGTGACGAGCAGCACCTGCATCACCACGTATACGAACAGCTGAATCGCGTTGAGCAGGTACAGCACGACGAACAGGCCGATCGTGTTCGTCGGCGAGAGGCCCGCCCAGCCCTTGAACGTGCCGATCGCGACCAGGAAGGTGATGGCGAACGCGGCCAGCGAGCACACGCGCAGCAGCCACACCGACAGCGGCGTGCCGTCCTCGTACAGCTGGAACCCGACGAATCCGTTGATCAGCAGGCAGGTGACGAGCGCGCTCGCGAGGCCGCTCTGCAGCGCGACAAAGTACGGATACGGCGCGGAGCCCGGCGGCACCACGCCCGCGTCGACAACAAGCGAGAAGAAGGAGAGCAGCATATACAGGTAGAAGAACGTCAAGATCTCGCGGCGGCCCACGGCGGTGAACTTGGAGCGCACGTGCAGGATCATGACGACCGTCATGAAGAGCGCAAAGATGTGCGTGGCCGCCGCGGCGCCCTCGAAGATGATGGTGTTGGCAAGCTCGATGTTGCGCGCGTAGCACGACGGCTCAATGCCGACGTGGTTGACGCCCGCGAGCTGCGGACCGACCGAGGCGCACAGTGGCAGCGGCGCGTTCTCGCAGATGAAGGTGAAGTCGCCAAAACCCGCCATGTTGTTCTGTTGCGGTTGTGCAAGACCGGCAAGCGGGGGGTGGTAGTGGCTCGGAGAGAAGGCGTTGAAGGGAAAGGTCGTCCCGCTGAGTCCCCCAGGCAGAACCGCGGCGAGCAAGGCGGAGTAGTCGTCGAGGCCTTTTCGGTGGTGAGGGAAAACGGACTGTTCGAGGCTTCGGTCGGAAGGAGGCAAAGGGCAAATAGCACGACAGGCGGGGGTTGTCGGTACAGCCAAGCGAGTGTTTTTCGTTCCGCGACAGGAAATTCGTGTCCGTGGAGAGTAAAGCAGCTAAGAACCCTCAACCTCGTGCGCGTCAAATGACTTCTTCTTCTCCCTGGGTATTGTTTCTGTTGTCGTTCAACCCAGTGAGGCCACTCAATCAAGGGGGGTGGCAAGGAAATCTGAGATGGGCAGACGCCAGCCAAAAAGTGGGGCAGCTGTTGCCAAGGGGTCGCCGAAATACCCTGAGGCTGACAGCTTTGATCAGGTATTGAAATCCCAAAATAACGTTTCAAATCGGTGCATAATTGATTTATTTATTAATTTCATTTTTTCCCTCATTCTTTTCAACTCTATCAAAGGGTCGATGAAGTCACATTTCCTATGAAATTTCTGCACATTTTAGATATATACTTAGTAGACTACGCGTCAAAACTATGACCCCGCCGACTTATACCATGATATTATAGAGTATCTCAAACAAAAAGAGTAGCAGGATGAGAGACGCAGAGCTTTCATCAGTTTTGCTACATGAATAAAATGCTACCTTCCTTACATGCACGGATTTCCCCGCTCCATGACGCGGAAGCAACGACAGCAGCCAGCCCGTCCCAATGATGTCGCCCTCGTATTTGTCCCAACATGCCCGCGTTACGTCATTACCAGAATACCCGCGCCGGACCTAATGCATTATACACACAAAGAACTATGGTTAAAGCCATGTCGATAATGTATCTACTATCAACACATCGACCCCTGATTACGTCAAGTACGCCGTTTCTTGTTTATTGGTCATAAGTCACTAAGTCATCGCAAGAAGGGCTTGCAGGGTAAGTCAGGCTCATAGAGCTATGATGAAATTAATCCTACGCCTCCGATAACTGTCCGCCGAGACACGGGAAAAGCAAGAGTAATATAAAGCAAAAACAAATCATCCTGCAGCGCAGTGTGTGCCACGCACAACTGTCTGTTGGCCGTGTCCGTCCGTAGTTGGTGGTTCTTCGACGGGACCACCCATCTTCCCGCGCGCCTTCAGGTATTGACCAACGCCAGTAGTTAATGCTATCCATGCCATGCAATGCAACTTCTAAAAAAGAATATAATGCTACAATGAAGTGCTGCGCAAAATTGCAAGCAGCCAAATATAGGGGCCGAAAAATCAAACAAAAGCCAGGTGATATCTTGTACAATGCAAAGACCGCTTTCCACATGCAGCTTCGCCAGGTGAATAACAGGAAAAGCAAAGAAAAATGTATTCGCGACGCATCAATTGAATGATGGAATGGCATGGGCAGGCCATATCTAGGGGTACACGCCCTGATGCCGGCCTTGTAGCGGCAGATGCTGCTGCTGTTGTCTGTTGTACATGACAAATTCAGGAACCACGCCAGTCCGCACATCGTTGCGTCGGCCTAGAGGCTGATAGTGAATGTGGTTGGGGGGAATCGGTACAGACAAATGGTATTGATCCAAAGATGTCGCGACAGGGTGCAGGAGCCTGTTGACGTGTCGTATGGGTTTGTAAGGACTCGAGCGCTGCTGCAGGTAGATGCTTGGCGAGTTGGCGAGAGGCGTCAGTGCGAGAGGCGTCAGTGCGAGAGGCGTAGGGATGGCGGATCCCGTTGTGTAAGGTTCTACCATCGGCGACGATGTGTATTGACTTAGATGAGCGGGGCTGCGTCGCTTGCTAGGAGTGCCGAGATTCACAGGAGGATGAACGGCGGTTGCTGAAACCGGGAAGTTCGGAGCCAAGGTCGCTGCCGGCATCATCTGCTGCTGGGACTGAGGTTGAGGTTGCTGCTGGTGCTGGGGCAGACCGCCACTCGCTGGGCGCTGATACACAGTCGACATAGCACGCACGGCGGGCTGAAGTGGCGGGAGAGCTGCGTTGGAAGCAGAGGTATAAGACGGAGCTGCGGGCATGTACGGTAACCCCGTTGACTGGGGCTGACTCGTAACAATGCTCAACTGAGGGACGGGTACTCGGGCTTCAATGGCACCGGCAGGCCGGACACTGTTGCTAGGCACGGTACCGAGTGTAAACTCTGGAGCCATCTGTCTTTTGGCAGGATGATCAATAGCATCATATTCGGGGCTTCTCTTGCGCGAAGTAGCAAGGCGAGCGGGCTTGGAAGCAAGCGGTGAGACGGCGTTTGCTTGGTACGTGCGCCAATCTTGCGAGTGACTCGAAGTTGGAGAGAATGTTTTGGCCGTAGTGGGAGTGTACGGAGCCAGGTCAGGCACCATAGATATCATGTTGGCCTTGGGCGACGATATCGGTGATTGGAATACGCCCGCATTGACAGCGACGTGCAGGGGTGATGAAGGTTGACGCAAGGCCTGGTCGTAGTATTCGTGGAAGCAGGCCAATTTGGTCAGCCACAGCTCCCATTCCTCCTTGGAAGCCAGCAAGTTGTATCGCATGTTGCTGAGAAATTCGACTTCCATGACATGGATCTCCTGGACCGCGAAGCAGGATACCTCGGCCCAAGTCTTGTTGGTGTATGTGTTATCATCGAGGACTAGAAAATGTCAGCGTCGTTGGTGACTGATAAACGTCGCAGGCACTTACACTTGTTACCCAGCATCAGGGCAACAGTAAGCAGCCTGTACTCGCTGCCGGCGCGGCCCTTGATCTGCGGAGTTGACATCTTCAATCGATATATGAAGAGGAGCGCAAGTAAGATGACATTTTGCGTCACCTGTGTCGTCTGAAGAACATTCAAAACCCATTTGCGAAACTGCTCGTATGGCTTGGCTAGCGAGGCCAGTCGGGGGAGCGTGGCGGCAGCGGGAATCGAGCGAATAGATTCGGCTTTTTTGAGGTCATCTACTGACTGGAACCAGAAAAGGCATGTCATCTGAGCGGTGTTAGCCGGTGCTGGTAAGCAATGGCAGATATATAAGTTTACCTGTGCGGCAAAGTCTGCCAGGTTTCCTCCTGCTGGGCTGATGCATTTCGGTATTTGGAGGCTATGGTAGATGAGTGTATCCGAGGTTTGCCGGGAGGGGCTCTCCTGGGACGGCATCGTGCCATCTGAGGTGGGCGTAGGTGGGCGTGGCAGAAAGGCAGTGCCTCTCTGCGCATGCTGGGATCTGACGGGGAAGTCGTGTTGAAATGCTTGCTGAGGTTGTGTCGAGGGCTGCAAGTGCAGTGGTTGTTGGACGGATGGAGGCGGGTGGCGTAGATATTGCAGACTCGGACAATCGGCTACCGCAACCCTGGATTTGGGCTGAGGGACAGCAGCGGGATGATTGCGCGTAGCATGGCTGTCGTAGACGGCGTAGGAAGGCTGGTATGTGGCACTCATGTCGTTCGCGGGAGTTGTATAGCAGGCACGAGGTGCCACAGGGCCGCGATCAGACGATGACTTGTTCGAAACGAGAGAGGCGGCCGTGTGAGCATATGAACAAGAGGCGGTCTCGCGCGAAGAGGTGAGAATAGGAAAAGTGCGATGCGGATGTGCAGCTGTCAATACTTGGGTAGGCATGGAGGAGAGAGGAGCTGGGGCGATGTGAGGAGTATGGTGAGATCGAGGCGGACGGGCGGATTCAAGAACGGGCCGGCAGACGAGAGCCTACGCGAGTTGGCTCGTTTGCCCGTTTGTACCTTTCGGCTTGAGGTGGCGCCAATCGCACGAGACAAGGAAGCCGAAGATGAGCAGCTGGAGCTTGGTGTCGTGCAAACGTCGAGTCTGAGTGAAGGCTAAGAAAGGGATTGTCGGGAAATCGAGGTGCGGAAGGCGTTGGAGGCGATAGGCAGGTTGACGAGAGATGGCCTCGGTATCACTAAGCCCGCAGCGGATCAAGGCGGGAGGAGTTCTTTTTTGAAAGGAGGCTCGATCAAAGAGGATGCTTGCCGCCCTGCACGGCGGAGGGCCAATCGCGGGGGAAAGATGGGCGGCGAGTTGGAGAGAAACAAAACAAGGGGTGATAATTAAAAAGGGCAAAAAGGACCTTTGAGACGGGACGGATGGGCAGGTAGGCAAGTCAAGTGCAAGCGGGCAAAGCCATGACGAGACGGCACGCAGGTGTCGAGGATGGAGAAGAAGAAGTAATGGAAGATGCAGTCAAGGAAAGGAAGGGACAAGGTTGGATTATGTCAAGGTGGTGAAAAAGTGGTGACCTGGGCCGAGGAAAGACGAAGACGAAGACGGTCCGCGTGAAGCGGCGAGCGAGCCTGGGGTGGCTCCAAGAGGCTCCGGTCGCGAAGCAGAAGCAGCTGGTGAGCATTGGCATTGGCAGAGAGTTTGAGGAGGGTCTCGGAGGAGTACATGGCGGATGGGCAAGGCTCAGGCGACGATGTGGTTGGCCAAGTGAGAAGGCGGTGGGGGGGGGGAAAGTAGTATTTGGAGGGGTGTCAACTACGGAAGTGAAAAGGTGGGCTGCCAGACTCCAGACTGCCACTTTACCCAGGTACCAGGTAGCCTGGGCGAGGTACATACCTGGTTTACCCAGAAATGCTGTAATCCGTCGTATGGCATCTGGAACTGTTGGCAGTGACTCCATCTGCCCAACATGTTGATGACGGATTGCAAACATGAGAAATTATCTCTGGGTCGGTGCGAGCTTTGTCGTTGTGAGGTCTGCCCCCAAGATTGGTTGCTCCAGATACAGAAAGGGAAGGCATCAAGTATACCTTCGGATAATAAGCAGCAACGATACGATACCTGGGTACTTCCAAGTTGAAACCAGGAAACCTTGCTGGGTCTTTCACCAAAGTGGTGCGGACCCTCCAGCAGCACTCCTCAGCCCGCTTGCCCGCCTGGGGCCTGTCAGAGGTCCCTTTTAGTGTGCCACCACAGTGACCACACCACTCAGCCCACTAACCTGCGCTACCTTGACCAGAGTCCCTCACTGTAATCCACCCATGACCGTGTTACTGCGGGCGCTCTAAAATACAAGGGTTCAGGTGCAGGTTCAGGTGCAGCAGCGCAGATGCTGTGAGGCAGGAGCAATCGCAGTTGATCACTCACTGCAAGACGCCAGCTTAGATTAGCCACCGTCCCATGAAGATTCGCAACGTCATCGCAGCAGTTCAAATCCGTACACCACGCTCATTTATCATGATTTGTCGGTCAATTCTGTAACTCACGATCCTCGCATACCGCCTTGTGTTGTTTGTTGTCTCGCTCTCTCACCACCCCCAAGTTTCCCCTTTCCCTGCTTGTCTCCTCCTCCCTCTCCCGTGCGTGCCACCAGTGACCACCACCACCACCAGACTCTCCGACATCAAATCACATCACCTTGCCCATTGCGGCCTTTCCCTCCCCATCATGATTAGCGCCTGCACATGCTGCTCCGGGCCCCCAGCGCTCCAGCACTCTGCGGCGAGACATTGCAAAGGGAGCGGCCCCGTTCATCATGTACCATACCAACTTTGGCTGGGTCAAGACCGCCTTGTCCGGCGTCGTCGCCTGGCCAGGTCCTGCACTCACTCCTCTTGCTCTTGCCATTCTCCCTTTCATGTCCTCTTTTTTGCCTTTGCGTTATTATTACGGAGTAACTAACATTTGCTTGCCTTGTTAGTCTTAGACGGACCAGCCAGCCAGCCTTCGCTACTCATCATTTCTCAAAATAGAAAAGAGACAGCCACTGAACGCACGACGCATTCATGATTGATTCATGCCACGGCCCAGTTCGCCTCGAATCCATGTCGCGCAAGTACACTTTGTGTTGCCTACCCAGCTCTTCGGTCTACCTAAGAAAAATAAACAAAACTAAATAAACTGCTAGCTGCTGGCCCGCTTGCGCTAGCCTAGCCACTCGCTCAACCACTTCCTCCGCCAAGCTACATTTGACACAGCCAACTTGCAAACTTCCCGTTTCTTCCGGAGGGACATGTTCAAATCGGACATGCAAGCAGCATGGCACAGATGCTCACGCTCACCTACCTCATCCTCGTCATGCTTGCTGCTGACATTAGAGCTCCAGACCTCGGGACCACCTTGACATATTACGAAGTACCGCGCCCTCCTTGATTGAAAGGGGAGGGGACTATGCCGACGACAAAGCACAAGTAATCCGTACCGTCTCTGCCATTATTCCCGCGCTGGGTACGTCTGCTTCGGACACTGAACCCTACCAGGAGCGGTTAAGACGTAAGAGGTTGACTTCGCCCCAATCCAGAAGCGCTGGTTGGATGGAAACGACATGCGTATTCGTCACCACGATATTGTACATCAAATGCTGCCTTGAGAGCAAACGTCTCGTGTTGCGTGGCACATTGATCCATTTCAAACCCTCATCAATGGAATCCATCCATCCTTCGCCTCACAGCCTCCAAGAGAATGAGGCCTCGTCTCCACAACCAGTACCCCGTCACCCCGTAAAGAGAAGCCCAGCCAAAGCCAAACGATGCAAACCATGCGCAGGAAAAGGGCTGGCTGTGGTTGTGGAGCCCGTATCGGCCGGCTGTCATTCATCAACCTGACCTTTCTGTGTCTGTCTTTGCTTTGGCAAGCTCCTTCTCTAATAAAATGCGCCCAGCGAGGCAGCATTGTTCGGGGTGGATGGTGCGGCGGGACGCAGGTGAGTCCTGGACTCAGGCCGCGCCTCATAACTAACTCCTCCTCCCTGCCGTGCCGACCGAAGAAAAAAAAATGAACTGTGCAACGGTGACGAGGCCAGCTGACACGGCCTCCTTGTCCTTGCTCTCTGGCCAGCCTGAGCTAACACGTTTAGCGTGCTGGTGGCATGACGGGCGGGCACAGCCATTTTCTTTGCTGCTGAGTCGCTTGACTAGTTATGTATGATATCCGCGCGAACTCACTAGCAAGAACGCAAAAGCCTTGCCAGGCCCTATCCGAAGGTGGCAACGTCTTGGTACCCCATTCAATACTTGCTAGTCCCGTCATCATCAAGCCGTGCATCATCAGGTCGGGCTCTGGCCGATACCTATCAGTAGAATACCAGTACACGCTCCAGACTTGTCAAAAGGGAAACTCCGTGGCCCATGCATGTGTTGCGGCGTTGGGGCTGCTGGTGTGCGCAATCTAGCAGGAACAAAGTAAATCAAAGAGGAGTTAGCAGTGACAAGCCTAGCGATCCATGAGAAGGCGTCCCGACGCCATTACTCAGCAAGCCACTGGGCCCTGTCAATTATCATCATCACTTCCCGTCGCGAAATAGCCATGTAACTACGGATACTGGTTCTCCATCGTGCTTCCCGAGAGCGCCAAAATCCAGCCAGCCTTTTTGCTTTGATCAGCAAAGTTTTGCCTAGCCGGATGACGCCTTTTTCTCTTCCCGCACCCGCACTTGGTATCTGTGGCACTCGGCATCTGTTATTCTCAGCGCATTTACTCGACAGGGATGGTGCCACAGTGAGTGAGTGAGTGGTGATGTGTGGTTGTGTGGGGGACTATGACTGACCACTTTCCTTGTGACTACACTGACAAGGGCCTGCTGCAGTCTGAATGTGGTGACTAACAACTAACATGGCTAGTTGACTCTATCTGGTTACGTGCTATTAATTGATGCCGGAAGCGTGGCAGCATAAGCCGACTGGCTTTATGAAAAGCAGTAGATCTACACCGTTGTGCGCCATTATATCATTGCGCATATATCTGGCTTTGTATCATTAGTTTTGCCGACTTCTCTTGTCGCATGGCTGTTTTAGGTGTGAGATTAATGCCTTGCCGCAGCCGTCATGGATTACCATGTTTTTTGAGCTCCTCCCTCCCGTTGTCAGTGTTGCACGGCAGCTTCATCAGCGCTTTCCAAAATTATACCCAGCAGGTGGATTAATATAGCTCACTTCGGTCACAAGGGCGAATAAATGGACGTCAACCCCCCCGGTCTCAAGGCTGTTAGCAACAAAAAAAAAAGAACTGGGGAAACTGTGCTTTCGGCAGGGCCAAAACTTGAAGTTTTTTGAAAGAAATTCGTACTGGCATGATGATGCTGGTCCCACAAACGCGCCCGCTGGGCGTTGTTTCCCCTTGAGGAACTCTGGAGATGAGCGAGGGAGGAGGTGAAAGGTCTCATACTGCCGTGTTGCAGGTACCACCAGCACCAGGCTAGTAGTTACTCCGTTGGACTTGTTCGATGGAGAGTTCCGTGCCTCTCTCCTCTCATTCTCTTTTTGCCACCACTTGTCGGGACGCGAAATTGCGGCTTGTAGTTAGACTTTGCATGGGGCTTGGAGAGAAAGCCCAAATCAATCCCCCGCCCCTTGATTCCACTTGGCAAAGAAAGTCTTTGACCAAACTGAGCAAGGCTACGCTACGTGCCTCGCATGGAAGATGCAAGCATTCAACCGCAAGGCAATAGGTTAGAACTTGGGGGGGCTGCGTACCACCAGGGGGTCGCCGAGAAGAGAGGGTCAAGGCGGTTGTCGCAATTGAAGGTTTCCCTTGGCTTGGGCTCGTCTTTTTTTTTTTCGGCACCGCACACCAAACCCTGTAACGCAAAGTACGGACACAAAAGCCTCAGTTGAGTTCAACCTTGGGCCATTATGGAAAGATACTTGCGGGTATGGGCAAGGTCGGCGGCTGCTCATGCTTACAGTGCATCGAATCCTGCAGCCGGAGATGAGTGTAGCCTGCAACGACACTAGGCATGATGCTGGGAAGGGTGCTTTTGGAGCAGTCATTTGTTAGTTATTAGTATCCGTATGCCTCCTGCACAAAGGGCAGCTGCTTGGTTGGACTGGAGACCAATCCAGGCTGTTACATATTGCAATACGTGCAGGGAAGAAGGGAGTGGAGGGAGAAGGGGGGGGGGGGCCGCATCCAGACGATCGACCATTTTGATGATATGGGCCCCAAAGTGATACATTGCAGGTCCAACACTTGCAGGTGGTGGCCGAAAACTAATTCCTAAAAAAGCAAAAACACACTTCTCATACGCCGTCACAAAGATGTGGCAGAGTGACATGATTACCACCCGAGTCATTACGAATAGCAGCCGTGACCAGTGACAAGCCATGACGAGTGGGGAGAGTCCTTGAAAGGTGAACAAAAAAAAAAGAGAGACCAAGCGGGCATCATGGGCATTCCTTTCCAAAAGCACATCTATTATTATTATTATTATTATTATTATTATTTTATTGCTTGCAACAACTCCTTACTTGCTGAGGTCGATGACCGACCTAAAACAGATGACCCTGGTAGCGCCAAAGCTTGCTGAATACTCTGTGGCCAAGACTGAATATGTAAAAGCCCACCCCACGTTTTCGACGGATTTATTACTATCGTTATTTTCATTATTATTTTATCAGGATTATTATCATTATTTTACAGCCCAACAATCTTTACCACCGCCTGACCCTAGGGCCTTGCCTCGCCTGCCCCTTGTTTTATCCAACTAACACCTATTGTTGCGCCCTTTCAGCTGACAAGGAAGGCCCTTTCACTGCATTTCTCACCAAAGGACTTTTTGCCTTGCAGCGCCATCCCTTCTTTGTTGGGCGAACAAAAAAGCAAAACAAGCGTCGTCCCTTGATTCTCTGCGCCTGTGTCTCGTTACTATGCATCCCTTTCTCCCTTGGGCTTGCATAACCACCAGTGACAACCAGTGACCGACATGCTGTCGTACCTTTCCTCTCACCTAACTAATAACTAGGCAATAAGATCGAGAAGGCGAAAATGTCCCAACTAAAAATCCGCATGCACATACCAGGGGGCCCATGCTCGTTGATGATCAGCTCCCGCCACGCTCGTTGAACATCCCCGTACCAATATCAGTAGCACACAACTTCTGGGGCCAGCATTATCAGTTGCAAGAAACCCACCAGCCATGAAGGGCCTCTCCAACATCTCGGGTCTGACGAAAAGGCAAGGAAAAGGGCACAGGCCGCTCGAGCAGCATAGCATCCCCCCTTCCCCCGGTGCCTCACAAAAGCGGCCTTGTTGCCCCGGCGGGAAAAGCTGCCCTTTGTTGCCTTCTTCAGCGCTATGGTTACAATGCAGTCCCGACACGGCGCAAGACACATCTACCTCTGACACACTTTCCCCTCCACCACACCTCCTCCATCATCACCACGCTGGAAATCCTAAAGGACGCCCCGAACTAATAAATGCTAATACTGGCCCGCAACACGACGGGTCCGTCCTGCCCACGCCGCTAAATACGAAGGTGTGGGCTCCGTTCGTCTTTCCAGTTGCGTCCTCGCCTCTCTCTCCAGGTCGTCAACGTTGACGCCTCAGCATTTGCGCATATGATGATGTACAATATGTGGCGCTCATTAGCAATCCGACTTTGCATGCACATTCGGCTGTCGTGGTTTCCTGCATCGCCGACTTCGGCTTTCGATAGATTGGTAGTTCCCTGGCGACACTCCTCTTCCATCCTGTCCATCAGAACACCTCCCCGCGTCCGGAAATCTGGCAGGGTCGAGCGCGGGAGTCCAGTAAAATACTGATAGCCCCAAGGCGGAACACTTGGGCGCAGCAGCTCAAAATTATTTGTAAAATAATCTTGAGGCGGATGGAAAGAGTATTCAAGTACCGGCTGCGCCCTGCAAGGCAAATCGCCAGATTGCAAGCTGGGCCGGCCATGGCATAGTCCAACCTCTCGAGGTCGCTGGACCTTTATGCCTTTCATATGCTCGGGCTTCCTGATCTTCCGTACTTTATAAAGAAGACACGTTAATTCCACGCGCCAGGCACATTGGCTGGAAGGGTAGTAAGCAGCGCACACTGATGGCCTATTCTTCCATCAAGTGAAGCTACTCTGGTACACTGTGCATGCGCTTTTCAAACAGTGCCACTGAGTGTTTTCGAATGCCATGACGAATATTATTGCGCTATCTAGTAGGAACATTTACCTAACTACCCATGTAAACATACGTGCCATGTCGAGTTCAGCAGTACAAATAGTCCATAATAGACTTGGCTGGGAATCACGGCGCTGAAACTTGTGTCGACACATACACTAACTGCGATCATTCCCTCCATTATTCCTCTGAGCCCTCTAGATTCAGGAGATACAGCTTAAATTCATTCGTAATCTCTTCATTACTATTAACGACCGCTGTGGTTCGGGCCTCGGACAATGGCCCGAGGGATGGGCCTCATCAACGGCTCAGTAGAACGTGAGTGATGCACTTTTCAATGAACACGTCTAAGATTATCTTGCAGACGTTACGCAGGCCATTTCCATTTCTTCCACTACTCACCAGGCCATAATTTCTTGTGCCTTCCAGAAACGCCACCGACATCTCCATAGGAATGGGCCGGTGTAGCGACTCAACCTACAGTCCGGGCCACGGTACAGGTACGCTGCAAGTGTTGCAATAGCATGACTCTGTGAGAAACCATCGTGGAGGTTGTGCCATGTAGTACAGATTTTAATGAGATGTAGACAAATTGTGCTTCTGCCGCGACAAGAAGAAGTGGCGGCTCTCTGGTACCCAGTATCGTGGAGAGGATGGGTGAGGGCGGGTGAGATGGACGTCTCGCTATCAAGGTATGTAAATAAGAAGCAGTTTTTGGATGTAGTATGAAAGCGGTAACACAGCTCATCATTCGCCAAACAACGCAGTTCAAGCCCTCTCTTGCTGCTGAACTCTTCTTGAGCGTGATGTCCCTCCATCCTCGCCCTCATCCTCACCGGATGCTACGCAGAGAGCTTAACTATAGCTATTTCAGGCTAAAAGATTATTAACATGATATCACATGAAGCTATAAATAGAGGGGTGGTTCTTTTACTACGACTAATACGAGAGAGAGAGAGATGGAGAGTTGTAAATAGAGTCTCTGCAAGCGTCATTCTAGCTGGCGAGACGCTGTCAGCGAAGAGCGGTAGCCCTCCAAGCACGAAGCGAGATATATCGTCGTACTACAAACATTTAGTAGAGCCTCCGACTCTTGAATGATGGTTTGACACAAACATGCGTAGTCTCTTTCTCGGGAGTTGGAGGGGACAGAATCCCTCCGCGCAGGATAAACCATAGGGTAGGTCGTCGAGTAGAAGTCCAGTTTCATAACCAATGCAATTTTGAGTCAGAGACTGTGAAACATACAAGTACGCCAGTTTAAGCTCTGTTATTGTACCTACTCGATGCCCGAGACTAGGATTTACTGCCCGTGCGCCAGCTCATCCTGTACTTTCTGTAGTGTGCATATAGCTAAATGTTAATGGAAGAAATAGTATCAATGTGACTAAAGAATGAAAGCTTTCGATGAACGAGACTCTTCAGACTATGCTTCTATTTAACGTAATGGGCATCAAGGGCCGTGATGCTTGCCGTTTTGGTCTTTTCTAGCAGCTCAGGCGTATGGCACGAACTTCTATGGCAGAGCCGAATAAAGATACTGCGAATGATGAAACAAAAATCTCTTAAAATAAACCGTCACGGAAATGATCTCGAGGCACTGCTTAGGTCCATAAGATGCGCTCCCGACCTCAGCGCATGCTCACGACTGTGGTAGTTAGTTAGCGCTCATAGGAGACAGGCGAACAAGCGTTTATCCGGCCATGTGCCTCGCACTGATGGGAAGAATCAACACCGGATAATTACTCGCTATTAATAAAAACTGATTCTACTCTATTTACCGCTGGATGGTGAAGATGCATGCCGAGTTGAGTTGCCGAGCCAGTACGGAGACCAGCCATTTACAAAGGAGCAATCAATTGCAATTGAGATGCGTAATTCGCTGTAGTCGGCTGTTTCGGAGATATGCCCCGTGGGGATCGCCTCAAACGCGGGCGCCATGAGGATTACACTACGACGCCCATTTTTTGTTTGCCTGTTATGTGTGTTGACTGACTCATCAGTTGGCAAGCCATGACGGCGAGTGCGTTCGCGGGGTCGCTCGGCGATGATCGCTTAGCGCCGACAACGCCATATTAGTAGTATAAGCAGAACCTTCATGTTGATCAACAAGACAGCAGTCGCTTTTGTATGAATATCTCCATCATACAAGAAGATACCAGCAGCTATGAAGTTAGCCAACACGAACGCGCTGTACGCGAACCAGGCCCTCACCGACAGTGTCGTTGACTACGCGGCCACCCACTCAGAGCCGCTGCCCAAGCATGTCACCGAGTACCACGCCGCGATTGACGCGAGCCATCCGCGTACGGACTACATGATATCCAACCTGCAAGGGCAGTTCCAGACGTTCCTCACCCGCGCCGTCGGTGCGAAGCGCGTGCTGGAGATTGGCGCGTTCGTAGGCTACTCTGCCATGGTGTGGGCAAACGCCGTCGGCAAGGACGGCGCGGTCACGACGCTCGAGTTCAGCGCCGAGTACGCCGACGCGGCCCGGAAGGCCCTCAAGGACAACGGCGTCGAGAACGTGGAGGTGATCCAGGGTGATGCCCTCGAGACGTACGTTGTCGCCCCGTCCCCCCTCCCCCCTCGGGCACTGACTGACTCTCTTGATAGCGTGGGAAAGCTCAACCCCGCGGAGCCGTACGACCTCGTCTTCATCGACGCCCAGAAGACGGGCTACCCGACGTACCTGCGCACCATTCTGGAAAAGTCGCAGCCGGGCGCGGCCGGCGGGCGGCTGCTGCGCAAGGGCGGCTTGATCCTCGCGGACAACGTGCTGCGGCGCGGGCTGGTGGCCAACGACAGCGAGGCGAACCCGTGGGCGACGGGCGCCAAGGAGCGGAAGCCTAGCGAGTACGAGAAGGACACCGACGTGGATGCGCTGCGCGAGTTCAACGACGTGGCGAGCAAGAGCGAGAGGCTGGAGGCGTTCCTGATGCCTCTGTTTGACGGCGTCGGCATGTCGATACTTCGGGATTGAACGAGGGCTCGCATAGTCCTCTCACGCACTTCAGTACGCAGCGAGATTTACGCTGAGGAGCCGGCGGGATGGGCATGCTGGGATGAGTCGGGGAGGGCGTCGGTAGCTGAGGCGAAGCTGGCAGCGAAGCGATTTTGGAGTGGTGTTGGGCCAGGTTGCTAGAAGGGTGCAAGGAAACAATAATTACGAAATTGCGTATTACATGGCTGCTGTCGTCAGCCCAATTGCATGATGCGAGGGCCGAAGGTGAAGAGAAAAAAAAAAGACATGATACGGCGAGGGTGCCGGTAACGTGGTGTCTTAGAATCGCGCCATGTCTGTAATGTGAGACCGGGCCGATCAAACCATCATCTCCCACTGCGACCGGGCGATGCTGCACCCTCTTTGGCATGATAAGGCCTTTACTAGGCTAGTGAATCTTTACGAACAACCAGCAAGGCAGAATCTATGCTTGAATGGAGCATATGATCAAACGTATATCACTAATATACATCTTTCGTCGACAGCAGTGCCTGATCAGACGCGTTGAACATAGCCGTGCTGGCAAGCAAAGTGTCGGCTAGCTGTTACTCGAAGCCGTCTGCCATCTACCCAGCGGCAAGCCACAACTGGACTTAACCAGGTACGGTTAACGAGGCCGCCGTCAGGGCGGGATGAAGCTGAAGCATTGACCAGTTGCGTTTCTCGGCTTCCTCCATTTTCGCAAGGGAGGCAAGGGGAGAAGAGGAGGGAGGGGGAGGGGGGGGGTTGGAAATCTGCAACAGGGCGCGACCACCCACCCCCGTCCGCCGAGGTGCATGCGCCGGCGGCGGATATCATGCAAGCCCCGGGGGCGGGCGGGCACGGGGACGGACGGGCTTCGTCAGTCAGTCAGTCATCCAAGACAAGTGCGCCTCGTTACGATGCCTTGAGGGCCTCAGCTGAGCGGCGTTTTCACACCGTCGGCCTTTGGGGGGGGGGGGGGTTGTGGGCTTCGCGGAACAGAGAGCCGATCATGGGGCCCTCACTGTTGCCATCTATCCACCAACTAATTAGAAGCCATGTGGTCATGGAATCGCCCCATGATATGGGAATAATTATACGTCGACGAAGTAGGCATGTCAAGGGGATCGTCTGCCGAAAGCCTCGGGGTAGAATCAATGCACCTTGGTGGCTGGTTTTAAGCATGGTGTAAAGGTTGTGATTCTCATGGAATTCTGAGCCGACCTCGGGCTTACAGGCACGCACATCCCCAACGCCCAGAACAGTTGGCGCAGAATGATAATACGTGCAAAAGCGGCTCGGTAAATTGCAAGTTCTGACCATGCTTGCGCTGATGAGCCAAGGTCAGCTTCCGGTGTGGTGTTTTGCGATTGTCCGTCACTTATCGCCGAGAATCGGTGAATTACATAAGAGCGCGAACTGTGAAGATGGCATTTAGTATCAAAACCTGCCCGCATCAGTTACGGTTCCATCCATCCGGATAACTGGTGACGTGGTTCCAGCTGGCAATTGCCCGTCAAAAATTACCAGATCGAGCATTGGGGCTGGCTGGGGGCTGATTTTCAGGAGGGCGCGGATTCCGCGAGTACAGGACCGTCAGGGGGTGGCCTGAATCGCGGCCGGCAAGTAGGCCAAAGGGCTGAGGTGGTTGTACATAGGTACATAATAATAAGTGCAGCTTTACACGAGTTGGAGGAAGAAACCGTTTAAGCCGCGGGATTCGCAATCTAGGGAGGCATTGAGATTGCCAAGCTGGAGCGCGGCTGGGAACTGTTGATGAATCAGTGTTGCATTGTCTTGCATTGTCTTGCCAGATCCGTGGCAGACTGCGACCTACCGAGGCGAAGCAAAATAAATCTTGAATAAATTCTGAATACATTCTGAATAAATTCTGAATAAATTCTTAGTACAAGTACCAGAAGTTTTCTGCTTCATTGACCCTTGTCTTGCCATGTGGCCAAGTAAATCTGCAGCACAGTTGTATGCAATTGCTGGGATGCTGGATACTGCGACAGGCTATTGGGACTCGCCTGTAGTGTGGTCTATACATACATAGTAACAGTATCCGTACATGCGCCTCTAAATTATGCTTCCTTGCAAATCGGCCAGCTCTCGCAGGCAGGCGAAAGGAACGACACACCCATCCATACATAACACGTTTACTAGCGGCATCAGGTGGCGCTCTCCTCTCAGCTGGCTCCAAGCGATGAGGCTATTTGCTGGCCCAGACCGCCCCGAATGTGACCGTGATCCCCGTGCGCCCACCTTGCCCAGGCCAATATTGTTATCCAGCAGGCCACAGGCACGCAGAGTAAATTATTAGCCAGAGAGTGAGAGTCAGAGTGAGAGTGAGGCTGAAGTTGTTTTCTGGTGCACCTCACCTTTCCTCCCCCACAATACACCAGGATACATGTCATGGCACCACCAGGGTGGCAAGACAAACGACAGCGACAGCCATACGATGGTTATCCAATGCTTGTTGATTCTGTTGTTTCCACATTTCTTTCCTCCTCTCTTCTCCTCCTTCTCTCCTTGCAGCCTGCATGAAAGCGAAGCGCTAATTCGCGACATGCTGATACCCGTGCAGAAACCACGTTATTCGTCACCCCAAGATGGCAAGATGGGTTGGGGTGTGCGGAATCTATCCGCTTACACGAGTAGCCCAACACGATCACGCACGTACCCAGTATGACCACTGGCAAAGGTATCCATGCTTTCAAGGGTCCTAATAATGCAGCGACAAATACATGCTCCATACGGGCAAGGCGAATTCATCCATCCATTCGAGGTACCCCACGCGCCAGCCAACCACATCCCAGCGTCGGCTCCTCACCCACGGAGGACGGAGGTCGCAGGTCGTTCCTGATCTCGGCCATCCAGGAGGCAGAGACTTGCCGCATGAACCTTGGCTGTTCTCGGTCCGCCAGCGGCGGCTGATCCTGAGTAGATTGGTCTCTCCTGCAACACACGCTACCTGTCATCGAATCCGATGGTTCCCTCCCCAGGCCAAGGCAAGGGAAGGGGGAGGGGAGGGGTGAAGGGCTGTCAACTTGACCACATCTTCTTCACACGCCCTGGCGCAAAACTCCACTGAGGCTGTTTTCCTGGCCCTGGAATGCTGTCAACTCCGTTCTTTGATCTCGGTTGGCTCCGCGGCGTGCCTGTGCCCAATGCCTATTTTTGTGTCTGTCCGTGAGTTAACATTAAATAGGAGTGGATGCCTCGTCTTGTTCCGCGGCCTTGGGACGAGAGAGATATAAACCAAATAGTTGCCTATGGACACAATCCAATCCGATCTCGTCAGCACGGCGGCATTGACTCTTCCGCACATGCCGAGACGCATATGCCATTGCACTCGCGCGGCCGATTATACAACTGTTGCTTCTTCTCAGACGAGCCCGATGAATCGAAATAATTCTCGACTTGTCCATCTCGGTTCAGGCACATCATGACTCACGCCAAGTTTGTCCTTCTCCACGAGGCCATCGCGGCCACGGAAGCCTCCAACTTGATATGCCGAGTCGTCGCCTCTAAGACGGCGCCGTTGCTGGCCGCCGCCCCGTTCAACACCAATCGCGGCGCGGACACCACGCTGACCATGGCAATACCCAAGTGCTCGGCGCCCATCAGACTCTCAGACTTCATGTCCATTGCGCGAAGCCAGGGCGTGGCATCTCAAGTTTCGCACCTGCTCGACTTTCAAGGACTGCACAGGGAGGAGCAGACCATCCTCCTCGAGTGTCGCATGGTCAAGCGCTATCTCTTACCAGATCCCGACAACGCATTCCGCAACCTGATGCGAAGCGACGACTACTCCAAGGACGTGAGGGCGCTGCTGGAGCAGTGCATAGACCGCCAGGGATACTTCGTCACGGGCTTCCTCACCGCGACCGACGACTCGTGGCTGATCGAGGCCACCCAGCAAGAGCTGCACCAGTTTGGCATCGACCTGCCGTACTCCGACTCGACGGACGTGCCAGTCCCTTTCCTCTACCACGACCTGCTCGGGCCAGAGCTGGCTCTCTTCTCCCAGCCCTGCGCGCAGCCGCCAAAGTTCGTCCACGAGCAGATCTTTGCCGTGTCCTACAAGGTAGCCAGGCTGCCTCAGGCCATGTCGCCCGTGTCGCCAATGTCGGCGGGGCAGCTCTCCCCCGTGGCGACTACAACCGCCGCATCTGCTCCTCGTCGGCCGAAGCGAAGCAACGGGTACCATCTGACGTCTCGCCGCACCGAGGAGGTCTGGATGCGGAGCAACATGAGCAGTCCGGAGATGACGCCGTACTATGACGATGGCGTGAAGCTCACCGAGGACGACTCCATGTCGCCGCAGGAGGAAGAAGCGGCTTTCATCATGGTGTGAGAAGACTAGTCAAAGACGCACAACTGTTGGACCAAGGGGCTGAGGGGGAGACAAAAAAAAGCGAGCAACAGGAAGGCTGTCGTCGTTTGAGAGTTTGCAGCCACTTGCAAGCTGCACAGCACTTGAGCGGAGAGTGCTGCCTGCGCCGTGAAGAATCACATGGCCTGATACCATGATGACGTCCGACATCTATGTCATGAGATGATTCGCATTGACTGCGAAATAATTTACACATCTATCTAGACCAGCATACAACTGCGAAGTGGGATCTGCTGGGAACGACCACAAAGAAGATATACCCAGAACAGGCTCTGAGGCGGAGACGGCAGCCCGCAGCAGACCTCCCTGCACCACCCACTGCGAATGCTGGCATAAATGGGAGCAAAGGAGCCTGCAACCGGCCACAGCGACCCGATCAGAGGCCACAGGGCTCGGAAACGCACACAATTGCGCGGAAGGCGAGGATCGATCTGTACACCATCTTGTAAATAAGGCAGAGCCCATAGAGAGACGCAGCGCCGATGCGCGCCGATGAACCAATAGAACACCAAATACCTACCGATCATCACTCGTTATTCCCCCAAGCAGCCGCATAGCATGTTGGGCTCGTGTTAGGTAGCAGTGAGCGCTGCCGATGGACGGAAGCTGAAAGGCAGCTCCCGTCCATGCGGAAACGCCACGCAGTTCGCCTCACTGAGTCTTGCCCCTCACGTCGCCGTCCTCAACCGCGGCCCAACCCAAGAAGAATTCAAATAGAGCATCGTCAGTCGCGCTATCTAAATCCACGGCGTACAGAGCTAAGCAAAAGTTGACCGCCCAAGGAGCTCGCAATGAACCGATCATCTCGCTCCGTGTCCCGCCACCCACCACCTCCCAGATATTATCGTCGTGACAGCACGCGATCGCGCTCCCGCTCGCGGTCGCGACGCCGCTCTCGCGAGCGCAAGTCGGGGTCCGGCAGCAGCGGCGGCGCCGGGCTGTCCAAGTCCACGGCGGGCGTGGCCATCGCGGGCATCGGCATCGCCGCGCTGGTCGCCCACAAGATATGGAAGGGCGACGGCCACTCGGACAACTCCAGGCGCCGCGATCGGGACGGGGAGCGCCGCGGTCGTGACGGGGAGGGGCGCGACGACTGCGGACGGCGAGGGACGAGGAGGCGGGACGAGGAGGAGGAGGAGCGGCCGTGTCGCTCGCTCCAGCAGGCGGCCGGCTGGGCGGGCGAGGATCCGCGCGGCAGCCGGGATGCAGGGCGCCGGCAGGACCAGCGACCGACCGACGGTCGCGCCCTCCGGCAGGCGGAAGACCGGGGTGGGCCGGCGACGACGACCCGGCTGGCGCGCGGCCCGAACAAGAAGCTCGGAGCAAGAAGCGGCCGAGCGTGAATGACGGTCGCCCTCTACGGCAAGCCGACGACCCAGGCGGCGGCCGGACTGGCCAGGAGGCGCGCGGGCAGAACCAGCGGGGCACGGATTACAGCCGCCAGAACAGTGGAGCGTATCATTAGACAGAGACGATGGAGGAAACACGGTACTCGAACAGTCCTTACAACTATATGTATTCTTCTCTATATGTTTTGAATTAACATCTACAATCCCCCAAGTCATCGCCATGCTGCTTTCGAGACGTCGTCAACGGCACTTGCTGACATTGGACTGCTGGCGATGTCATCCTCCATCTCCGCCCATTTCTCCCCCTGCGGCAGGGCCTGCTGCCAGTGCTTCCCGGCAGTGTACATGACCGCCTCCGTAGACAGGACGTCCCCAAAATACTGCTCCCTCCTGGTCGTCCGGCGCTCGCCGCCCTCGAGCGCCGAGTACGCGCTGCGGGTGGTCCGCCTGCGCTTGCGCGTGCTGCCGCCGTCGCTCAGCAGCTCGTTGAGACGCTGCCGGTCCTGCATGAGCTGCTCCTCGTAGTGCACGATGCCGCGAACCCACGGCGCCACCTCCACGACGATCATGGTCATAGTACGATCGAAGACGGAGGGGTCGAGGTTCAGGCTGGCTGCGGCCTTGGGGGATACCGCGATGGGGTCGAAAGCAACGGCAACGTCGTAGCGTGTCAGCTTGCGATTGTCCCGCTCGCTGGTGTCTTCCAAGATGGTGGTGGTCTGTTCTTCGGTGCTAGTCTCGGGGTTCTGGAGAACGGCCGGGGATAGGATGCTGGAGGCAGACCTCTTGAGATTTTCCAGGGCCAAACCTGACAGGGTTGAGAAGATTGGATACCGAGAACAAAAGTGAACCTGGAGCGGATCGGCTTCGAGCAATGATCGGGCAATGGTAAAGTCGTCCTTCGCAGCCGCTGGCATTTCCGGCAGGGTTGGGTCCAGTATCTCGTCAAGTTCCACTCCGAGGACTCCCACCGAACAGGAATCGGCGCAGCTCAGAGCATCGTGATAGTTTGTGTATGCGTTAAGTATCTCGAGTCTTTGTTGTCGACTCATGTGATCCGCCGAAGTAGGGGCGCTCATGCCATTCAAGTCCACATTGCCGTGGGCATCACTCAAATCGCAACGCCAAAACTGCCACGCTTGTTCGGCTGCCTCATTTTCCATGGCGTCTTCGCTTGGGGCGGTCACAATGCGATCGCGGCTGAGCCAACCCATCCCGGTCTGATATGTATCTCCGCTAATGACACGAACAACATGACCCTGTTCATCCAGGTCGCACCCTTTCGGCCAGCGGGGGTAAAACCAATCATGGCCTCCTCTCCGGTCTCCTACTCCAATCTGGCACCAGAATTGCAGGTCCGTGATGGTCCCGCGCAAGTCATAGTCCCGGCGTTGATAGAGAGCTCGAACCGAGTGGCGTCTCAAGGCATGACCTTCATTGGCAGCAATGAGGAGGCAAGTGTCCACAGCGAGATGCTCGGGCGGCGGGAGGAAGCGGAATATGCCATGAAGATCAAGTGCATTCATCGGTACTGCACTTTCATCGCTGCAGGTGAGTATGAAGGGTCGCTTAGACTGGCCCATCAAGGATTGTAAACTCGCCCAGAACTGTTTGTCTTCCTCAAACAAGATGTCAACCTCCTCTACAAGGATAAGAGACTGCTTCTGCGATTTGGACGAAGGACTCCGACCGGGCTCTTCCCTGTTACGAGATATGTTCCGGTGTTTCTTTTTCTTCTCCGCTGCCATATTTGGCTTGAAGAAGGACGTCATCGTGCCTTGCTGGCCAGAGTTAGCGCCTGAATCTTCTTCGGAGTCCGCGGCTTCTGCTCGATGATGCTGCACAAGATGATTGCGCGTCATGTCTCCAACCCTTTCCAGAACGTCTTTGCCACTGCGGCGGGTGCCCGAATTGATTTCAAACACTTCGAACCCCAGCTCTTTTGCAACAGCATAGACCGACGCTGATTTTCCGCAGCCGTGTGGGCCACTGATTAGCACAGTGTTTGATAGTTTAGATGGATCTTTGCCTGCTAAATCCAATGACCTTGCCAGTGAGGGTCGTGAACGGCGAGTGCCATGTGGTGGCCGCTCTTCTAAATCTGAGAGCTCATTCATCTCGCCGCTCTCGTCTTCGCTATCAACAACGAAGTCATCGAGCTTGCTCTTCCGCTTTTTCTTCTTTACTTCGCCTTTTGATTTCGCGGAAGAGTCCCCGGCACTGTCCACTCCCTGAACTCGCAGCATTTCGAGCCATTGTTTCAAAAGAGCAACTTCTCTCCCTGTTTGCAAGACCTCTGTCGCTCTGGCTGGCGCGTACTTGGAAACCCAGGATACGCTCTCGCATGTTGATCGGTCAAAAGCAGAGAGTTGTTGAGCTAGCGATTGCCAGTGACGGTCAATAATTGGGTGCACCGGCTGTGATGGTTGCCGAGCAAGGTCATCCTCATCTATGTATCTGCCTGATGTTGTTATGAGGGCGACATTGGATTGTATTTCGGGGCGTATGCGTTTGGCAAGCTTGCAGCCGCTCTCAAAGTGTCTTGTTGGTAGTCGGAGCTCGGCTGGAGGAGGTGGGAATACATCGTCGTTTTTTGGCAGATTGCGCCTGACGCGTTGGATGTCTAACCGCCGCCCGAAAATCTCAAGAACAGACTCATGTGAGTTTATCGACACTGTTTGTCCTTTTGATTTCTTGCTGTTAAGACGGCTGATTGGAGTTGTTTCGGATGGAGCTCTGCTCGGTGGAGGAGCCATCGGCTCAGCTCCTCGGATATGACTGAAGCCGCGCGGTGGCCAAAGGGGGTGCTTAGCACCGGGAACTTTGACGCTTATGGGTTTGACGGAAAAAGAAGCCCCTTGATCAGATTTAAAGCAGTTTCGTGGCTTCTTTGGCGAGACTGGAGTGGACATGAAAACTGTATATCGTTTCTTCTTCTCGTCTTTGGGCAGAGATTCAGAGCCCTTTTCTTTTGCGAAGAATGGATGCGTCATTCTTGAATTTTCCTGTCGCGGTTTGTCTTTGATGCTATTTTTAAGCTTCGCCTCTGGCGCTCTGGTAGCAGGCCCGATGTATAGTTCACCAGATAAGATTTGACAAATCTTGTCGCCAATTCGTTTGCGATCTTGGGCATTCTGTCCATATTTGATGACAACTATCCTAGAGCCCTTCTTTGAGGACTTTGGCTTAGGGGGCGACCCGAGGGTACCTGTTCTCAAGTTGAATTTCAACACTTTCTTCGGCGGAGCGTCCACAGAAGAAGCTGGCTGGGTTGGCGGGGGTGCGGCGGCGGGCAGAGTGGTCGCGGAAAGGGACATCGTGGGCGGTTCGAAATCAGTTGCCGGAGCTAATAATTTTTGCTCTGAAGGATGCGGCGCCGGCGCGCTGCCTTGGCGATGAGCATTGACGTAGTGTATCATGGATTGCTGTTGAACCACCGCCTCTCGTTGCTGTGGCTGCTGGGGCTGTTGCGCAGACACCACCGACTCTGGCGACGGATAGATGTGCTCCAATGGCGAGATAGCTGCATAGTCGGGATTTTGAGGCGCTGTAGGGTTGCTGATCGTTTCTTGCCTCGTCTCGTGCGTCTCGTTCGCGATGGCCGTGGGCATTGGTATTTGTTCCGTATTGGCATAAGCTACAGTTTTAACAAAGAAGGGGTGAAGCTTTTTCGAGTTGCCATCGCCAAGACCTTGGTCCGTCATCGCCATTGTCGCGAGAACTCTCATTGAAGAAGAGTGGTGTAGGGCAGATGCCTCGAAGGGCGATTAGCAATGCCCTCGTGCAGCACTTCTATAGCAACACCGAGCAGTCCATTAGGTCTGACGCGGTGGTAGCAAGGCCGTCAAATATTTCGGCGGGTTGATGCCATTGACGGGTAGCGCATGAGGTATCTGATTGCAGCACCGTTGCGGAAGTTGTTCGGGGAGAGGAGTATCGTGCGTTGGCGAGCTTAGAAGCGTTGGCTACCAAGCAAGGTACTAAAAGGTAGCGCAGTAGCCGGACGCGTCGAGACAAGTGTGACGCGCATCTGACCTTGAAGAGGTACGTACCGTTTAAGTGGCAGACTGGCAGGCCCCACCTCAGGACTGACCGCCCGGCAGAGTTGCCCCACTCTTTGGCTTTTCTTGGTGATAGAATTTACTTTTTTTTTTGGCCTGCCTTGGAGGCAGAATTCTGGGAAAAAGTTGTAACACTGCTGCCATTGCGGCTGTCTGAATAGCTTTTTTGGCCTTTGAAAATCCTACGAGAGTCGCCATGGCTGCCGAATACAAGATCCATCGACCCTTCACTCTGGCCGTGTTACCGCGCCCGCTTGACCACACCAGAGGCAACATCTTTGCCAGAGAGGTCTATGGCCAAAAGGATGGCTCAAGGAAGAGAAAGAGAACGGAGCTCGTCGTGGGCATAGATGGAGAGAATGCAAGCATCTACGATGTATGAATCAAGGGAAAATTCTCCAAAGATAACTCTGCTAACTTGTCCAGGTCCCGACATCCCGGCAAATTACTTCATACCCGATCCCTCCCCAAGAATCCTTCACCTGCGCGCCGTACTCTGTCCGTATCCGCACTGCCAGTTCCAGCGATATTTCCCGATACACATACGCAGTGATGAGCAGCAAAGCGACACAAAAGATCACACTATTCAAGGACGTCGTCAGCGCCGACGGCAAAACTGTCTCTACAACAACCTCGCAGGCCTTGAAGAGCTCTCCCGTCAAATACATTACCTGCTCCTCCATGCCGTCCCAACAGTCCTCTGTTGGTGATGTGATTCTAGTTTGCAAGTCTGGCGAGGTCATTTCCCTCTCTAGCGAGACTCTCTCTACGAACTGGACCTCTTTTGCCAAGTCTCCCCTGCAAGATACTGTTGCTACCAAGATCAGCGAGCTTGAGATTGAACACGTTACCTCTGGCAGCTTGAATGAATTTACGGATGGACTGCTCAAGAACAAACCTGAAATCTGTAGCGCGCTCCCCAAATCAGTTGAGGCTGGGGAGCCGGAGCTACTGGCTCTCGTTACGAGAAGCCGCACTAAGAAACAAACACTTAGACATCTGATCGTTCTCGCGGCCATGAGGGGCTCGGTATCCGACATCGACTTGGTGCCACTGGAAATCTCGCCGATCCCATCCCACGACACTAAGGAGGCTGTGGCCCTGTCCCAGATCGATATTCCGACCGCTACGCTGTTCCAGTTGCAGAACAGTTCCCTCACTATTTTTGATCTCTCTGGTGCAATTCCAAAGCCCAAACTAACCCTCAATACCGAAGCCGCTACGTCCTTTACCAAGCTATCTCGACCTTTTGTTGTTTCGTCTTCCCTCGAGACAATCACACTATTCAACTACCAATACGGATCTATTCACGCCAAAGTGAAACTGGATCTTTCAGAACTACCAGTCGAGAGCCAACGGCCCCGGTCCTGCCAATTCCTGAGCTACGTTCGCAGCCAAGATATCGCTGTGGCTCTAGTCGACAATGTTCTGGTATCCATTCATGTTGAGCCGCCCACCAGCCATCGCAAGCGTCACCGGGAGGGCATGTTGATCGACTCCATCGGCCGTGGTACTACCCTTGAGGCTACACCAAAGCGGGCGAAGCACTCCAAGTCTGCCGAATTCTCTCGCTACATTCCTGGCACTATGACTGAGTCTTACATGGCGGACCACAGAGCAGAGTTGTCCAAAGCGGACGAGCTGCTGTTGAATAACGAACAGGAGAAATGGGAGGAGTTGCTTCGCGAAAAGTTCCACGTGGCTCACTCTGGCAAAATTGGTGCGGACTCGAAAGTGAGCGAGGAAGGCGGCGAGTGGTGTTGGCATAATGATGGCAGTAAATATGCTGCTGTCGACAGGCGATGGGTGATTTATGCTCTTGGCCAGGTCTTTTCTCTCGAGGCAAACAGCTCCGACGACATGACCCAACACCTAAGACTGGTACTTCCCGACAGCAATGTCACGACCTACTTGGTTGTCGCCGGCCACATGACCATGTCAAATCTGCGATCGACATTTGTGGAAGAACTGAACGGGGTCGACGACAGGGAGATCGCTACTGATCTAATCAGCTGCATTACTGACGCAGAGCCGTCCATGTCACTGCTGCTCAACTATCTACAAGCGACCAAGCTGGGTGAAACGGAGCTGATCTTGGCGATCCGCGCGCTCATGCTCAGCATGGACCTTATACCTGATACGAGAAAGATGAACAGCACGAAGCTCCTTACGCAACAGCCACACGAATCTGGTGACAAATATGAGATGGATCTGGATGACCTGGAACGCGAAATTGCTCTGACGGAGCACTACCTGGGCGATGATTCTAGCAGTCGCTCGCGCGGTCTGACGCTTGCCTTTTCCAAACTCTGGCGTCAACCTGCTATTACGACAGTCAAGGCCCTCCGTACTAGTGTGCGCACGGAAGAGATACTCGCTTTCATCTATCTACTTCGTATGGAGCTTGTCCGTGGAGCCTGGACCTCTCTTTACGTCGATTCTACTGGCCCTGATTCGGAGGGCAACGAATCCCCTCCAGACGGTGTCATCACACTCATCGCCGATCTTCTCGGGCGTTGTGTGGATGCCATTGGCTCCGGGGGCTGGCTGTTGAACGATACCATGGCATGGGCGGACAAGTCGGAAACGGGCGACTTTTTGACGGCGCTCAAACTGGAGGTGACGGCTGCCCTGGAGGGCATCGAGGAAGCTGTGCACATCAACGGCGTGGTGAGCGAGGCGGTGCGGTACGGCCAAGCGGTGCAGAAGAGCGGGGTCGGGCGGCAGGTGTCGCGGACGGGCAGCAAGCCGATGACGATACAGTTGGAGAACCAGGAGGCGCGGATGCTACCGCTGGGGCTCAAGGCGAAGATGTTGCCAACGAAGGAGAAGATCGTGTCCGGCGGCGAGGTTGTGCAACGCAGCGTGAGAGAGACGGGCCACCTCATCAGTCAAAAGGTGGACGCGTATTCGGTAGAGAAATTGGCAATTTAGTTTAGCACATGGAGAGGGCATTTAGGGCATGTGTATATAGTAAGCTTTTGTGTATTTGATTCTACTCCCTCTCGTGCTTTGGCATCCACCTCGAGCCCCGCGTCGCGTAGACAGCGCTGGGTTGAAGCCCACAGACTTTTCAAGATGACGAATCCACCCAGGCACCTTTTAGCGACCGACCGGCCCTCGTCTTCTGGGCAGTGTAAGCGGCACCGCTGGCAGTGCCGATCCCCCATGCAAACCGAGCGGAACGACGTAAAAGGGCCGACGGGTCACACAACTCTCTTTTCAACTGCTGGCGTCCTAGTTGTCGTTGCTGCCCGGCTTTCAGCCACTTCAAGATCGGGATGCTTCAGGAGTCCCGGATTAACATCGTCTTGAGTTCCTTTCGAGCCCTTCCGAGCCGACAACCGAACTCACGCCGCCGTGATGCTGTTGGTGGAATGGGCAGCCCCCCACGCATGATGGTGATGGGAAATGCCGCTGACGCCACGTTGATGCTACCACTATGGCCAATGGTCTGATGGGGTATGAATGGGTTACATTTTGGGGTCCGTTCCTGGGATCTTGGCTCGTCCTTCGTCGCTCCCTCGAGCGAGCTGAAAACCGCAGTGGAGATGGGAAGCTGACTAGCGGTGATGGCCCCGGGTTTGCTGTTTTCCGCAAGGAAGAGCAAAGTTGTATTTATACATCATTTATGCTCAGATTTGCAATGACTCTGCTGTAAAGCAACTCCTCATACTAACAAAACTTAGCCGCGCAATTGAACACTGTGTTGAAAGATGCGTCTCGTTGAAGCCGCCGCGACTCTCGGCCTACTCCTCGGCACCCACGCCAAGCCCTGCCGTGGCGCCGCCGCCTCCGATCTCGACATCCTCGCCGGGCAGCATGTTATCTACTCCTTCCCCACGTCCAGCACGCCGCCCGCCGAGCTCGTGAATCTCACCTCCGCCGGCCTCGTCGGCGGCGTCATCCTCTTCGGCGTCAACGTCGACGCCAACACCGCCGCCGCCATGGACACCCTGCGTAGGGCGTACGCCGCCTCCCCCGCGCCCGCCCTGCTGAAGAAGACGACCGGCGAGGCCGGCGCCATAAAATTCTTCGTGTCGACGGATCAGGAGGGCGGGCAGGTGCGTCGCATGAAGAACGACGAGCCGAAGCTCTCCGCGAAGCAGATTGGCGCGGCCGCGGACCCGGCGGCAGCCGGCAAGGCGGCGGGCGAGGGCGCGGCGGCGACGCTGAGGAAGTTCAACAACAACGTGAACCTGGCGCCGGTGCTAGGCGTGTACCGCGCGGCGGGCGACTTCCTGGACTACTACGGGCGATCATTTGGCAACACTTCGCAAGCGGTCGTCGCCGCCGCGGTGCCCTTCCTCACTGCGCAGCAGGCGGCGGGGGTCGCTGCGACCGCGAAGCACTTCCCGGGGCTCGGCGCCGCTTCGCACGACGCCAACACGGATGAGCGCCCCGTCACCCTCGACCTGTCGCTGGAGGAGATACGGCGTGTCGACGAGGCGCCGTACGTGGCGGCCATCGCCGCGGGCGTGCAGCTGGTCATGCCGTCGTGGGCCGTGTACCCCGCGCTGGACGCGGCGCGCCCGGCCGGGCTGAGCGGCAAGTGGCTACGGGAGGAGCTGCGCGGGCGGCTGGGCTTCCAGGGCGTGACGGTGTCGGACGCGATGGAGGCCGGGTCGCTGAGCGCGTTCGGGGGCGCGGCGGAGACGGCGACGCTGGCGGCGGAGGCGGGCATGGACTTGCTGCTGGCGAGCGCGCGCAACGTGACGCAGGGCGAGGAGATTCGCAAGGCGCTGGTGAGCGGCGTGTCGTCGGGGCGGCTGAGCAGGGCGCAGTTTGACGAGGCGACGAAGAGGATCGCGGCGTTGCGGAGCAGGTTGTGGGCGTAAGCAGGGGATGTGGAATAGAACTGGATAATTATCGCTATTGCTGAGCGTTGTGCTCCTTCTTCAATCGAAACGCTTCCATTGTGATTCTTCGTATATGTGGCGCGGTCAGCGGAATGCTCAGCCCGTCACCGCCGTCCGTAGCTGCCACCATTCCCGTCACCACCTCCTCCTCGGACGCCCACACCCACGCCTGGTGCTCCTTTGGATCCAGGACGATCGGCTCCTGGCTCTCCACCTCGACCTCGAATGCGAACTTGCAGAAGATTTTGGTCCCGCGCGAGTTCGTAAACACCGTCAGCGGCTCCCCCGCAGGCCCTTCGGTGACGCGCCACAGCACACGCCGCGCCATGAGGCCCGTCTCCTCCCGCAACTCGCGCGCGCAGCCGTCGAGGATGGTCGCGTCCGCCGCGGGAGGATCGACGGCGCCACCGGGCAGCTCCCATTTGAGCGGCATGCTGTCGGTCGCGGCGCGCTGAACGAGCAGGATCCGGGCAGGGGATGTGGGGGGGCCGTCGAGGAAGACGACGGCGCTGGCGTGGACGCCGGCGTAGTCTTTCTGATGGGTGGCAAGCCAGGCGTCGCAGGAGACGTCGAATTCGGCGACGGTGGGGTCGAAGGGGACGTGGGACATGGCGTAGAGAGGGACGGGAATGAGGTAATTGTTGTTGGTCTTGGGGCGAGGATGCCAACAGGTGAGGGAGGGAGCTGTGTTTGTAGATCCCAGGCGAGGCGGAGTTTGTTAGCCCCGGTGCCACTTTCGGGTGCCACGTGTAGAACAACGCCGCTGGCTTATTGTGCGACAAGTCAATGACTAACCAATAAGTTTGCAATGTCCAGAAGGCCGAATCCCGTTCATATTCCTAGCAGGCAGTTCCGAGATAAAAGCTGAAGAGTCGTCTAGAAGACACTAGGACGGTAGGCTGCAGCCTCACAGCAGAGGCCGGCAGTGATAAGGGTCCAAGGAGACAAGGGGCAGCATAACGCAGTATTGGATCCTGCCGCTGCCGCAAACAGCATCCCGAAATGTCAATGATAGAGTATCTGTTTGTATCAACCAGCTGGAACGCCCGATCGTCAATTCATCCCTCGCACAGGTTGCCGATCCGCGGCCGTTGTCGGCACATTGCAGCAAGGATTGCTCAGGTACCGTCAGCCTCGGCTCTTTGCATACAGCCCAACTGTCGAGCAACGTAGCACGCTGACCTGTTCTTTGTATCCTGATCCGATCCAAAGCTGCTGCCTATCATTGATGTAGTAGGCAAGATGAAACATGGCGTCGGAGGCGCTATGGCAACAAGGAGCCCACCACCACCACCAGTTCTGACTGCCGGCGGCAACCATTCACACACCCAAAGCACCGAAGCTTGATGTGCCGGACCGAGCCAGCGTATTAGCTAGCCAATATAAAACTGTAGATTAGGCTGTTAAAACGTTGGGTGGCATAAGCCTCTAGAATGCGGTGTAAACTGAGTTGTAGTTGACCTGTAGGGTAACAGAGTGGACGCAACTGGATGCCGAAGAATAGTAGAGGGCAGCAAAAATTTCGCAAAAGGCCTCTGAAAGTTGAGAGAAAGATGTATTTGGATAAGTTAGGGTAATTCCCTTTTTTTCTACTTTGGCTCCTGTAATAGAGAACAAGTTGACCAAACTTGTATCATGTCGATACCGATCATCTCAGCATCACAGCATTCCAGGCTACCAGTGCCCAGCTGCCAAGAGGTCTACCGCCACAAATTCGATGGCCTTTCTATCATATCGCCGATCTAGCACGCTTCAATTTATTTGACGGCTCGAGGGAGGCACAGGTCAGCAAATCAGGAGCAGCCGTCGAGTAGAGCGCCATACTCTCAGCTTTTCCCGTTCCCCCAGGGTAACAGCGCTTACCCTGCAATGCAACGCTCCAGGCAGGTCCGAGGCTACATTTTGAACGATTAATTGCATAGGTAGCAAATTCTTTGCAACCTCGGGCAATAAAGTTCTGGATACAGGAGCAAAGGAATGTCTTGAACCAATTCGAATGATTCCATCGACAAGACTTAGAGGCGACTTCGTCTGCGCTCGTCGACGCTTTGTCCTCGTGCAAAAGCCGGCCGCTGTCACAATCCATGGCGGGGTTCTTGGCCCGTCAGCTCCCGTATCCCGAAGCCCATGTTCGGCCCCCGACTTGCAGTTTCTCCGTCTTTGGTCTCTTGATCATTACACCCCCTAACCCCGCTTCAACCCTCCGTGAATGCTCCAGTAACAAGCGCGGTAAAATTCATGGCGAGGGATTTCATCCTTTCCGAAAAGGGAAAGTGAGAGGCGACAGGTCGCACCTTGAATAAAGGAGAGAGTAAGTACAAGCTCCCGGGTGGCTGCAGCGTTGTTCTCTCCATCATGCTTAGAGGTGATAAGAAGTTACCAGCTTCCCAATGAGTTTACGGCGGCGGACGGGCGGCTGGCGCTGGCCTGGTGGGGGCGGGAGAAGACGGAGCGAAGGCTTGCGAAGGGGTGTGGGCTGTGGGTTCAGAAACAGTTACGAGACCTCTTTTGATCTGTTTTTAACTTTGAGATCGATGGCGCGCAAATGGGTGACTGAGGCGTCTTGAGCCAATGAAAGGCCCGCGAGATGGTATTTCGTTTCAGCTCGACAGAGTGTGCAACTAGGGTCGCTCCCGACGTGGCTCGATCTCCTCCGTCGCTTTCCAGATTGTCTTCGCATCACAAGGTCAGGTTGACGCTCGTTTAGCCAACAGCGCTTGTTGAGCTGTGAACGAGCCTGATGGGTCTTCGGATAGCCGGCAAGCAGGTTTTCTTATAGTTTGCTCCTGGCAGTCTGGCTATCTCTAGAGCCTTGCACTGAAGCTGACTGAGAGCCTCATTCCTTTGGCCTCGTCACCAGAAAACTTATCATGCAAGCACGGATAACTACAGTACCTTGGTAGTTGGAGGTCAGAGGTGCATTCAAGCATCCAAGCACGCCATGCCGTTTCAGTCCCCAACGCGCCGACGGGCTGCTCCGCCCCCCAGCTGATAGCCGTGTGCCTGTCAGGCGAAATATATTGCAATGCTGGATGGAACCCGTTCCGTTCTAAAGGTTGTTCGTCATTGGAGGCTTGCCTGGGAGTGAGTGTATCTAGCCCCTCGAGGTGGGCGTTGCGCATCGCGTGCGGCTGAAGATTCGCCAAGAACGGCCGGGCACAAGGAAGGAAACGAAAGGGAACCGAACATCTGAACTCACGTTAGAGGATAACGAGGACCAGGAGGGAAGATGCAAAATGTATGCGGTTGTCGCGGTGGCTTGAGGGGGGCTTGGACAGAATCTGCCATTTGAACGCGGACCGGGCTGCAGAGGCGATATTGTTCGACCCCCAAAGCCCCTTAGCAAGGAGCGACCCGGTTTGCTCGGCACTGCGAGCACGCCACCAGATGCTCGATTGTTTTAGTTTGTAGGGATTCGGCGAAATGTGTGGCGTAAACGGTGCCTGTGTTGGGGGTGCCTTGCTGCGTCCATAATGGGTGTGTCCATGATGTATGTATGTGTTCGTTCCTTGTGTGGTTGCAGTTGCCCACTGTCGCTGGCTGGCTCAATCAGCCCGCCCCATCGTGGGGCAAACTTTACCCGTTTGCCGCCAGGGCACATACTGTACCTCCAACATCCAGCTCTGCTCCACGTTAGAACTTCAACATCTTATCATTCCAAAGAACAAAAAAGGAAAACCACCTTGAACCTTGTTGAGAAAAGAGCTCGTAAAGAACTGGCCCCTGAGCATCGTTCCAAACAGGGCCAACCGTTACCTGTCCGTGTCCGGATATGCAAGGCACGATGGATGTCACTGTCCAGCTCCCAACCGACCCCGTTGAACGGCGTCGAGTACAAAATCGCATTGCCCAACGAAAGTTTCGTCGTAAGTCGTTCCTGCAACTGTCAGCATCATCGTTCACGCCGCTGACCAAGACCGTCGTTGGGGTCGATGTTTTAGACAAGCGGCTCCAGAACCAAGCAGCCATGTCGGCAACCAACAGTCGCCCCCTCTCCAGCCATCACTCCCGGCGCACATCATCATCCAACACGCTCGCCCAACTCACCTCTACGCCGCCCATTTCCAGCGCGCTCCAGTCGCCAAGTCTGTTCGGGTGCATCGACCTCGGGACGACAAGGCCCGACGGACTGCCCACGACGCCGGCCACGGTCTCGATCGACGGCCTGGGCCTGGACATGTACTTTGACGGCAATTTCGACGCCTGCTTCGACATGCCGAGCCTGCCAACCGAACCGCCCGGAAGGTCTTTATCGTGCGACCAGGACTTTTCTGCGCCGCTGCGCACCTTGTATCCGGGACTGCCCACGCCCCAGGCTACAGTATCAGCTTCGTATGCGGCGTCTTCGTCGTCGTCGTCGGGCCGGTCGCACGGGACTCCGGTCAGCGATGGGGGGCCGGTGTCGTCTGTGAGCAGCGTCTTGTCTCGGCCGAGTTCGCGGCGCGGTACTGTCATTGACATGCCGACTGTAGCTGCTGATGCAAGCCCTGGAATGGAGGCGGAAAGCACATGCAAGGAGACCGACGACGGCGGCGCAAAGTGTGATAAGGGGTGGATAAGTACCATTCACATCGCGGTACAGAGCGGCAACGAGCGCATCCTCGGCATGCTGCTACGGCAGGACACGGAAGGCATCAACTGCCCGGACAGCAACGGCCGGACGCCGCTCTTCCACGGCGCCATCCAAGACAGCGAGCCCGTGGTGCAGATGCTTCTGGCTCACGGTGCGCGCATCGGCGTGCTGGACAAGGAGGGCCGGTCACCTCTGCACTGGGCGGTGCTGTACCGTCGGCTCGAGGTGCTACGCACGCTGCTGGAGCACTGGAACAGGCGGGAGCGGGATACCTTTGACATTGATGCTCACGACAACGTTGGATGGACGCCGCTGCACCTTGCAGTCGAGAGGCGGTTCGAAGCGGGCGTGTTGCTGCTGATGCAGAACGGCGCCAGCATAAAGGCACGCGCCAAGATGTGTCCGCACACGGGCAAACCAATACCATTTAACGTGGAGCCGATTGGATCTTGAGATGCTGATGCTTTGTTGTCCCGACCCCCTGCGATGTAATCTCTTACTTTTCGGGGGGTTGGTGGTGGCCAGCTGTTTTTTCTTGTTGGTAGGGATGTATGACATTTGATCTTTGCGTGGTTTTACTCATTGCGCTTGGGCACTTTCTTATTATTATTATTTAGACGTGCATGAATGAAGATCCAAAATTAGACGATGGACTGCTGCAACTCTGTCATGTCTAACAACACAGAGTCGTTGATCTAACTGGCCAGTCTGGGTATTCTGCTACGTTCGATCGGAAGATACAGGGTTCCATCCACCCCACGATGGCAGAAAGAGAAGGAAGCACGATGGTTCTAAATATGCAGATGCAATATAAATTCAATGCTACATGGACTAACGAACCTATGCCAGGCACGAGAGGCTTGAGTGAAACTCTGTCAACATAGCTCACACGACGCTGTCATCATCCCTCGACCAGCTGGACAGCAAGCATCTGAGTTCCAGAATAACCGTTTCTGTTTGTGCTTGGCGCTTACTCTGCAGTCTGGGGCAACCCGTTACTACTGGTATTTGTCCAAGGCCCCTTTCTCTTTGTCCTCGATGCGGGCGCAGCTCCCAACTTCTCTGAGCTAGGTAGCCTCCTTGCCCCCTTGCGTAATCGCAATTTGCTCGACCCAATTCGCAATTTTCTTTCATTCCGTCCCTTTCCCGTGCCAACATGTCCTTTTGGCTCCCGCCGTGCGAACTGCGGTGCGGCTGATGTCTCGAGGCCCCGCCGGCGCTCTGAGCGTAATGCTTACCTTGCATGACGGGTCAGCCCTCTATCTTGTAATCTATGCGCTAAAAGTCTGGTAGCGAGATCTTACTCCTGGCTTGGGCCTCTGGTAAGGCTTTTGCTTGCTCTGCCCTCCGCCCCCGAGGGAGCTTGGCGGCTCGGGTAAGCACATGGCCCATGTTATCAGCACCCTCGCCCTCACACCCCCCCATATGGACCCGACTTGTATGAGGATTTCGGAGTTTTGAGCGATTCTAGTAAAAGACTGAGAGGGAAAAAAAGCTCGAAAATATTGCGACATTGGCTAGCTAGGTGTAGCTGGCTTGGGACAATCCGCGCATCATGAGTGCTACTACCACGGTATCGTCGGACCAGCGTGTCGAGGATGAGAAGACAACACCGGTGACGAACCTCGAGGCGGCGGCACTAGTAGTTGAGCCCAAGGAAGAAGAGTATCCTCATGGCCTGCAATTGGTATTTGTGGTGTTGGGAATATTGCTATGCTTGTTTCTGGTATGCTACCAATTAATTGTTCCAAGATGTTCCGACGCAGCTAACAGTCGACATGTAGGCAGCGCTTGATATGGTATGTACACGGCTCTGGGTCCTGGCGAGTGTCCATTCTGGCCAAATGGGCCTGCCTTGAATGAATGCAAAATAGCAAAAAGGAACACAGAAAAAAAACTGACTGGAAATCGCATGGCAGACCATTGTGGCCACGGCCATTCCTAAAATTACAGATGAATTCCGCGCCATCGACCAGGTCGGGTGGTACGGCTCCGCGTTCTTCCTGACACTGGCCGCCTTCCAGTCGTTCTGGGGGAAGCTGTACCGATACTGCCATTTAAAGTACACGTACCTCGCAGCAGGCGTCGTGTTCGAAGTAGGCAGCCTGGTTTGTGGTAGGTTCACAAGTTTGCGCGCCTCTCGCTCTACAATAACTGACGTAGTATTGTCCCAACAGCCACGGCCAAGGACAGCACTGCACTCATCATCGGACGAGCCGTCACCGGCATCGGGGGCGCCGGTCTCTACTGCGGAACGTACACGATCATCGCGTTCATCGTGCCGCCGGCGCTGCGGGCCCGGTACACCGGCCTGGTCGGCGTCTCCTACGCGGTCGCGAGCGTGGCCGGCCCGCTGATCGGTGGTGTCTTTACCGACAAAATCAGCTGGCGATGGTGGTAAGTCTGCGCAAATTGCGCCCGTTCATCGCAGGAGAAGTAGACGCTGACTTCGTTTCTAGCTTCTACATCAACCTTCCGATCGGCGGCCTGAGCCTGGCCCTCATCCTGCTTTCCTTTAAGCCACCCGCCGCGGCTCGGCCGGTGCCGGCGCGGCTCTCCGAGATCCTGCTGCAGCTGGACCTGCTCGGCGTGGCGCTCGCGGTCGTCGCCATGGTGTGCTTCTTTTTGGTGACGCAGTGGGCGGGTGCGAGCCGCCCGTGGGACTCGGCGTCCGTGATCGCCTGCCTGGTCGTGTCGGTGGTGGCGAGCGGCCTGTTTATCGGGGTGCAGGTGTGGCAGGGCGAGAGGGCGTCCCTCGTGCCCCGGATCCTGTCCAAGAGAGTGATTTACGGGGTGGCTGCCTTTGCCTTCTTGTCAGTTGCCCTGATGTTGCCCATTAAAGAAGCTTGGACGGTTTTGCTAACTTCTCCGCCTGAACTAGTCAAAACGGGATGAACTTTTTCTTCACGTATTACATTCCAATTTACTTCCAGTCCATTGACAACTACTCGGCGGCACAAAGTGGAATTTACAACTTGCCACTCATCTTCGGAGCTTGTAAGTGCCATGTTGCCCGTGTGAGGTCTGCGCGCTGACCGGGACGACCAGGTTTCTTCGCCATCATCTCGGGCTTCCTCATCACCATCTACGGTTACTATACCGTATACATGGCAGCAGGAAGCGCGGCCTGTACTGTCGCGGCTGGTCTGCTGTATACCATGGGCATGCACACACCGCTCGCCCGCCCGCTGGGATACCAGATGCTCCTCGGCGCCGGACAAGGCCTGGCGATCCAGGTTCCCGTCATCGTCGCCCAAGCAATGTCCGCCCCAGAAGACATCTCCGCGAGCACCGCCATCATCCTCTGTAAGCAATACCGACGCACAGTGTTTAATCTTACACATGCTGATACGCAGCTCTTAGTCTTCCAGATGACCGGCGGCGCGGTATGCATCTCGGCCGGCCAATCGGCCTTCATCAACCGACTGCTGTATTACCTCCACAGCATCGCGCCTGGGATCGACGCCGCGCGGATCGTTACCATCGGCGCGTCAGATCTGCGAGCCCAGGTATCTGCGGCAGACATCGACGCGGTCTTGCAGGCGTATCTCGGAGCGCTTAAGGACACCTTTGCGCTGGGCGTGGGGTTTGCAGGCTGCGCGTTCCTGGCGAGCTTCATCGCGCCGATACGGAATTTGTCAAACGGCTCCAAGGTAAATGTTATGGCGGCTTTGTAATCAATTTTAGTTAGAATTAGGCATACGCATGTTATCTTAATCGGCGCCCATATTAGACCAAGGGAGGTTAAATTGAGTCCTTCGTTAGCGGGAGTGGAATCTGGCGTGTGCTGCGACAGTTACTTGGCACATGGCGATGGTTAGTTGCTGGAATAATAAAAACATAGATATAATTTTAATTCAGAAATATCGAATTCTAACGATATAAACTTGGAAAAATTCCCAAAACTAGTTTCCTAAATTTACTATAGCCCCCGAATAATCAGTCATCTCCAGTAAGCAAGCTGTAAGCAATCTTCTAGATGCCCTGCAGCCACGCTTTCTCCCCCCCGCCCAGTATTCACACTAGTTTCGGATCTTGAGCCGAAGGCCAGGGCTGCCAGCCGCGGGAAAGGGAATGATCATGTCACGGACACAATCAATGTCCCGCTCGCGGGTCGTATCGTAGAGCTCTAGCGTGGGACCGTCCTGGCCGCGGTATAAGTCGTACTTGTGCAGGATGGTAGCCAGGATGATAGACAGCTCCTGCTTGGCAAAGTTCATACTATCTCATAATTAGCAAGGATGCACCGTTTTAGCACAATGAAGAAGAGTTGCTCACCCGATGCAATTGCGCGTGCCCCTTGCGAAGCCGATGAAGGCGCGGTCGAGTCGCGGGTTGTCGATCCACCGCTGGGGGATGAAGCTGTCCGGGTCGGCGAAGACGGCCTCGTTGGTGTGCGCGATCTGCGCCGTCATACTGTACGTGGTGCCCGCCGGGATCACGTACTCGCTTCCGCTCTTCTTGTCCTGGTAGACCACCGGCTCCGTCGGGGACACGCGCGGCAGGCGGGCGACGACGCCCGGGTGCAGCCGCAGAGTCTCCTGGATGGCCGCCTGCAGGTACGGAAGGGTCTCGACCTGCGAGTAGGCGGGCACCTCGTCGGCGGCGAGGCCGGCGAGGGCGTCGGCGAGCTCCCGCTTGACCTTGGCGAGCTCGGCGGGGTGCGCGAGGAGCTGGTAGATGGCGGCGCTGAGGGTGTAGGCGGTGGTGCCCTGGCCGGCGAAGACGACGAGCTGCGCCTCGTGGGCGAGGCGCGCGCTGGTCTTTTCTTCGTCGGGCAGGCGGCTGGAGAGGACGCCCTCGAAGATGGTGCTCTTGATGCGCTCCGGGTTGGGCGAGTTGCGGATCTTTTCGACCTCGTCGTACCACATCTGGGTCACTGGTTAGCAGAAAGGGCGAGGAAGAAAAAGAGAAGACAAGAAGGAATACCTACCGTCTTCTTGTTCCACATCTCCGTCAGACCCGGGAACACGGCCTTGATGAGCCAGTCCGGCGACGCGCCCAGAAGGTAGCCGACGATGGGGAAGTGGCACATGGCGTGGTTGAAGAAGTGGAAGACGTCGGTGGCCTCGATGTACGGCGCGGCAAAGTCCTTCTCCCCCAAAAAGTTGAATGAGGTGCCAAAGGCGTACTGGGTGACGATGTCGCAGGCGCACGCCTTGAGGACGATGTGGAACTTGAGAATCTCGCCTGTCTCGCCGGCCTCGTGCATGCGGGCGAGCAGCTTGCGCAGGTCGGCCTTCATGATGGGCTCGAGGCGGCGGATGCTGGCCGTGGAGAAGAATCCGGAGATGGTGCCGCGGCGGAGGCGGTGGGTGTCGTGGTCGGCGGTGCCGGCGAGGGAGTTGGGCGCTGGGTGGGTGTGAGTCATTCAACTCGCTTTCTCTCTCTCTGTATATAATGGCGACCTACTTCCAGTGCGGCGACCAGTCATGACAGACTTGTTCGTCTTGCGCTTGGCGCTGGGGTAGAGCGGCTCGATAAAGTCGGGGTCGTTGAAGTGCACCTCGTCGGGGTTGATTCGCACAATAGGGCCTGGAACACGACATGTAAGTTTACTATTGACGGGACAGACACTCGAGCGAACAAGGCTCATACCATATCTCTCATGCATTTGCTTGACCTTGCGAAAGTACTGGCCGCCCAGCCAGACGTCATAGTAAATCTCATACCAGTATGTCAAGGCTGTTGTTGGTGAAGGTTAGCTTACAAGTTGGCCAGGTCAATGCCTGCTGATCTTACCCGCGAACTTGGGACCGGGGATGCCGGCCAACGGATGCAAAAATACTAAGTCAAAAAATTAGCTCTGTAATCGTTTTGAATTTATCAAGTGTCCATTGACATACATCGATGTCCTACCAAGCAGGCCCAATATGTCACGACAGCCGTGGCAACGAGATACACGGTCGGCCACGACAGTAGCCCCTCCACCCTCCACGCCTGGACAGCGTCATCCAGACCCTGCTGCAGCGTTTGCAGAACAGGTTGGGCAGTGGTCACGAAGTTGTTTGCTGCCATGGTCTTCCACTCTCTTGGATCTGTCGGGTTCGAAAATTGAGACATGGTCAATAACTCTGATTCTGTCGTTTCTTGGTTACCGTCTGTGCAATCCGGCGCTGCGCGGGACGTCAGTCTATAGTTATGGCAACTATAACCATACGTGACTATAACTTTTGGGGGGGATGCGGCACGCTAAAAACAGCCTGATTGCGAGCCTCAGCCTCTAGATGTCTCGGAGTGAGATGCGCCAGGAATTACAGCGTTGCGATAGCCGATCTGCTTACTGAGGGAAGGGAATCCAGTAAGAGAATCGGGTCATTACGTGCCCGCGGCCGAACAGGAACGGATTCTGCACTACAGTATGGGTTTAGCTGAGAAACCCTGGGCTCAGCTCGCGAATAAGCTCAAGACGAAAAATAGGGCAGCTAATGCATCATCAGCAACAACGGGGAGCTCGTAATACGCCTGAGCAGTCACGGACTGGGGCCTTGTTCAGCCGCACTAATACTGCCCCCATCACAGCCCCAGGCTTACAGTCCGGCTCTTGACAGCCTTGCCTGATGGCAGGGTCGACATGCGGCTGGCGGTCAAACAGTCTCTCATGCAATACTACTTGAATATGTAGCTAGAAGCCATGTGGAGGGTTCCATGGATACCACCTTGACCGTGTCTTGGATGCAAGTCTCATCACATCACAATGTTTCGCTCTGCAGTGTCTCTCTGCCTGCTCGCCCTCGCACCCTCGGCACTGTCTCTGCCACAGCAACACCCATCGAACCGTACCGCGCCACCTTCATGCCGGTACCTGCCCCAGGACCGTGAGTGGCCGTCGCCTGCGTCATGGAGCCGGCTCAACACGACCGTCCAGGGCCGCCTGATCCCCGGCGAGCCCCTGGCGCACGTCTGCCACGGCGCCGACTACGACGAGGTGGCCTGCGCTGACCTCGCCGGCCGCTGGACGGAACAGGCCCCGTACTTCTCCGACCCGGTCAGCGTCATGTCGCCGTTCTGGGCCAACAACTCGTGCACGCCCTTCACCGGCCCTTCCGCGCCCTGCCTGCTCGGTAACTACGCCTCGTATGCCATCAACGTCAGCGGAGCCGCCGACGTCGTCGCCGGCTTGCAATTCGCCAAGGAGCGCAACGTCCGCGTGCAGGTCAAGAACACCGGGCACGACTATCTCGGCCGCTCGACCGGCCAGGGCTCGCTCGCGCTATGGACGCACAACCTCAAGTCCATCAGCTTCCTCAACTACACCAGCGCGCGGTACACCGGCCCCGCGGTGAAGCTCGGCGCCGGCGTGCAGGCGTTCGAGGCATACCCGGCGGCCGCGGCGCGCGGCCTGCGGGTCGTCGGCGGGTACTGCCCGACCGTGGGCATCGCCGGCGGGTACTTCCAGGGCGCCGGGCACGGGCCGCTGCTGGGCACGTACGGCCTCGCGGCGGACAATACCCTTGAAGTGGAGGTGGTGACGGTGGACGGGAAGCACCTGGTGGCGAGCCCGACGCGCAACGCGGACCTGTTCTGGGCGCTCAACGGCGGCGGCGGCGGCACCTACGGCGTGGTGCTGTCCGTGACCACGCGCGCGCACCGCGACGGGCCCGTCGCCGGCGCCTCGCTCACCGTGAGCGCCGGCAACGACACGGAGGCGTTCTGGGGCGTGGTGGCCGCCTGGCACCGCCACCTGCTCCGCCTGGACGCGCTGCCCGGCTTCACCAGCGTCTACCACATCTCCGACGCCGTCTTCCAGCTCAGCCAGGTGACCTACGCGGACCGCGGGGCCGACGACGTGCGCGCCGCGCTGGACCCGTTCCTGAAGGAGGTCGCGACGCTCGGGTTCAACTACACGCTGGAGACCAACGCGCAGCCGAGCTACCTCGCGCACTACGAACGGTATAACCCGAAGCTGCCGTACGGGTCGTACTTCAACAACGAGACCATCGGCGGGCGCCTGGTCAGCCGCGACGCGGTGCGGCGGAACCTGCCGCAGGTGGTGGCGGCGATACGGGGAATCGCGAGCGCGGCGCGCGGGACCTTCGTCAACGGCGTCGCCGGCAACGCCAACCGCGGGCGTGCACCGGGCGAGACCGTCAACGCGGTGCTGCCGGCATGGCGCGACGCGCTGTACCACCTGATCATCGAGGAGGTGTACCCGGGGGACGCGCCGACCGGGCGGCTGGTGGCGGCGCAGGCGGACATGAACGCGCACCAGGAGCTGCTGCGGACGGCGACGCCGGCGGGCAGCGGCGCGTATATAAACGAGGCGACGTTTGATAATCCGCAATGGAAGGAGGACTATTTCGGGGCGAATTATGACAAGCTGCTGCGGGTGAAGAAGAGGTACGACGCGCAGGGCGTTCTTTACGGCCCGGCGTCGGTGGGCAGCGACGCCTGGGTCCGGCGATCGGACGGAAGGCTGTGCAGAAAGTAGGACTGCAAGAGGTAAAATGAGATATGGTGTTGCCACCTTAGAATGCGTAAATATAGAAGTCAGATATCTATAGTAGAATTTACTGGAGAATAGAGGCACATAGGGAACTACTTGCTACTCTTGTTGATCTCAGTTGCAGTGGTGCAGTGGCGGCAGCTACAAGGCAACATCGCGCCACTTACAGACACTCTACAGCGGGTGAGCCCTTAAAAAACAGCGCTTGCACTTTAACTACAGTACATACAGTAAGCTGCCGACTGGTACTGTACATACAAAGACGCGGCAAACGGAAACATTGAAAGCATCAAGTGTATGATATTTAAAATGTTCCAAGTGCTTAACGTATGCACTACCTCTAGAAATTATTTACCACGGTACCTCCTCGCCAGTCCACAGGAAGAGCTTGCCGGAATGCGTCTCCTTGGTGGACGCGTCAATGACCTTGACGACGCCCTGCACACTCTCGTCCACCGTAATGCTGGCCTGTTCGAGGTCAAAGGCTCGGGCGCCGCGGTTTCCCATTTCCGTTTGGACAAAACTGCCAAGGTTGTCGAGATTAGCGACCGACGATTGCGGCTGTGATGACTATATAATAGGTAGGCAAACTTACCCAGGATCAATGGGGAATGCCGTGAGCCACGGCTCGGCAATGGCAATGGTCTTGGTGTACCAGTGCTGGAGAATCTTGGTAGGGCCATAGACGGCATTCGGGAAGGCAATCGCGTTCCTAGTAATGTTAGATTTAGTTTTTCTGTTACCCATCTATACAGGGCGATTACTCACTGTTCCAGTTGTCAGTAACTTGGCCGTGCACAACAGAGACGCAGTTAGTACTTGCCGTTAGGAACGCAGCGCTGGAGCCAATCATGATGAGCCTGGCGTCCTTGGAAGCCTTGAGCAGTGGCAGCACCGCCTGGTACAGGCGGACGAAGCCGTAGACGTTGGTGTTGATGTGGTCCTGGATGTCCGCGATCTTGGCGTCCTGGAGCTTCGGCCAGGCGGTCGCCTTGCCCGCGTTGGCGATCAAGGTGTCAATATGATCGATGCCGCGCGACTTCAGCGTCTCGACCGCCTTGCGCGCGTCGTCGTCGTCGGTCGCATCGACCTTGACCAGCTGCACGGTGGTGCCGGCGGCGGTGGGCAGCTTGAGCAGCTCCTGCGAAGGCCCGTCCTCCGGGTTGCGGTTGGCGGCGATGAGCGTGTGGTTGGGCTTGGCGGCGTACAGCTCGAAGATACCGCGGCCGATGCCACGGCTGGCGCCGGTGATGAGGACGATGGTCGGTGAGGCCATATTGTGTGGTGTTCTGCTGGTGGTGATGGTCGGACAGGGAAGGGTTCGTTGATCGCTGTGGCGCTAGGTACGAGATCGATCAGAGTTGGGGTGTCTAGAGTCCGCCAGGTTGTGCCAGCTCGCGGTTTCCATTTTAGCTATGGACAATTTTTTGATGAATTAGTAATTATCGAATAAGAAATCTGGCAGTCAGGCCAGGCTTACCCGACGGCGGCAGGCGATAGCAGTATCAAGTCCGTTGCTTATTCTGATGTCGCAATCGTCTGTCCTTTCTTGACCATGCATAATAAAAGATGAAAGAAATCGAATCCGCCTTGTTTGATCGGCGGGTCTCGCTGCCGAAAGCCGTCATTACCCTTGACCAATCACAGCTCGCCAGAGTAATCCCTGCAGCGTAAGCAATTGCCCGATTTGGAAATGCTTATTATTAGCGTATAAGTGCCTGCGAGATATGGAAGTTACTGGATATTCTGACAGGTGAAACCTGTGCGACTTGGATTTCCAAGCACAAGCTATTCGAGTGAATGGCATTAGAAATCAATTCTGGTGGCAATTCAGTTGTGCCTCCCAAGAGACGGACAGGGCAGTCCCTTTTCCAAGGCAGTCCACTGTGTTCAGTCGAAACAGCACAGAATACAACTGTAGTAGACCACTAGAACAAGCACAACACAGCGAAGAGATTCGGGAACAAATATATAAAGAACAAAACCAGGAACAAGCGCGACTTGAGACTCACTGTCTAGGAAAGTCTTTTAATGTATGTGAACTGTCTATTCTAGTTTTCTCTGTTCTGTATCATTGTGTGTAAATAGCCATGTCGTGGTAGAATACGAGTCAATGCGCAAAATCCCTCTCACCATCTGACGCTCTGAGCACGTACCCCCCTTGCATTCCTTCTTCCCTCCAGCAAATAGTCAATCTAACTTCCAATGCTCTCCCGTACAAACTCCGTCATGGCATCGACCACCTCGACCGACCCCTCGCCGCTGAGCACAGTTAAATGACCCTTGCCCTTGGCTTCCAAGAACCTCTTGGTCTGCGGAAACACCTCGAACGCGGCCTTTTGCTCCTCCGGCGGCGACATGGTATCCAACTCGGGCGTCACCATCATGACCGGCGTCTTGTCTACCAGCTTCAGAATCTCCTTGGGCTGCCACATGGCCAGCTTCTGGTAGGTCTGCAGCGCGATCTTGTTGCGGAAGTTGGGCGCCCCGCGGTCGATGACGGCGCCCATGAATCCGTACGCCTCCACGCCACCAGGCCCGCCCGAACCGGCCATGCCGATTGGGTTCTCGCCCTTGCTGTTGAACGGCGGCAGCATGAAAGGCTCGTTGCCGCGCAGCTGCGACTGCCGGTCGCGAATCAGCTGCGCGAACGCCTTGTCGCGCTTGTCGGCCTGGTAGAAGCTGAGGATCGGGCAGACCATGACGAGCGCCTTGACGCGCCGGTCGACGGCGGCGGCGCAGGCGCTGACGGTGCCGCCAAAAGACATGCCCCAGAGGGCGATCTGAGAAGGTTCAACGCTGGGGAGCGACGAAATGTGAGTGACGATGTCTGTCAAGTTGTCAGTCCAGCCCGGAAATGCAGCACAAATTGCTCAGCGTTGGGCGACTTACCTGCAAGATCCTCGGCTTGTTGCAGTGGGTCAATGAGGTTCTTTGGAGTACCGTCGCTATCGCCAATGCTTCTAGGGTCGTAAATGTAGGTGTTGAAGCCTTGCGACTGAAATGTCTCCGCAATGTCCGGGAGCAGCATCTCCTTGACGCAGTTGAACTACCGGACAAAATTAGCAAGAGTGATTGAAGGGAAATCTCACAGCTAGGCATACCCCGGGAGTCATGATGATTGCTGGTCCTTTGCCGTCAACGGCGTAGAACCGTCCCCTGATGATAGTGCCATCAATGGCTTTGCATTCCACAACCTGAAATGAAGAAGGCATCGTGATTGCACAAAGTATTGGTACCCGAGACGTTCAAAGTTACAACATCAAAAACGAGGGGAAGAAAAAGGTTAAGAAAACAAATGGGAGTAAAAATAACGATATAATTAAACTTACAAGTCTTGTCGCTTCATCAAGCAGTCAAGTCGTATTCTTTCACAATATAGATACTATACAGAAGCCTAAGCTCCTCCATCTCATTCATTGGCTTACACCTCATCGTGGGTCTGCCAAATCTCGGCGGAGAATTCGCCCGATTCGGATATAACTTATTTTATCATTACCACAAATAACCTCGAGTAAGAGTGAGGCTGAAGGTGATCCACAGATAGAATAACACGCTGACCAGCGCTCTGACCGTGCAGGAGGTCGCATAAGGCTCACAGCTTCAACGGCCAAGGAGTGGCGCACGAGTGCCGAATCATTCTAGAACTACAGCTCCGATTAGGAAAAAACACGTGGTTATCAGGACTATCAGTATTGCGAAATCATGCGGGACGATGAAATGGCCATGACTGGTTATCGTGTCAGACCTGCACATCTTGCGCAAGCTGAACGGCTGAGCGCTACTGAGGCTCGTTGAAGATTCAGCTATGAGTAATTTTCTTGTGATGTTTACGACAGACTTGGTGTAATTGTTCCGAGAGCCCTCTTTCGCAGTGATGGCTCGAATAAGACGGAGAAACGTGGCTTGTATCGTTGGCCAAATCCGGAATGATTCCTTGATAGACCGGACAACCGGGATCTTGACAAGTTGAAGCTAGTAACTATTCGCAAATAAAAAGAAAGCATCCTCAGATCAAAAAAATGTTTCTCAATTCTATAGACTCTTTCATCTTCTGTTAAGCAGACATTTTTGTACATACAAGGCTCTCGCGTTACGTCTCCATAGACTTTCGTTTACACCACCATGACGAGCCAAGAACCAATTGCCATTATTGGCTTCTCCTGCCGCCTTCCTGGCGGCAACTCCAACCCTCGCAAGCTTTGGGACTTTCTAGAGAGAGGCGGCATCGCTTCCAACAAAGTCCCCAAGAACCGCTTCAACATCGATGCCCACTGGGATGGATCACACAAGCCTCGGACCATGCGCCCTCTCGGCGGCATGTTCCTGGAGGACCACGACCCCGCCGACTTTGACGCATCCTTCTTTGAGATTTCCAAGACGGACGCAATTGCGATGGACCCGAATCAGAGACAAATGCTCGAAGTGGTATTCGAAGCGTTGGAGAACTCTGGTGTGCCTCTTGAGAAGTTGGACGGCGCTCCAGTGGGATGTTTTGTTGGTTCTTTTGCATCAGGTTTGTTCTCCTTTGTAGAGACAGGTGATTCAAAAACTGACTATTTTTAGATTACGGTGACATGCAGGGTCGCGATCCCGACGACCGCCCTGCCAACATCACAGTTGGCGTTGGCCGCGCCATCCTGGCCAACAGACTCAGCCACTTCCTTAACATCAAGGGTCCCAGCATGACGATAGACACGGCGTGCTCCGGATCCCTCGCCGGTCTCGACGTGGCGTGCCGGTACCTGAAAACAGGCGAAGTTGACGCCGCCATCATCGCCGCCAGCAACCTCTACCTCAACCCGGAGCACGTCATGGACATCGGCGCCGTCGGCAACGCCCACTCGCCGACCGGCCTCTGCCACACCTTTGACATTTCCGCGGACGGGTACGTCAAGGCGGAGGCAGTCAGCTCCATCATCATCAAGCGCCTGTCCGACGCCATTCGTGATGGTGATCCGGTGCGCGCCGTGATCCGCGGCTCGTCGACGAACAGCGATGGCCGCACACCGGGTATTGCCAGCCCCAGCGCGGAAGCGCAGGCTGTCGCTATTCGCGCGGCGTATGCCAATGCGGGCATCACAAACTTGAACGACACAGCGTACCTGGAGTGTCACGGTACAGGAACTCAGGTAACGGACACTGACTGTTTCCGCTCATGTTTGTGACTGACAGAGATTACAGGCCGGTGATCCCACCGAAGTCAGAGGCGCAGCGTCAGTGTTTGCTGCTTCTCGCCCAGATGACAAGCCTCTTATTATTGGCTCGGTAAGAGATTTGTGTAGTATACACTAGTTGTGAAGATAGAAAGGCTGACAATTTCAGATTAAAAGTAATTTGGGCCACGCGGAGCCTGCGGCGGGTAATTCCGGTCTGATCAAGGCTGTGTTGGCGATTGAGAACGGTCGGATTCCTGGCAACCCGACATTTGAGAATCCTTCTCCAAAGAGTACGTGCATCAAGACATATTTCCAAAGTTTAGCAACGCTTTTTATTTCGCAGCATTGTGAACACCATCTGACATGTTGACGCAGTTGACTTTGCTGGCTGGAAGGTCAAGGCTAGCCGCTACACCATCCCCTGGCCCACCCAAGATCTCCGCCGTGCCAGCGTCAACTCGTTTGGCTACGGAGGCTCCAACGTTCACGTCGTCATCGAGCAGGCCGCCATCGACCACAAGCCTCGTCACGTATCCTCCTATCTCTCTGAAGATGCGGAGCTGGACTTTGACGACGAGCCGGACCAGGCCCGGCCCCATACTCTCGTCCTCTCGGCCAACGACGAGGCCTCGCTCCGCGCAAACATCCGCGCCCTCTCCAACCACCTCATCAACCCCCGCGTCAAGGTCGCCCTGTCCGACTTGGCCCATACCCTGAGCGAGAGACGCTCGGCGTTCTTCCATCGCGCGTATCTCACCACGAGCACCACCGACTTCGACGATGGCGCGTTCGTCCTCGGCAAGAAGCAGTCGGAGAAGCCCCGCATCGGCCTCGTCTTCACCGGTCAGGGCGCCCAGTGGCCGCAGATGGGCAAGGAGCTGCTGCAGTTCTTCCCATGGACGCGCAGCATTCTCGAGGAGCTCGATGCGGTTCTGCAGAAGCTACCCGATCCTCCTGCCTGGTCGCTCGTTGGTAAGAAGAACAGCATCCTTTTTGTTTATTTGGAATGTCGTACTAACAAGCTTGACTAGACGAGTTGACCCAAGCCCGCTCCGCCGAGCACCTTCGACAGCCGGAGTTCTCGCAACCTCTTGTGACCGCTCTCCAGCTCTGCATTCTGGCTGTTCTCGAATCTTGGGGTGTTTCTCCGCAAAGTGTCATTGGCCACTCGTCTGGTGAAATTGCCGCCGCTCATGCCGCCGGCTTCCTCACCCGCGCTGGCGCCATCGTCGCTGCCTTCTATCGTGGACGTGCTGCCGTCAACCGCAAGAAGGACGTGGCCCAGAACGTTGGCATGCTTGCTGTCGGCCTCGGCGGCGACGCGGTCAAGCCGTACCTCGAGCCCCATGCCGGCAGCGCCTGGGTCGCGTGCTACAACAGTCCCGGCAGCGTCACTGTCTCTGGCAAGGTCGAGGCACTTGAGGCGCTCGCGCAGAGCCTGAAGGCCGACTCGCACTTTGCAAGGCTGCTTCAGGTAGACCTGGCATACCACTCGGCGCTCATGGGTGTCATTGGCGAGGAGTACGAGAACCTCCTGCAAGCAAACAGCTTCAGCTCTTCTGAAGGCAACCCCAGCGTCTCCATGTTCTCTTCCGTCACCGGAAAGAAGAAGACGGATGCTGCGGATGCCCTTTACTGGAAGAGCAACATGGTGTCTCCGGTCCAGTTCAGCGACGCCGCCCAAGAAATGCTGACTTCGCCCGAGGCCCCGACCGTGCTGGTCGAGATTGGTCCCTCGGGCGCTCTGGCCGGTCCCATCTCCCAGATCAAGAAGGCTCTGGAGAAGCAGGACAGCGATGTCGCCTACATCGCCGCCTGGTCCCGTGGCGCCAACGCCGGCAAGGCCTTGTTCGACGCTGCTGGGCGCCTCTTCGTTGCCGGCCATCCCGTTGACCTCGCCAAGGTCAATGAGTACCAGCAACCGTCTACCATCATCGACCTGCCTAACTATGCCTGGAACCACTCCATCAAGTACTGGCACGAGAACTCTGCGAGCAGAGACTGGCGCTTCAAGAAGTACACTTCGCACGACCTGCTTGGGAGCAAGGTCCTGGCTACCTCGTGGCAGGCACCCAGCTGGAGGGCGCATCTCAACCTCGCCAACGTGCCCTGGCTCAAGGACCACAAGATGGGTGCCGATGTCTTGGTGCCCGGCTCCGGCTTCATCTCGATGGCGCTGGAGGCGATTTGGCAAAAGCACAAGGCTGTGGAACCGGCCGCTGCCGAGGTCGCTTCCATCAATGATCTGGCCTACCGGTTCCGCAACGTCAAGTTCGAAAAGGCCCTAGTCCTCGAGGAGGGCAAGGACACCGAGGTCATGCTCTGGCTGACCCAGCAGCCTGGCAGCAAGAGCTGGCACGAATTCGTCATCTCCTCCACCACCGCGGACGACTTCCGCATCGACCACTGCTCCGGCCTGGTCAGGGTGCAGGACGAGGTGCCCGACTCCATCCCCGAGGGTCAGGATGGCGAGCTTGCCCACCCCACCGCCGGCCGGCTGTGGTACAAGGCGCAGTCCGAGATTGGCTACGGCTTTGGCCCCTCGTTTCAGAAGCTCAAGCACGTTGAGTCGCTCAGCGGCAGCCGCAAGGGCCGCGCCGTCGTCGCGCTGGAGCCGCCGGCGTCCAAGTGGGATCCCCAGTCGTACTACCCCATCCACCCGGCCTCGCTGGACGGCTGCTTCCAGACGGTGACGCCGTCGCTGTGGTCGGGTGAGCGCAGCTCCATCAACGCCGTCGTCGTGCCGTCGGTGCTTGACGACCTCGTCATCAACAAGGTGCCCCGTGACCTCCAGGACGGCCTGTCCCTCGCCAGCTCCGAGTACTCGGGCCGCGGCCGCCTGTCCGAGGCCAAGAGCTACATGTCTCACTGCGCCGTGTACGACCCCCGCACGGGCAAACTGGTCGCTCGCATGACCGGTCTTCACTTTGCGGAGCTCAACACCGAGGTTAAGGTCGACCCGCATACCTTTGACGAGATTTCGTGGAAGGCGGATATTAGTCTGCTTTCCGACCAGCAGCTCTCATCGCAGCTGCTCGGCCTTGAATCTGTCGAAGCAGTCAACGCCACGATTGACCTTGTTGCTCACAAGAAACCTGCTCTTTCCGTCCTCGAGATCAGCCTCGACGCTACGGATGCATCCTCAATCTGGTTCGACACGGTGCAGGAATCTTTCTCTGCACGCTCTGCGTACGCCGAGTACACGGTGGCTACCGTGGGAGGGCCGAGCCTGGTTGATCTCCAGACAAGGTACGAGGACAAGCGAAACACTTCGTTCTTGCTCCTGAGCGAGACCAAGGAGAACCTTGGCCTGGAAGCGGCTTCATATGATCTGATTATTGTCAAGCTTGGAGAAGGCAACTCCGGTGCCCTACTTCAAGCGATCGAGCCGCTGCTGTCTCAGAGTGACGCCTATAAGCTGGTCACCCAAGGCAAGATCTTTGACTCCCGGGCTGCCACTTCGGCTTCGGAGTCCGGCTCCATCCCGTCTGCGGCGACCCGATCCCCCGAGGTGCTCGAGACCCCGCGTGCACCTGCAACTGCGGATCCTAGCATCCAGTCCTCCTCTGTGGCGGACACTCCATTGCCCGGCCAAGATATTGCTGGGATCAAGGGCCTGGATCTCGACATTGCCCTTCAAGAAAAGTTCTCTGCGGTCCCGAACAAGGTATTCGTCGCACCCGAGCTTTCGACGCTTGGATCTCCTGTCGAGATTGCATCTGGCGAAAGCCTTGTCGCTCACCTGTACTCCCCGAGCATTGCCCAAGTCGAGACTACCCGCAAGTTGTCCATCGTCAGCTTCTCCGGGAAGCCGTCGTCTGTGAGCGACACTCTCACGGCCTCTCTGGAATCTGCCGGCTGGGCTGTCGCAAGCCACGGACTTCCGCTCACCAAGCCTGCCGACGGAAGCATCGTGCTCGTCCTCGACGAGCTCGAGTCGCCCCTCCTGCGAGACATTAACCTGGAGCAGTGGACTTCTTTGCAGGCCCTCGTCAGCTACGGCAACCCGGTTCTCTGGATCACTCAAGGCTCTCAGCTGACGGTGACGAACCCCGACTCGGCGCTTGCCCCGGGTCTCTTCCGCGTCATCCGCATGGAAGACCAGAGCGCCCAGCTCGTCACCCTGGACGTCGAATCTACGACTGGTCCCGCTACTGAGGACGCTATCAAGCGCGTTCTGGATCAGCTGCTCCAGCCGCGCCACAAGGAATTCGTCGAGACCGAGTTTGCAGAGAGAAACGGAACTATTCACGTCCATCGCGTCGTTCCGGATGTCGCGGTCAATAAATTCAAGTCGGTCCAGAAACTTGGCGCCGAGCTTGTCGTCCAGGACCTCCATGCCAACGAGGTGGAGGTTTCGCTCCGCGCTGAGCGCATGGGTACTTTTGACGCGTTGACTTGGGCCGAGAACTCGACCAGCGCCGTCTCCGTGGAAGAGGGACGCATCGAGGTTGAGGTTGTCGCTGCGGGTGTCAACTTCAAGGACGTTGCCGTCACCATGGGTATCGTCCCCGAGAACGAGTACACGCTGGGCTACGAAGCGGCGGGCATCGTCAAGCGCCTGGGCCCTGGCGTGACCAAGTTCAAGGTCGGCGATCGCGTCTGCTTCCTCGCCAACGGGAGCTACGCCAACCGCCTGCAGGTGCCTTACCAACGGGCCCACGTCTTCCCGGACACCATCAGCTTCGAGGAGGCGGCGACGATTCCGTCCGTTTACCTCGCCTCCATCTACTCCCTTTACCATCTCGGCAATCTGCGAGCCGGACAGACCGTCCTGATCCACTCCGCCACCGGCGGTGTCGGCATCTCGGCCATCCAGCTCGCCGTGCACAAGGGCGCCGAGGTTTTTGTCACAGCGGGAACGGAGGAGAAGCGCGAGTTCCTGGCCACCAACTACGGCATCCCCAGAGACCACATCTTCTCGTCACGCAACACGGACTTTGCAGCTGCGATTAAGAAGCTGACAGCTGGCCGCGGCGTAGACGTCATCCTAAACTCTCTAACGGGCGAGATCCTGGACGAGTCGTGGCGCATCACGGCTGACGGTGGTATCTTCGTCGAGATTGGCAAAAAGGACATTGTTGATCGCAACTCGCTATCTATGGAGCCGTTTGATCGCAACTGCTCTTTCCGTGCCATGGACTTTTCCTACACCAAGGATATCTCCCTACCCTTGATTGAAAAGTGAGTCTCGGCATTTTTACCCTTGACCCTATGAAATCGGTACTAATTATTATATAGGCTACTCGGCGAAATCTTTGAGCTTGTCAATGCTGGTCATGTCAAGCCGATCCAGCCCATCACCACGTTTGGTTTTGACGACATCCCGTCCGCCCTGGCTCACATTCGTAGCGGTCGCCACATTGGCAAGGTCGTCATCTCCAGCGGACAGCACGTCCCGGTCGAGGTCCCCATCCGCCCCGCGGTGCGCAAGCTCTCCCTGGACCCAGCCGCCTCCTACTTGATCGTTGGTGGTCTTAAGGGCCTCTGCGGCAACTTGGCCATTCACATGGCCAAGACTGGCGCGCGTCGCATCATTGTCTGCTCTCGAAGTGGCTTGGCGGATGCTGCTTCGCAAAAGACGGTGGCCAACTGCCGCGCCTATGGCTGTGAAATTGTCGAAGCCAAGGGTGATGTCGCAGACGAAACTTTTGTGCGCAAGATTTTCCAGGAGGCTTCCCCAGCTATTTCGGGCGTCATTCAGGGTGCCATGATTCTTCGAGTGAGTTTCCCCATTACCCTCTGCTCCCAGTATTTTCTCTGTTATTGACTCGCTACCACTAGGATAAACCATACGAGATCATGACGCATGAAGAATACCACGCCGCAATCCATGCCAAGATCCAAGGTACCTGGGCTCTGCACCGCGCCTCGCTCGACCAGCCCAAGAACCTCGACTTCTTCACCCTCCTCTCCAGTATCTCCGGCATCGTCGGTAAGAAGGGCCAGTCCAACTACTCGGCCGCCAACACCTTCCTGGACTCTTTTGCGTACTACCGCCAATCGGTCGGTCTGCAGGCCAACGCCGTGGATCTCGGCTTGATCGAGGATGTCGGCTACGTCGCCGAGCAGGGCGGCATGGACAGCCACTTTGACAAGCGCCAGTGGACGCCGATCCTCGAAGGCACCCTGCGCAGCATCCTCGACTACTCGATCCTGCAGCAGACGGGCAAACCGCTCAACCCGACCAGCGCGCCGCAGCTCGTCACGGGCATCGGCTACCCGCTCCCGGACGACTCGGACCTGAAGCGGGAGGCGCGGTTCGGCTACTTGTTCAGCCAGGCGGGCGGGGCGGACGGCACGGCCAAGGATGGCGGCAGCAAGGGCGACCAGGCGATCCGGGCGCTCAAGCTGATGCATGCGAGCGGCGCGACGGGGGCGCCGCTGGTCAAGCTCGCGACAGAGCTGGTGGCGGCGCAGATCACCAAGATCCTGCGGCTGGAGACGGAGCTGGAGCCGGCCAAGTCGCTGATGGCCTACGGCGTGGACTCGCTGGCGGCGGTCGAGCTGCGCAACTGGGTGCGCTCGGAGCTGGGCGCGGAGCTGTCAACGCTGGACATTACCAACGCCAGCTCGCTGATTGCGCTGTGCGAGAAGCTGGTGCTAAAGCTACCGGCGGCATAAGAATTAGAATGTGAAGTTGCGGATCTGTTTGAGTATAGAACTACCATTGTTACATAGATTGTATCTTCTCTTGAGCTTGAATGTTATAGACTGTTCTTCGCGTTTTGCGCCGGTTCTTGCCCGTGACACAGAATACACTCAGACTGCCTGGACGCAATTCATTCCGGGACCGTAGCACGCTCATCCGTCTTTTTAAACGCTCACAGCCAACCCATAAGCCCCGGGGCTATGCGTCTAAGAGGTACACTACGCAGTTATCACCAGGGGTGGGTGCTAGCCCGCCATTCCTGAACTTGCAGCCTCTGCTTTATAAAAGCTTCATCATCATCCACTTGAGATTCCCACGCGTCATATGCACGCCCTTACGAGGAGGTCTCCGGCACGATCCAATATATATCATTTATATACTATATACCTCAGCGATCTATGTCAGCTAATTTGATCATGCCTGACAATATAGCAGCGCCATCCATCTCTGTGACAATTCGGCCGCGTCGCGGCTCTCAGAAGCAGTTGGACTTCACGCTCGCGATGCCCAGCAGTTCCGCGCTCAGGCTCACCAGAGCCTGCCCACCAGCCTTGAGCTTCTCCGCCTTGGACGTGGCGCCCAGCATCAGCTCGACAGCCTTCTTGACGCCGCCGAGGGCCTCGATGTACTTTTTGATCTTTGCAATCTTGGCGATAGGGATGGCCGTGGAGCCGATCGCCCACATGATGGAGGCGACGCACTTGGTGGCCTTCCAGAAGCCGCGGGCCTCAATCTCGGTAGAAGTGGTGGTGGTGGTGAGGTCGAGGCCGCCGGGGGTGCGGTAGTGGTTGGCGACGAGCCAGGCGTCGAGGGCGGCGTCGGAGTTGGAGGCGAGCACGTCGTCGGGGATGGCGGAGATGGCGGACAGCGCGTAGGAGAGGGCGGGGGCGAAGTCGGCGGTGAAGTTGTAGTTGGAGGCGGCGAGGGCGAAGTCCAGCTCGGTGGCGGGGGCGGCGCGCGACTCGACGGCAACGGCAGCGGAGAGCGCACCGGGCAGCAGGCCGGCGAGTGCAAGGATAGAGAAGCGCATGGTGAGATAGGCAATGGTTGTTCCTTTGGGGAAATTGAAGATGGTAGAGCTGTCTTGGAAGGAGACGAAGGGTGTAGGCTCGGAAGCGTGTAAGTGATGAGGGCTTGGCTGGAGAAGATGAGTGCAGAGAAGGGGAAATCACGCAGCTTTTATATTTCAGATTTGGTCAGCAGATACATGACGGTTCTTCACGGCTCGTCTCAGCTTCGCGAAGGAATCCCGAGTCTGCCTTTCGTCTTCAGCTGTGCCGATCCCAAGCGAGGCTAAAAAGAAGCTTTTTGCGGGTTCGTGAGGCTTCACCACTCCACCACCCCTCCGGGCTGAACAAAGGCGGCGATCATTTCCAGGGCCATTGTTCGAGAAACCGCGTACACGGGTGAGAACCTTTGCAGAAATGGGGAACTGGAGAAGTGAGTCTTACGCCAAGAAGGCAGACGTTCGTCCGGTCTCCGCCTGCCGGAATACGACGTGAACGAGGCCCCATAACGAGGGACCGGCGACGAGAGAGGCTTCAGGTACGGGGCCGAACTGATCTCTCGCTTCAATCGCAAGTCTTGTGCTGTCGTAGGCCTGGCTGTCGCGATGCCGACTCGGGGAGAGAGCCGCCACGTGTCTAAAAGCGCAGCAGCGATTTGGGCTGGCGTGAGGATGCTCAATGTTATATGACACCGAGGATGCATCCGGCATCCGGCACGCGGCGGATGTTGCGCCGCTTATTTCCCTTGATGGGCAATACTGGGCTGAAGGCTGAGACGGGCCGGCCTATGGGGGACGTCCCAGCGGTGGGGTGGATTGGTGAGGGAAATGCCCGTATTACCATATGGAAATGGAAGAAAGGGCGTCGGTGTTCGGGCCAGGATAAAGACTAAGTTTCAAGAGAAAGGATTATGTGGTTGGATGGTTGGTTAAGCGCTTGCCCAGGCTGTGGTTCGGGATGCTAGGTTGGTTATTGGAGGCAGTTGCTGTAGGGGAATGCTCGGATAAACTTGTACTTGGGGTTTATTTTCTAGGAACAGCCGATTCTTGCCACTATTTTTGCTCCTTCATAAACACCAGCCTACACAGGACATTGCCAGAGCTGCCCTGCCTGCCTAGGCGCTGTGAATGTACGTATGAGCACATTTCCTCCGCCACACAAGTCGCAATATAGAGCACCTATCACTGGGCTTGTGAAAGAAGATGTGGACTTTAATGTTCGGAATTTTAATGCCTGGAATCAAATATATTGCATCGACACGGATCACCGACCCGGTAAGGCCGTTGGGCTAGTTTCTGCACGCCGCTCCCTGAGCAGTCTCCGACAAGACCACATCTCAAAGCACCAGTCTGCCCCGACACCAGATTGAGCCCCTGCATGATCAAAGAGAAACAGCACGCAAGAAGGTCTGAAATAGAACATGCCATTTCCCAGCGCGTAAAATCCAACTGCGTAAAATCCAACTACTCCTTGCCAATCAAGCTGCGCAGGGTCAAGAGGAGTCGAGCAGAGGCCTACAACCAATGACAAGCGGCCCTTGTCAACCTGGGCGCTTAAATCTGTGTCGAATGCAGCGGCCCCCTCTCGACTCATTTGGCGGTGTTGGGTGATTTTGTCTTCTTCTCTTATTTTTCCTCCTCTCGATGTCATTTGCTTTTCGATTGTTTCGTTCTCTACATGTTGTGTCTCTTTGATTTTGGGGGGGAAATAATTGAGCCTCTCATCGAGTTGCGAACTCAGCTGAGGCGGGCCTGACGCGCAACGACTTATACGGACCACAAACCGATCACAGACAGATCACAGCATTGATCATGTTGCACAATTCACGGCCCGCGGTGGCGAGTCTGATGGCATCTCTGTCTCTGTCTCTCCTCAACCACGTGCGACCGGCCGCGGCAGCAGACAACTGGTCCGCCAGCTTCGTGTTCCCGGCCACGACGGGCTACGTGATGCACAACATGGACGTCATGGACGTCAGCTACACCTCCAACTACCCCAACGCCAGCCTGTGGGCGTTTTGCTACAACGGAAAACCTGAGAGCGCCAACCAAATCATCAGTACGTTGCGAGTCCTCTCTCTGCCTTCCCCGACACCACACCCATGGCTGCTATGTAGCTAACACGAGGCGCCGCAACAGTGGGCGTGTACAAGAACGCGCACCCATTCGACGGCTCCCAGCTCTTCCAGTTCAACAACGGCTTCTCCTCCGACAACTGCTGGTACAACCTGCGCAACCTCGACGACGAGGAAAGGGGCCTCAATGGCGTCCGCTTCTCGTACGACTGGAAGACGCGCGACAAGCCGTCCACACTGAAGCTAGGCAGCCGGCCCGAGATCACCGACGCCCCAAGCAGCACCGCCACCGACGTGCCGGCCTCTACCTCGGCCACGGCCACGCCTGCACCTCCCGCGTCCTCAACCGCCGCCGCATCGAGCGGTGCATCTTCCGGTAGTGGCATCTCGTCCGCAGCGGGGTCCGCGACAGCCGTGCCGGGCTCGAGCTCCGGGGCGCAATCGAGCGGCGCCTCCGCCTCGGCGACGGCCAGCCAGAGCCCCTCCGACAGCACCAAACCCCCAGCAGGAAGCTCCGGGGAGCCGCCGCTGCTCAACAACTCGACGACCCCGCTCATCAACAACAGCACCGGCGGAGGCGGCGACACCACCTCATCGCAGGTGCGGCTCGGCAGCGGCATCATCGCTGGCATCGTCGTCGGCGCGGTCCTCGGCGTCCTCGGCATCGTCGGCTTCCTCGCCGCGCTGTGGCTCATGAAGCGACGGCGGAGCGCGGGGAGGAGCACGCTGATGAGGCGCGCGCCGCGGGACCGCGAGTCCAAGGATCCCACGTTTGACAGGGCCGAGGTGGACGGCAAGTGTCTGCCAGGGGAGCTCTGCGGGGATAACAAGCCCAACAAAGAAGGCTTGGTGGAACTTCCTGGTTAGTTGGTGCCGAGGGGAGGGGAGTGTGTAAGCCGTGTAGCATTACGTTTGCATCTTGTTTCGATCTTAATTCAATTAGAAAAGTCAACCCTTTTCTTGGTTACGGTGCATGGAAATATACGAGCGCCTCAGCGTCTGGGCAGCTACGGTCAAGTTTGACGCCAAAATAGATCGACCATTAGGTATAAAATTTATTAACTTGAAAACTTTCCTCATTTAACCTGTTTCATACGTAATCCTCTGTTTATTATATATCATTTTTATCAATCGGTTTATTCGCCGTCAAAAATACAGGCTTCCCCAATCACTCGTCACAGTGCTCCCGATCCTCATCAACACACACTATCCAGGAAGGCAAGTGAATATCCCAAGATGGACTTGGTAAATATCCGAAATGTTTGATTAACTTTATAAATTACTATAATTTGCATACTGCGAGATCTAGGAGCAAGCGCATGGTACGGCCGCTTCCGGTTAGCACAACGACGCAGAGCTGCCTTGGCATATTGGTTTTCTGTCAGCACAGCACCGCCACTGTCGTCAGGGCGAGCGATCTGCAAAACCATCCCGCGATTTGGGGTATTCCGATGCACGAGCGAGAGGCTGTCGTTCAGATTTGGCTGGATTGATGGGCAGCAAAGGCTAAGCCTTGGGGGCTGACATGCAGATGCAGGTCGGGCGTTCCGTTGGGCTGTTTGTGAGTCTTGGCCCTTTACCCGAGCCAAAGCGTCGTCACCTCTTGATTTACACCACGAATGCCAATGGCTTGTGATGTATATATATCAGCCGACATTCCTTTCAAGTCTTTGAATATTAAGCACCAGATTGTTACATCCTGTCAACTTGGGCCACTTATTACTTGAATGCCTCATTTTATCAAGAGATTATCTAGTTCCCTTCATTGAACAGGGCAGGTCTCGCTTCTCATCTCCAAGGCCGCTAAGGTCATGCTAACTAGCACAGCAACCAGAGCGACGCAACAATGGCGGCTACCCTGGAGACAATGCCCACCGAAGAGCCGGCAGCTCGGGCGCCGGTTACCCTCGAGCGCATGCGGCCCGTGAGCCAGACGGTTGAGTGCCCGCACTGTGGAAAGGTGGTGAAAACGACCGTCGAGGGTCGCGGGAAGGGTATGCAGCGCTTCATGGATATCATGTTCTGGCCTTTGCCTGGCCGTCGAAACTGGTGGGAGACTACCACCTGGCGTTGTGGTGATTGTGCGGCAGCGCTGGCATCGCAAAAAAATGGCAAGGATATCAAGGTGCTTAAATGAGTCGAGTATTGCTTCCGGTATAGTTTTTTGTTCTTGGAGCACAGCAGCGATTAGTTTTCAAGTAAGGAGTATGTAGAGAGACCACTTTGACATTTGACAGGGAGATGTCGTAGTGCCCTGAGAGAGTAAGCTGATAGGGAATGGCGTGCTCTTATTGGTGCAAGTTCAAGCGGAACCCACTGTTAGCCTCTGTATTTCCTGCCCGTTTGCACGCACCCGAAAAACAGGCCCCCTTTGACATATTCAGAAGTGCCTAAAGAATACTCGAGAATCAACATCACGAAAGACTTCAGTCTCATCATTCCTGGAAAGGCCATGTATTAACACTACATCTAGATGAAGCTGGGTCATTCAAATGTCCCTGACAAAAGCGGGCTCGGGTACCTAAATGCACGGCTTCTGCAACTGCGCATAATGCATTCACAGCCAGCCCGGAAGCCATACACGGACGAACCAATCGCCGAGGCACTCAAAGCCGCACTGCAGCTACGGATCCTACTCCCGTTAGCTCAGAGGTAGGAACGTCTTGCCGTCGCACACTCAGCACCTCCGCGGCGGACGGCATCTCCCTGGCTGCCCACGACCTCTCCCTAAACATCCTCGGGACGCCCTCCAAGTTCGGAAAGTCAGCCGCGCGTGTGACTTTTGCAAGGTCCGCAAGGCTAGATGCAGCGGAAATCAACCTTGCTCAAAGTGCTCTGCCAAGGGCCTGCAATGTCTCTATACAGCAAAGTACACGAGGGGGCGACCTCCTACGCCCCCCGCCTCCGCCGTTCGGTCTTCTCCTGACGCTCCGATATTGGAGGGTCTGGGCCATTCGCCTTCGGCAGATGATGCTGTATAGGCTCATATTCGAGAGACAAATGACGGTGTGATTCATCGGAGCGGCGCCCCATCGAGGGCCTCCCCAGGGTAGGGCATGGCTGAGATCCAGGGCCAGGTGTTTGATCCGACATCTGGATTGACCTTTCTACACCGTGCCTGGAAGAGACTGTCAGATCAGACGGCGCGCAGAATTCCGGACGCGGTCAGGCCGTCGGCAGAAGATCAGCCGCTGTCCATGGCGGGCGATAGACCTTTGCCAGCGTGGACGAGCAGCTGCCGATCCGCCTGCCCAGTACTACGGAAAGCCGCCGATTATTGGCTCTCTACTTTGATGTCTGCATTGCTACATATCGCGTCCTCCACCGTCCCGCCGTTGAGAACTGGCTCACTATTATTGAGCTCAATAACGATTAGGGCAAGCCCGTCTAGCATCAAGTCGGTCGACCGCGAGCGTCAATTGTCCTCACGGTTCTAGCCATCGCCACAGAACACGACGCCAAGTCGAAGGAGGTAGCCTCCGCCAGCGATCTGTCACAACCCCTCAGCCTCAGTGACGAGTTATTCTGCACCCCATCGCGACTCACCGAGAACGAGAAGGGCTACCCAGCGCTCGAGTCAGCTCTGGCTCGTATCCTCTAGGTACTCTTTCTCCTTACTACCTCGCGCTTCAATAAGAGCTGGTATGTCTTTGGAAATGCTCTTCAAGTTTAGATGGCATGGCGCGCGAAGGTCGCATGTTTTCTTGCATTTTGGTGGACGCACTATGTGACATTTTGTGCGCTGGTGATTGTGTACGTATGGGAGATTCAGCAACGGCGACAGGGCAGGGCTAGCGGGGATGATGACAGCTTGAGATGGGGTCAGGCTAGTCCTCTCCAATTGGCAGAGCGCTGCCAAACACATCTTGGGCGCGCGACGGCTACAAACTCGCCGAGCCGACGCTATGCTCTTATTCTTGAGGAGTTTAGGCCAGTACTGGCCGCCAGTCGTCCAGCCTCTCGTCATGCCTCTGAACTAAACGTTCAACCCCGGCACGACGTGCCAGCCCAACCGTCGAGCAGAATGCGGCACCTGGGGTGGAGGAGTACGGGCAAGCCTTGTGCTCGGATACCGACATGTTACTTGATCCGCACCTTCTCGACGAGTGGCAGACGACGTACTGGCTGGAGCTTGATTCATCGGTAATAAAGCACCTTGAGGAGAAATGGGTTGGGCATGTTTGCTAACTTGGCCGTAGGCATTCTGGCCCCAGATTGACGTTGGGGAAGCTATCGTTTGGCCAGGTATCGAATGATGAGCTGTGCCCTATACGAGGCAGAGCGGCATATGCAATCCCCCGCAAAAGCTACTGAATCATGTTATAACGCAGCTTCCATAACGGGGCAAGGCTGCGAGGATTAGCGGGTGCTGGGTCTCAGCCTCTGAAGGCGCTGTGGAGATTGAATGAGGCCTGGATGGCAATATTCTGGTCGTGGCTTTGATCGTCCTGTGAATCTTCAGCCAACCGCGTGACCTGGCCCTGACGTCGGCGCCGAATATCGCGGGAACGGTTGAGGCGACGTTGAAAACGGTACAGGGCCCCATACGTTACAACCATACCCAAGCTCTCGCGAACCCGGAGGCGATGTCGAAGACGGTAACTATACTGTACAGTGGACCTTTCGTTATAGGTTTCTGCAAGCGTGGTAGTTTCAGCGATTCCTACTTTGCACAGTCCCCCCTGAGCTTTCCAGGCCTGAGATATCCTTTATAACCTCGTTGTAATAATTTCTCATTTTCTTGCACAATTTATTGATTTGCTAATTATCTCTCCAGCCCCCGAAGCTAGTTAGCTTTCGAAACGACCCCTGAGTCTTGACTCCCTACGTGTGGAGTCAGTCCCACAGGGAATCGTTAAGCACCGTGAGACGAGATTTCGGAGCGTTTTCTCAGCACAGACAGGCAGACAAACGGAGAAGGATGAGCCTCATCCCCCATTGATCCATATTGAGCCCATCTGATCGCGTGCCCGTCTTCCTGACCGCAGTTCAAGGTCACCAACAACGCCCCTGTACTTTGCACATCGTCTCGAGCGACAAGGTAGCATTCGACTCGGATTCTTCAACAGCTATTTCTCATTAGCGGCCCTTTTGAAGACACCAACATGAATACCTCCACCAGGTGGCGCCCGCCAACGGCTCATGGCTTGGCTAGATTTTGGCCGTTGTCACAAGCGCGCCGCCGTTGCATCCCATCTAGCTTCAGGATCGTCCGACGCAAGTCATCTCGTTTCGTTGCTGAGTCGCGAGAAGCCCTGCTGTGTGCCGTGTGCCAGCGCCTTGGGAAAAACGGTCCCTCCGCCAATCTTCTCTTGCGCCGCTGCGCCGGATTGGCCATATCTCGGGGCGCCGCCGCCGCTGCCCAAAATCAACAAGCATGGCTTTTTTCGCCCTCACGTAGCTCTTCAAACGCATTGCTGGAATTGCCTCCCAAAAGTGCCACTGCTGCCCTAATCTGCGGAATGCGGCCGTGAGTGGCGCTGCCCGCGCTTTCTTAAAATCTTCAGCAGGCCGCATTCGTTTTTTTTGCCACATACCCAATCTCTCCTAAATCATCTGCATTTCAACACATTAATTAGAAGAGCGATGAGAATGAAAAACCTCGCCACCTTGGCGGCAATAACGGTACCCCTGGTCATAGCCGCTCAGACTCCCGCAACTGGTGGCTTTGCTCAGGCACCGGCGGAGTACCCAAAATGCTCGGTATGTGAACCTAGGCTGAATGGCTTCCTAGCAAGTATAAGTTGATTGCTAACAATAAGAACCTTATCGCTCTTAGCTGCCATGTCTTGCCGAGTCAATGACCAAAACGACGTGCAACTCAACCGACACGGCTTGCATCTGCGCTGACCAGCCGGTGCAAGAAGCTGTTGCTGTCTGTGTATTGCAGAAATGCACCGTACAAGAAGCTTTGAGTAAGTCGAGAGCTCAGGTAGTGAATGCGCCCGGATGGACCTTGACCAAATCTAACTCGATCACTTAGCTGTCAAAAACATCACCAATACAGTATGCGACGTGCCGGTACGCGACCGAAGCGAAACATACATCATCGTGGCGAATATATTGCTCTCGATTTCTGCCGTTCTCATCGTTCAAAGATTTGCATACAAGCTCTGGGCGGGTCTCGACTTTGGATGGGATGATTGGTTCTGCCTCGCCACCATCATCACCGGTATCCCCGCCACCGTCTTGAACGTGCACTGGCTTCCGCAAAACGGGTTGGGCCGCGACGTGTGGACGCTGACGCCGAGCCAAATTACCAAGTTCGGCCTCGGGTTCTACATCACAGCGGTCATTTACTTCTTCCAGGTCGTAACGCTGAAGCTGTCGCTGCTCTTTTTCTACATTCGCATCTTTCCGACTCGGCCTGTTAGCACACTGCTCTGGAGCACCGTCGCGTTCGTCGCCACGTGGGGTACCGTGTACGAGTTCCTGGTCATCTTTCAGTGCACGCCAATCAGCTACTTTTGGACGCGATGGGACGGCCTCCACCACGGGCACTGCATCGACATCAACGCGCTTGTCTGGTCGAACGCAGGCCTCAGCATCGCCACGGACCTATGGATGCTCGCCATCCCGATGTGGCAGCTCAGGACCCTACAGCTGGACTGGAGGCGAAAAGTCGGCGTCGGGCTGATGTTTGGTGTGGGCACATTGTAAGTTTTTGTCTCTCTACTTCACCCCGAGACAGTCACTGTACAGGAGTCTAAGAAATTGCCTAGTGTGACTGTGGTCAGCATTCTCCGTCTCCGCTCGCTGGTCAAGTTCCGGGCCAACTCGCAGAATCCGATGTGGGAGTTCTTTGACGTGTCCTTGTGGTCGGACATAGAGATCAACATCGGCATGATCTGCATCTGCATGCCGTCGCTGCGGCTGCTGCTCGTCCGCCTGTTTCCCAAGCTGCGCGGCACCACACAGCGCTACTACGCCAAGTACTCCCACTCGGGCAACAAGTCAGCGCCCGACAACAGGGAGCATCGGGGTTTCGGCACCGTGTCGACGTCGCGGGCGGAACCCGATATTTTCCAGGGGCCGCACGAGCTCAACCAGATCTCGTACAAGAAGAGCTACACTGTCAATTATGGCGAGCCGGACGATGCAGAGCTGGTTCTCGGTGCCAGTGACATGGACATGAGAAGTGCCAAGTCACTTACATCGATTTCCGCAAGGGGGTCATCGGACAAGGCACCGCACGCGTTGTAGAGGTTAGAAATATGATACCAATAATAATAATACTTGAGTAACCAGATTTTTCAACCTCATTTAACTCATGTTCAGTAGGCACATAATATTTTTCTGTGGCGTTGGATTTCATGTACACGCCTCCCTGTAGTTGGCTTTAGAATTAGAGCAAGTGTTGGCTGGGCCATTTCGTTTCTGGTCCGGAGGTATCACGGTTCACCTGCTGCTGTTTTGCACTATTTCATGTTGAAAAATACAGATACATAGCGATAATTCCAATGAGTAGACTTTCCGGGCGCATTTTGGTTGCCCGTCGGGTAGTCAGGGCCGAGATCACCTTACCCAAGAAGTCGGCTGGTAGGGATAGAGGGCCGCCCATCAACATACCCATGGGTATTTCCGGACGGGCTAGCAAATTAATCTACAGTCATCGAAACGTGATAGTAAGTGTGGCAAGCAAATGGTACAACGATATCGCCTTGTCTTGCTGTCCAACACGGCGCCGATCACGTGGACGCCTACAGGACCGCCGACCGACCGACGGCGCGGCTAGCAGAGCCCACCGCCCGAGCACACCCCCGTGTAAGTCAGCTGGCCGGCGCCTGGAACGAGGGCGAGCGAGTCTGGAACAAAGGGTTATAATGCTAGGAATCTCGTTATCTGGGATGCATATATCTTGTTAGCTTCTTGCTCCCTACAACACAGACTGCCACCTTTTCATCTCATCATTGGCAAGCCTCCTTTCTACAGTTACTTGCTTGTTACACTTTCTTCTCACAGTTGCTTGTTCTTTATACTTTCTCATACCCAACACAAACCATGTCCATGCTCAAGAGCTACCTGGGCCTTGGCTGGTCCAACTCTGCATCGGAGTCCAAGGACGACAGCAACAACACGGTGCGCGCGCTCCCGGCGTCGTGGTACACCTCGCAGGACATGTACGAGCTGGAGCGACGCGCCATCTTCTCGCGGCGGTGGCTGCTGACGACGCACAAGCTGCGGCTCAAGAACTCGGGCGACTGGCTCAAGTACGAGGTGGCCGGGTTCCAGTTCGTGCTGTGCCGGGACCGGACGGGCTCGATCAACGCATTCCACAACGTGTGCCGGCACCGGGCCTTCCCCGTGGTGACGGGCGAGCAGGGCAACAACAAGGTCTTCTCGTGCAAGTACCACGGGTGGTCGTACGGGATGAACGGCAAGCTGGCCAAGGCGCCGGGTTACCAGGACATGGAGGATTTCGATGCGGCGAGCAACGGGCTGCTGCCGATCCACGTGCACGTGGACCACAACGGGTTCATCTGGGTCAACATGGACGGCAAGGAGGTGCCGGAGGTGGCGTGGGAGGACGACTTTGGCGGCGTAGACACGCAGGAGCGGATCGAGGAGTACAACTTTGACGACTACGAGTTTGACCACGCGTGGGAGATGGAGGGCGAGTACAACTGGAAGATCCTGGCGGACAACTACAACGAGTGCTACCACTGCAAGGTGGCGCACCCGGACATTCCCAGCATCGCGGACTTGGAGGCGTACAAGGTCGAGGTCAAGGACGCGTACATTGAGCACTACGCCAACTCGACGCCGGAGCAGATTGCCAAGGGCTTCAAGGTTGCGCCGACATACTTCTTCCCGAACGCGTCCATGAACGTTACGTGAGTACTATTCGCAGCACCGCAATTACACCGGAAGAATGTCATGCTGACCAAGAGACCTTCCAGACCCAACTTCTTCTTCACGCAGCGCTTCGTGCCCATGGGCCCGATGCGCTCCTTCATGAAGTACGAGGTCTTCCGGCACAAGAACGCCGACGACGAAGCCTTCAAGACCATCAACGACATGTACAAGCGCATCATGTCCGAGGACAAGTACCTGTGTATCAACGCGCAGCGCAACCTGTCCGCCGGCGTCTTCGTCAACGGCGAGATGCACCCGACCATGGAGAAGGGCCCCCTGTTCTTCCAGCGCAAGGTGCGCGAGGCGGTGCGCGAGCATCACGCCAGGGAGACGCGCGAGGGCGGCGCGGAGATTTGGCCGGCGAGGCAGAGGCTGCCGTGTGCGGTGAGGGGGAAGGGCGGTGATGATGATGTTGAGTTTTGTGCCAAGGTGGACTGTGGTAGCAAGTTGGCGACCAAGATGGCGGCGAAGCAGATGATTGAGGTGTAATGGGAGGAGGAAGGAGTAGGAGGACGGTTTAATGACTGATTGATTGACTGGATGAAAAATTGTGTCCCTGGCATTGCTTGTCTTTTTTGTCACCTTTTTTCTTTTCTGTCTATTAGCTTAGATGTGTGTAATGAATGTTAGTTCCATAGCTAACTGTCTTCCCTGGCAAGTCCATATTTTGAGTTTTGGAAATAGGCACGAATAATGCGATGCTGATAGTTTCTCTTTACCACCAGATAACCAAGTATACTATCATCGCTTTTTCTACATCAAGACGAGATCAAGTGCAGCATCATTGGGGGGCGGGTTTAGAAAAAGAATGCAGGTAACAAAGTCTTGATCGTCCTTTTTCTTTTTTATCATCGTAGATAACAAGGTTCAGCACGCGGTCCGATCATCGCAATAGGAGGGAGTAAACCAAGTTGGACCATAATCTCTGGTCCGTGCTGGGACGGACGATAAAGAGCCTACGGGGGTGATATGTAGAGGAGAGTTTGGTGATGATAACAGACAGAGTTTATCACCTCTCAGCCACACCGTATCATCTTCCCCCACTAACTAATAGCTATCTCTGTACGGGAATACATGTCACAAAGACAAGAGAAAAGACCGTATCGCACACAGCACCTTGCCACTCGGTCTTTTGCCACTTGCTAGATCAACATGACATTCTTTGTCTTACATGGAAAGACTAGTTCCGTAAAAAAGAGACGCCTGACAATGCACGCACGGCCCCGGCGTCTGCTCGGCCAGCCTAACAGGTGAACCACCCCGCGATGCTTTTATTTTAGCAGTACTTTGTACACCGAACAGTTGAGCTCCAAGCGAAGCCGACAACGCTCTCCACGCCCCTCCCCCCTCTTCCTCCGAATCAGGGATGCCCCCTCGAGCACCACCCTCCTCTTGTTACTGGCCATGTGTGTGTTTGATCTCTTCTTTCCTTCTTTTTCCCCTCCCGCAGAATCCGGGGGTGTGGAGCGTTGCGCCGGCGGTCCTACAGGCAGGCGCTCCGATCCAGGCTAGAGTTCGCTCATGGACTCAAGTTCCCAAGTTCTAGACTTTTATCAACACCCCCCCTTCTTCACCCTCCCTTCTCTTGTCTCCTCTCCTCTGGCCGACCATCCGTCGAGACGGCCCTGTCAATGCTGCCAACCTGCCAATCACCTGGACCACGAAGGTAATGTATTATGTGTCGCAGCTTTCTTGCGCGTCTCAGTTCCTAGTGCCAAGGCGTCCTGCCCAACAGCCCCGAACCCAAAAAGCCATCGTCACTAGACCCCTCTTTTCTTTTCTTTTCCCTTGTCCCCGTTCCCATTGAAACTTAAGGTCGTGATATATTTCTGTACCAGTGGCGGCTTCCTTCTCCTCTTCGGTGGCGGACATTCCCGACAGTGCATTGCGAGTCACCCTTTTCATCTCATCCTTTCCATCACCACTGCGACAGCACGTGTCCATTCGCTCCAGCAGCTGCTTGCTTGCTTCGTCCATCGTTGCATAACCGTTGAATTTTCCGTCTTTGCTTAATCCACTCGTTATTACGACAAACCGTGGCTCGATCCAGCTCCAGCTTGTTGGGGACGTCATCCCCTCCCCCGCAACATACATGATGACCTCGCCAGAGGAAAGCTCTGCGGGCCGTGGACGGCGGCGATCCTATCACGCGTGCTTGACTTGTCGGTTTGTAAAATTCCAAGTGAAATCCGACCCTTTGCAATTTTCTAATCCGAATGACTCTGCCATTGCAGACGGAAAAAGACCCGCTGCCCTGGAGAGAAGCCCGCCTGCTCCAGCTGCGTCCGCCTAAAGCAGTCCTGCGCCTATCCGCCCGCAGTGCGCACGACGAGAACCGGTCGTTCAGTATGTGGTGAAAGCCATGGCTCGTGCGGCTCCTATCTAACAACCCCAAGGAGGAGAGGTTGGCGCATCTAGAAGAGAAGCTGGATCGCCTCTTAAGCAGCAGGTGAGCTTCCCCAACTGCTAAGACCAAGACGATGGGCTGACCTCCCCGCCGTGCCAGACAGGATCACCCGCCGCTCCAGGAACATCCCAACGAAGAAGCGATAGCCGATCCGTCCGAGAAATCCGTCTCTGTGAGTCCTCCCGCGCAGGAGTCTACCTTCATCAATCCCATCAAAGCCCAGACGACGTCACCGGCGCAGCAACCGCCTCTCGACATCATTCCCAGCGCTGGTGGCCCTGGTCCGGCGGATGTCGGCCTGGGCATCCGACTATACTTTGAATATTGCCACCGGCAGCCCATTTGGTGTTTTGAGTATGAAGATGTCGGAGACTTTAGCCAGCTGTCGGAGGAGCTGGCGTGCAGCATCCTGGCACTCACAGCGCGCTTCTCGCCGATGCGCGAACGGCTTCAAAAGTACAACAGCGACGCAAAGCGACTCGTCATGATGCGCATCGCGAGCAGCAGGGTCGAGGTCTCGACGATTGAGAGTCTTTGCTTGCTTGCCTATTCTTCATTTATTGGTACTTCCCCCTCCCCCGCCCTCAGCTACTTATCTCCGTGCTAATGACCGCGCTGCGCAGATGGAAACGTCAGCCTCGGCCAGTTTCATCTCGGCCTTGCATTTCAGCTTTCTCGATCGGCGATGCTTGACGTCGATGTCAGCTACTCTGACAAAGATCCCAACACGCAGAGAAAACGCAAACTCTTTTGGAGTTTGCAAGTGCTGGAACAATACTATGGCAAGCAGACTGGCCTGCTCAGTCTGCCCACGGAGATCTTGCGGCCGTCGTACGCGTCCTCGGTCTCGCGCGACATCTCTCGACTCGAGACGGAGAACAAGCCGCCGCCCCTTCCGAGAGACGATCTCGGCCACTCCAGACCGACGCCCGAGGAGCCCGGCGTCTGGAACACCAGCGTACACCTCGGATGGGTGTGGAGTCGGGTGCGCAAGTACGTGTCCGATTGCGCGCAGAACATCTTCAACGAGCCCTGGCGGCGAGACTCGATGTACGGCTCCGTGCTGTCCGACTTCATGGACGCCGAGAACAGGATCCCCATGTGCCACCGGTACGACACGGTCAAGTTCTACGAGAGAAAGGTCGAGGAGCTCAAGGTCAACAGACCGTACTGGACGACATGGCTGAAGGAGCAGTTCACCTACCACGCCATCCAGACGGTCCTCAACCACCCTTTCCTGTACATCATCGGGGCGCAGCACAACTCCAACCTGGCTATCCCCAACACGTTTTGGCGGCGATCGTCCGAACTGGCCCTGATACACTCTACCTGGATCGTGCGGCTGATCGACATGGTGGTGGACAAGCAGGTCCAGCTGACCGACCCGTTCTTCGGCCACATCGCAGCCATCGCAGCCACGGTGCACCTGTACTATTGTTGTGCCGCCGCTGCGAAATTAAAGCACAAGTCGAACACCGACTTTGCCAAGTGCCGGCGATTTCTAAAATGCTTCATTCCATTCTCCCCAGCCTGCGCGGCGTTGGTGCGTTACTCACTCCCTCCCCGCCTACCAGTTCAGTAGCTAACATGAAGCCTCGCCGTAGGAGAAGAACCTCGACAAGATGGCCCGGATTGCCTCCGGCTCCGACTCGGTCGACGTGGAGGACTGGATGCCCTCGCGCATCTACCTCAGCGTGCCGCTCATGTGGGATATCCTGCAGTTCACCTGCGTCTCCGGGTCGCCGGGCATCTTCACCAAGGACCTGGCGCACGCGCTGCACCGCCGCGACGTGGCCGAGGAGAGCTCCGTGCTGGAGATTGTCGTGGCCACGTCGCCCGAGATCAGCATCAACACGGCCGACGGTGGGCAGGAGGCACCGACGGCGTCGTCGTACAAGGCCTCGGTGTCGCCGGGCGGCAGCACCAATCCGAGCAACCATCCGCTGCTTAACACGGAGCCGGTGCCGCTGGCGGACGACCTGACGATGAACACGACGCCCTGGCTGTACGAGGACTCGTCGCAGTTTGCGGGCCTGGGCGACATTGACCTGCTAGACGCACAGTCGGAAGCCGGCGATGAGAATGGCATGATCTGGTGGGAGGGCGATGTGAATCATTCTTTGTTCAGTCACTTTTAGACAGCTGTAATATGAAGTGAATTATTACTGGGGTACATATTGGATCGTCCCTTTGCTTTTTTGAATCCCTTTTACTCTTTTGCTCTTTTCTTATTTCTTATTTCTTATTTTCTTTTTTAATATTTTAATGTATTTTTGCTTTTGCCTTTTGTTAGTCTTTTGACCGTTTAAGAATCTCCGAATTCGAGAACCCTTGGAGTCACTTCGGTCTGTATAGATAGTCCGGCTCACGATGCGCTGTTAATATATACATTCGTGGAGCCAGGCTCACTCAGGCTGCATCCAGTTCTCGTCGGGTCCCCCCTCACAACCATTGATCCTATCTGCCCGACTTGCCAGTCAACCACCACCACCGGGTATGCATCATGGAAACGCAACAGATCCCATCGCCTTCCAGACACCGAGCCAAGGATTCCCCAAGAAGACTGCCCTCGAGCAACGCCAAACCCGACATCGGTCTTGGTCCACGGAGAGGATGGTTCCCAATTAGGAATGACCTTGACAATTGCTGCAGACGACTGAAATGCCGGCTCCACCGACCAACGATCATGTGCGCCATGGCGCGCAATCTGGACTGCTCTATATCCACGCCATGGTGCGCCTCTAGAGCAGCCTCGTCATGCCAGCATCATGGAGAGAAACAGGCAATGAGGCCCAGTTAGTTATTCAGTACGCGCGGTTGGCTTGCTGCGTTCAAGACGCGCGGTGGTACCCTTGTCGTGGTGGCTGGGTCGGGCTTGCTTTTAGTTGCGCTTCTGCACGGTTGGGGTCATGCACAGTGAAGAAGTGTGAGGTCTTTGGAGGAATGCAACCGCCTGGTGTTTCTGACTGGATGTAATGAAATGAAACGGCAACCCGGATAACTGCAGTAGGTACAATGTTCTGACTTGGCATGGTAGTCATCGGCCGGTTCCTCCCTTCCATCACCTAGATACTACGTACTACCCTGTACTACTGCGTTGTAACTGATAAAAATGTAAAGTAAAAAGCATCATGCTGGTTATCAATAAGCTTGCTACTATATTTACCATTACCCATTTATAATTTATGGTCCTCGCTATCTGCAAGCTCCAAGCTCGGGCGAAGATCAAACCCGTTGCTGCAACCCCGGTACAAGTTCCCCCGCACCTATAGCTCATTGCCACTTCTGGACCGGCCGGTCGAGATAGACGGACTCATCAAGAGGCCGATCACGTGAGCGCAACGGCACGGCGTACTCAACGTCGTCTAAGTGTGCTCATTGATACGTGATGGTTACTCGTGGATTCTATAAGAGTGATCTGTGAGTGTGGTCCTATCAATTTCTAGAGTAACCAGCCGAATCATCAACACTTCCCATCGTCACAGTCGTTCACTGTTGTCTTTTCTAGTGTTGGTCCAAATTGACACTTACAGCATTGCAATACGAGAATAGGCACCATGTCCAAGGACCAACAGGTCGTCATCATCGGTGCAGGCATCGTCGGCGCCAATCTCGCAGATGAGCTGGTGTCGCGAGGATGGAGAAACATCACAGTCGTTGACCAGGGTCCGCTGGACATGCCCGGCGGCTCCACGTCCCACGCTCCGGGACTCGTCTTCCAGACAAACCAGTGCAAATCCATGACCGGCTTTGCTCATTATACGGTTGAGAAGATGCTGAAGTTGGAGATGGATGGCAAGCCCTGCTTCAACCAGGTTGGGGGGCTGGAAATCGCCACAACGCTGGAGCGACTGGAGGAGATCAAGAGGAAGCAAGGATGGGCGGCATCCTGGGGCATCGACGCCAAGGTCGTCGACGCGGAAAGGTGTCTTGAGCTGTATCCCCATCTGAACAAGGCCCTCGTCCTCGGAGGCCTCCACATCCCGACCGACGGCCTCATCCTGGCCGCCCAGGCTGTCCAGCAACTCATCGCGCAAACGCGCCAGGTCGGCGTCCGGTACCTCGGCTCGACCACCGTCACGGGCATCAAGCAGGAGAACGGGCGCGTCACCGGTGTCGCCGTCGGCGAGGGCGTCATCCCCGCCGACATCGTCGTCTCGTGTGCCGGCTTCTGGGGCGTCGAGGTCGGCGCCATGATCGGCCTGCCCGTGCCGCTGCTACCCATGGCGCACCAGTACGTCAAGACGACGCCCGTCCCCGCGCAGGCCGGCAAGTACCAGGAGCGGAACGGCGCCGGCCTGCCAATCCTCCGCTACCAGGACCAGGACCTGTACTACCGCGAGCACGGCGACCAGTTCGGCATCGGGTACTACGGTCACCGTCCGATGCCGGTGGTCGCCGCGTCGCTGGGCCCGACGCCCAAAGACGTGGACGAGCAACATATGCCGTCGCGCATGGACTTCACGCCCGAGGATTTTGAGCAGGCCTGGCAGCTGTCCAAGGACCTTCTGCCCATCTTGCGGGACAGCGAGATCGCGGACGGGTTCAACGGCATCTTCTCGTTTACCCCGGACGGCGGCCCGATCGTCGGCCAGGCGCCGAACTTGGACAATTTTTACGTCGCCGAGGCCGTGTGGGCGACGCACTCCGCCGGCGTCGCCAAAGCAGTGGCCGAAGTCCTCACGGATGGCAAGTCCAGCATCGACCTGGCCGGCTGCGACATCGCCCGGTTCGAGCAGGTCCAGCTCACACCCGAGTACGTCAAGGAGACATCGTCACAGAACTTTGTCGAGGTCTACGACATCCTACATCCCTTACAGCCCAAGGAGTCTCCGCGAAACCTCCGCCTGAGCCCCTTCTACGTCCGGCAAAAAGAGCTCGGCGCCTACTTCTTGGAAGGCGGCACGTGGGAGCGGCCGTACTGGTTCGAGGAGAACGCGAAGCTCCTCGCCGACCTCCCGCCAGAGTGGCAGCCCGTGGAGCGCGACGCGTGGTCCGCGAGGTATTACTCGCCCATCGCCGCCGCGGAAGCGTGGAAGACGCGCACGGCGGTGGCCATGTACGACATGACGCCGCTGCGGCGCCTGGAGGTGACCGGCCCCGGCGCCGTGGACCTGCTCGCGCGGCTGACCACTGGCTCCGTGTCCCGCAAGCCCGGCGCCGTGACCTACACGCTGCTCCTGGACGAGGCGGGCAGCGTGCGCAGCGACATCACCGTCGCCCGCGTCGAGACGGAGCTCTTCCAGGTCGGCGTCAACGGCGCCGTCGACACCGCCTACCTGCAGCGCGAAGCCCGGCTACAGAACGCGCGCACGCCGGAGCGCGCGGCCCACGTCCGCGACGTCACGGGCGGGACCTGCTGCATCGGGCTCTGGGGCCCGCTGGCGCGCGAGGTTATCCGCAAGGTCAGCAACGACGACTTTACCAACAACGGGCTCAAGTACTTCCGGCTGAAGCGGGCGAGTATCGCGGGGGTGCCGGTGGTGGCGATGCGGCTGTCGTACGTGGGCGAGCTCGGGTGGGAGATTTACGCGAGCGCGGAGAACGGCGTGCGGCTGTGGGATGCGCTGTGGGAGGCCGGGCAGGAGCACGGCGTGATCGCGGGCGGTCGCGCGGCGTTCAACGCGCTGCGCCTGGAGAAGGGCTTCCGCTCGTGGGGCACGGACATGAACTCGGAGCACGACCCGTTCCAGGCTGGGCTCGAGTTCGCGGTCAAGATGGACAAGGCGGACTTCAGAGGCAAGAAGGCGCTGGAGAGCCGGTCGCGGGAGACGTGCACGACGCGGCTGCGCTGTCTGACTGTTGACGATGGCCGCTCGATGGTGCTCGGGCGGGAACCGGTCTACGTGGATGGGAAGCCATCTGGGTATGTCACGAGCGCGGCGTTTGGGTATACTGTCGGAAAGCCGATCGCGTATGCGTATCTTCCGAATGAGGTTGCCGAGGGCGCGGCGGTGGAGATTGAGTACTTTGAAAAGCGGGTGGCCGCGACGGTGACGGCTGAGCCGTTGTATGATCCCAAGATGGCTCGTCTCCGCGGCTGAGATGATGAGCGCGTATCTTGATTCACTTGTTTAATTTTATGACACTTACTAAATAGCTGCTTAATTTTCATGACACTTATAAATAGCCGCTTTAAGGTTTATGACACTTAAAAATAGTCGCTTGATTTTCATGACACTTATAAACTGGCTGATTGGTCAACCAACTTGCGGAATTCCACTCATCAACAGATACGCCCTTTACAAGACCGCTTTTGACGTCTTGGCATTGACTGATAACGAGGAACATGCGGCTTCATCCATGAATCTCTTTCCGCCTGCTATTGCCGATCATCCGTCAACCAACCCACGGCTTTCTGGTGGCGGTCCGACCAGGATCCCGATTACAGCCCGAACCAGTGCTTGTTCTAGTTCTAGATTGCTCCCCTCACGCGGGGAAGCCCACCACGTGGGGTCAGGTCCCGGACCTGTCATGCCGGAAGCCGCTCCTGCGCGACCGATATCGCCGGGACCAGAACACAAACTCAATCACACGTGACCGGCTTCACGGCGGCCACCGGCGAGCGGCTGCGGGGACGTTGGAGTCGATGAAAATAATTTAAGGTTGATGAAAGTAAACATTGTTGGTGTGCCGGTGATTTTTATTTCATCTTTTTCTTTCCTTTCCAGCGCGTTTTGCTGTTCTGCCTGGCGACCCCGCGAGCTCCATTTACACGCCGCGCAACACCCTCCCCTCCCCCCAACTGCCCTCAGAATGGCAAGCAACGATGCCTCCTACATAATCATCGGCGCCGGTGTCTTTGGCGTTTCCACCGCCTTGCACCTGATTCGAAAGTACCCCCAGGCCTCAGTGACGATCGTCGACCGGGATGCCTTCGACGCGGACAGCCGGGTGGCGGCGTCGTGGGACTGGAACAAGGTGGTGCGCGCCGACTACGACGACATCACGTACTGCCGGTTGGCGCTGGAGGCGCAGGACGTCTTCAACGCGGACCCGCTCTGGCAGCCGCACTTCCACGAGACGGGCATCTTCTGGATGGCGCGTGATGACTACGCCGATGAGGTCATCCGCAACTACCGCGCACTCGGCCGCCGGGCAGACCTGGCCAGCGTCTCTGTGAGCGAGGCTCGCAAGATGCACGGCGGGCTGTTCCAGAATGCAGACTACGGCGGCGTCAAGAACGTGCTGGTGAACAAGACGAGCGGGTGGGTGGCCGCAGGGGACTGCCTCCGGAGCGTGACGCGCGCCGTCCTGGCGCTGGGCGTGAAGTACGTGGTCGCCGAGGTGGCGGCGCTGACGCTCGGTCCGAACGGAGAGTGCACGGGAGTTCTCACGAAATCGGGCGAGAGCCTCGTCGCATCCCACACGATCGTGTGCGCGGGCGCGTACACCCCCAAGCTGCTCGAGATGTCAGCGGCCGAGACGGGCGTGCCAGAGCTGAGGGCCGGGCACCGCATCGTCGCCGGCGGTATCACGACGGGCATGACGACTCTCAACGACAGTGATTTTGCGCGGCACGAGAATATGCCGGTCGGTGTGCAGTGGTACTCTACCCATGGTTAGTCCGGTTCCCTGAACCCGGCCCCCAAACGCTGTTCATGTTTGCGTTCGTATACTGACCAACCTTCAGCGCCCTTCATCGGCAGCCTCCCCCCGACGCCCGACCGAGAACTAAAGTGGTGGGGTCAGACCATCTTCCGGAACACGACCGAGATCGCCCCCGGAAGGCTCATCTCCATGCCGCCCCCGCAGGAGGACTACAACCAGTGGATCGTCTCGGACAAGCTGAAGCAGGACATCCGTCACGCCAGCCACGTCTTTTATGGCGAGCCCAGCAAGAGCTGGAAGCTGGACAAGTATCGCATCTGCTGGTATGTCCTCTGCGCTCCATCAATCCTTCCCCTCGCAGCCTTCCTCGGACTAACTCGATTACAGGGACGCCTTCACCACGAGTTCCGACTTCATCATCTCGCCGCACGCGGCGGCCAGGGGCCTGTACCTCGCGACGTGCGGCTCCTTCCACGGCTACAAGTTCTTCCCGGTGCTGGGAAAGTACGTCGTGCAGATGCTCGAGGGCGAGCTGGCGCCGGAGCTGCAGGCCAAGTGGGCGTGGGACCGCCAGCGTCCGGACCCGGCGCGGAACCCGGACTGGCCGCGGGTGGAGATGAGGAGCTACCTGGACGACAACATCACTGCGAAGCTGTAGTTTTTGGCATGATTTAATGACGGCGAAGCGAGGATTTGGCGGGGAGGTTCTTGGGTTACATGGATCTCTGCAAGTGTATTTTTGTTCTTGCTTATTTAATTTTCGTCAAGCCGGCGACATGGCCCGCATAGGATACGCCACGGCCGAATAATCAACAATACTCATACGACACCGTTGGGTGACATGAATACAAGAAAAAACAGTTCCCAGGCATATAAGGAGTTTTATCGAATACATGGTCGGTTGACTTTGTATGCCCAAGACCCTGGCTTGAACCTTGTAAGACCGATCTGTGTTGGCGCGCCTGGAAATCTCGTAGCCCAACTCCGATGCGCTACCCTGTAGGTCACGTCGAAAAGTTGGAATTCTGACTGACGACCGAATGCCGGGATAACCTTTCCGTGATGTGATGATGACAGATGGGATGCCTGCCGCTTTATTGTTCTTGCCTGGTAACTTTGGGGAAAACATGGGCGAGGTCGAGAGACAGCGAAACGAGGCCGCCGAGTGCAGGGGCATCGCCAAGAAGCCATCCAGAAATGATGCGGAAATCCCGCCCCCGCATCACTTGCCCACAACGATGCGCGGCATAATAGTTTCAAGTATTCGGCAATTTATGATTTACTCTCTCAGAATAGTCTTGGCAACGTCTTGCGCAATTACCCCAGGGTCTGTGTGAGCTGAGATGTGGGACTGGAACGATGCAAGATTTTCCGCCTCTTCATCATGCAACATGCGTTTACAAAGCAGGCCCTGTAGGATGCGTCTTATTCCTACTTGCAGCGGCTGAAGGGAGTAAGGGTGAGTAGGATGAAGTGCAGTTGCTGGTGAGGTCGCGTGCATTCAACGTAAAGCACAGCTAGGGGGAGCTTCCTCTTCTGGTAAAAACAAGGCCAATCAACTCTCCAGGCAGTAACCCGACGGATGCATGCCAAATGCAAGGCACTGGGTGATCGTGTAATCGCGGCCAATCACGGCCCCCAATCGGGGGCGTCCGGACGTCGCCGCGCCACCAATGTTTTACCGAGCCCGTCTCGTGCATCAGAGCCAGACGGCGCGACAGGTGGCGATCAAGCCTTATCCTTATAATTAAGCATTTCGTGGTTCGCCGCCTGCTGACCCCCCCTCTTACCTAATAGTCGGCGGGCCAAGACGAACCGGTCTGTCAAATATGACGTGGGGTGCATGTCCGGCTATGGGGCTCCGTTACTAAGTCTGACTGTATCACCGTGTAAGCGCAGGGTGTCGCTCGGTTTATTTCGGAGGCGCTGCGAGACATCAAATAAACGATTGGATGCCGAAAGGAATGGCCTGATCGAATTTTTCGTTTCGTTTCGTTCATCCTGCAGTTCGAGCTGATGGCCAAGAACACCCGACAAGGAAGTGACAGTTTGCCGGCCTGCATGCATGGTGGTGAACGGGACCGACCCCTTACCCTTGCGCAGGCTTGGCCACTGAGGCTGTCTTGCATGCTAGATTCGACAATGATTTTGATATTCAAGCTCACGCGAGCACAGAATGCTCTGATACTGATAGTCGGTAACTGGAAATCTCTGCGGTCAAGTAGCTGTTCTACTTTGCACTGTACAGCGGCCCGTACAGAGCCATCTTAATCCTCCCAGACGCCGCCCTCATCTCCACGCCAAGAGATAGTAGTCTCCGATGAATTAGACTCGCGACCCAGCCTCTCCAGTATTGATGCGCGTTATCATACCCACCAAGTAATGCCAAGGGTTTGGGTGGTAAGCATGGGACCCGCCGGTCGTATGTAATATCGCGTCTCGAAGGCAGCGGCATGATATGATATCGGAACGAAGGCTACGACGCAATCTTTCATGTAATACCATCTTGTCGTGCCTTGCCTGACATACTATTTCAACCCTTGCTACCCCCCGTCTTCCCTAGCCTTTCACTAGCACCTTTGAATTACTCTCTTCTTCTTTCACATCCCCCAAAAGTCACATCCTCAACCACATCATCACCATGTCTGACTTCCAAGGGCCCAGAATCGCCATCATCGGCATCGGCAAGGTCGGCGCCGCCGTCGCCTACTCCATCATCCACAAGCAAATCGCCAGCGAGGTGCTCATCCTCGACCTCAAGGAGGACTTCCAGGACGCCCAGGTGCAAGACCTCCGCGACTCGACCAGCTTCGGCGTCTCGCCGCGCGTCCGCCCGGGCACTTGGAAGGAGTGCGGCCAGTGCGACATTATCGTCTTCACCGCCGGCACCAACCAAAAGGCCGGTGAGTCGCGCCTGGCCTTGCTGCAGCGCAACCTGGGCGTCATCCGCGGCGGCTTCGAAAAGATGGCGCCCTTCAAGGAGGACGCCATCCTCGTCATGGTCACCAACCCGGTCGACATCATGACCTACTTCGCCGTCAAGTACTCGGGCCTCCCCGCCAGCCAGGTCTTTGGCAGCGGCACCATCCTCGACACCACCCGCCTCAAGGATGCCATCGCGCAGCGCGCAAAGGTGGCCCCCCGCGCCGTCCATGCGTACGTTATTGGCGAGCACGGCGACTCCCAGACCATCGCATGGTCCAACATGGCAATTGGCGGCATCCCGGTCGACCAGGTCCTCCCGCTCGATGCCGATGAGCGGCACGAGGTGGCCGAGTTCGTGCGCTTCAAGGCCGACCGCCTCAACAAGGTCAAGGGCGAGACGTCGTTTGGCATCGGCGCCGTCATCTCGTCCATCTGCACGTCGATCCTGCTGGACGAGCGCCACGTGCTGCCGCTCAGCCACTACCACGCCGAGCACGGCATGTGCTTCAGCAAACCGGCCGTGGTCGGGCGTCGCGGCATCGTCCGCTCGCTCGACGTGCTGCTGGACGAGGACGAGCAGGCCTCGGTGGAGAAGTCCATCAACAAGCTCAAGACGGTCGCGTACGCGACAGAGAACCCCGAGCCCGCGATTGCGAGCCGCCTATAAATATGATGCATCGCGTGTTTCTTCTTCTTGTATGAACTTTTTTGGGGCCTGGAGCCCTCATCTTGGGAGCATGATAGTTTGTAACGACCCCTAGGCATGGTAATATATCCTCTTATTTAAAAAGCGAATTGCAGTCATTAGTTTCATTAGTTGAAAATGAAGAATTTATTTGAACGTCAATGGCCAATACCATGTTAGATGCATTGATTGTGATTGACCGAGGCGAATTTGGACATACGGAAGTGATCATTCGCGTTACTAATAATGCAGCAGGGCTGGCATAAGCACAGATGTATACATGCTGTACCACAGACTTGGCAGAAGGAGCGCAATAGCATGAGCACGAATAACGCGATCAGCACTCTGTAAAAAGTGGATGGATACTGAAGATAGTATGTTCATTCAGGACTTGTTGCAGGTTGTAACCTGATGGTGTGCACCCCCCATCAGACACTGCTGCTTTCACTGTGCCCAGACTTTTTATCATCCTTGTAAAATTGACCGTCGATTGCGATTGGCTCGGTCGTTCCAGTGAGGTCCTTTGAGTCATTAGAATGACAATCATTTGTCTACGTATTTTTCGACGCACCAGATACCAGTGTACAGCGGCCACGAACAACCCGCCACCTACGATGTTACCCAGCAGCGCCGGGATCATCGATTTCCAGATGTAGTAGCCGACGCTGATATGCGGGCTCCCCAGGAAGATCGCCATCGGTATGAAGTACATGTTTGCGACGACGTGGTCGAGGCCGAGGCACACGAACGCGAATATGGGCCACCAGATGGCCGCGATCTTACCGGCGACGTCCCGCGACTGGCAGGCGAGCCAGCAGGCGACGCAGACGAGCCAGTTGGCGCCGATGCCGCGCAGGAAGATCTGGTGCCACAGGGGCGTGTAGGCCTTCTTGTCGGCGAACTTGATGGCCTCGGCTCGGTACGGCGGGTCGTCGAGGACGCCGCCGTGGCCGATGATGACGCCGACGATGAAGAGCGAGCCGGCGAGGTTGCCGAAGAAGGTGAGCGCCCAGTGAGCGAGCATCTTCCAGGGGCTGATCCGGCGGTGAAGCGCGGCGAGGGTCGTGTACTGCGAGTGAAGGAACCATTGTCAGCGCGGGCTGTCTGTGGATTGATTGGTAGGAAGGGGTACGTGCCATGAAGCTTCCGGTGCAGAGATCGGTTCCAGTCAGGACAATCATGACGAGCGAGAGCGGGAAGACGATGGCGGCAATCATGCGAATTAAACCCGGCGCATTTTCTTGGTACTAAATTTGCAAAAGAGTGAGCCCTTTATTCCGTTGTGGCGGCCTGGAGCGTGTTGAGACGACGCACCCATGGTGATGTGTTGATGACCAGGCACACGGAAGACGAAAACGCGAGATAGCAGCCTGCGATGACGGCACTGATGAATATCTTGTCGACGCGCATGTTTGCCTTTTTGGTGCCGACGCGAGAGCATATCTCGGTCGTCTCCAGTGGCGTGTACGCATTCACACTCAATGACTCCATCGTTGGTGGTACGGGTTTGTCAAGAGAAGCAGGCAGCTTCAACCGAAGGGCGGGATGGGGGCGGCCGAGTTAAAAAGGTGGCGGCGGCAGGCGCCTTTTTAACGGGAATAAGATGCCAGGTCTCCCACGGCAAGGCCTCAGAGACAACCAACCACCACCACAACTCTTTGGAGGAGCAGAGGAGAAGGATGCGACAATCCCGAGGGCCCCCCCCGCATTTTCCTCATCCCGCTAACTGCGTACGATCGAACTTGCCTCAGCATCACTATGCTGAGGGTCGACGCATTCGCCCAATCCCGTGAGAGTCGGCCGAAAGACGCTGGGTTCCATCGCCATGACGGGTTAGAGGAAGAGCCTCGTCTGCATCAAGGCGTCACGCTAGGAGGTGACGGGAAGGATGCGGTGGAGTATCGAGACGTCACAACGCGACCAAGGCCGAGCCAGCTCTCAGTAATCAACAAAAGTCAGGGTGAGTTGGGAATCACTCGGGAACCAACCTTGCTGCAGTTTGGTCGATAGTGGGTTGTCAGTACCAGGATCAGCGAGACTACTGAGTATGTCAGACCGCCGGTGCAGTCGCTTGGGATTTCCTTGGCCCCAACTTCCCCAGGTTTGTCACAAAATCATCTCGAGTGTGCCAACGGAATCACGGCACGGAAGTGGAACTCACGGTCGCCAAGCATAATTCCGATGATGGGGGCCATTTCCACTGTCTTGGGGGCGATCACGACAACCAGGGCTGTGTTAAATACGGCGTGGAGGAGAGACTATTTCGGCAAATAAAATCAACTACAGGATAAATTTAGCAAAATCATTATTTCAACTCCCACCTTTGCTTTCTGTGTTGACGACTGAAAGTATCCCGAGGCTGCCGTCCTTCCCATACCCTGGCGATCCACACACAGTGTGTGCTTAACAACAGACCGGGGTAATCCAGCACCTCTTGAATGAGACTCCATTTCGACGAAAAATGATTGGGCAGTGCGCCCAAAGCATAATATAAATAACCCCCAGTTGTGAACCCCTGCGCACCCTAACTACAGCCTCCGTCTCCCCTGCTCCTGTCTCAGCAGGCTCTTCAAGTACCCCAAGTCCACCGCGTCGCACCGCACGCGCCCTGGCTGCTCGGAGATTCCGTCCAATAGCTTCCTCGTTCTGCCGTCCTCGATCGCGAACATGACGTGCCCCTTATCCAAGTACTCCTTGTACATCGCCAGCTCCAGATTCACGCTCTCGTCGCTCACAGCCGTGATGGCCTCGAACCACGCGTCCGGCTCCAGCATCCTGCCCTCCACCGCGCCACCGTGCAGCCACCCGACCAGCTCCGGCACGCGCGAGTACGGCAGCGGGCTGGGATTGGTAATGTGCAGCCGGAGCGTCACATCCCCCGGCGCTGCTACGTCGGCAAGCCGGACCAGCGTGTCGGTGAGGTAGTCGATCGGGACCATACCCATGTCGCTCTCTAGGCCGTCCGCGCGCTTCGGCGTCTGAAGGACGAGACCCGTCTCTGCCATCCGCACACACATGTTGACGGTAAAGTTATCCGCGGGCGTGGCGCACCGGCCTGCGGTCGGCGCCGTGTGCGCCGGGCACCGGTATACAGTCGCGAGGAAGCCGCGCCGACCCGCCTCCTCCAGCAGCATCTCAGCGACCCAGCGCGTCTTGAAGTAGCCGTGGTCGTTGGTAGCCGGCGGGCGGAAGGAGGCGACGCTCCGCTCGTCGAGCCACACCTCGGAGTCGTCCTGCGACGGCGTCGTGGTGGTGGTGCCGCGCCAGGTCTGCATGTGGACGACGCTCCAGGTGGAGATGTAGTGCAGCGCCGTCGACCGGCCGTGGGAGGCCAGTTCGATCATGTCCCGGACGCTGTCCACGTTACGGGCGCGCAGCTCTTGATAGGTGGCGAGGAGGGAGACGAATCCGCCCGTGTGGTAGATGGCGTCTACGATGCGACCGAGCTTGGCGAATTCGTCGTCGGCGAGACCAAACTTGGCCTTGCCCATTGTGCCTTGGACAATTTCTGCTCGCGTGAGCAGATCCGTCTGACTCACTCTGTCGTCGAACATTTCGTGTTCGGTAAAGGCCGAGAAGAGATCGCCTAGATTGAACCGATCACCGAGGCCCACGAGGTAGACCTTGGCGTCGCGATGGATGGCGAGCAGGAACTTGAGCATGTAATAACCAATATAGCCGTCCGCGCCTAGAATGAGAATTCCCCGTTGTGCATGTCCGTTTGGCTGGTGCTTCTCCCCAAGTGCAGGGTTGGGCAGGTATCGAGCGTCATTCGGAAGTGCGATTTCCGCGTCGAAGTCGAGCTCTACCCTGGGCTGAGTCGCCGCCACCGGGCAGCCAACGCTGGGCTCGAGACCCAGTTTCTGAACAAGGCCGGAAGGCGTCGGACTGCGGAAAATGTCGACGAGCTTGACCTTGACGCCCAGCTCCTTCTTCAGCGCTTTCTGCAGGCGAAGAGCCAGCACGCTCTGGCCGCCGAGTTCAAAGAAGTTGTCCGTGTCTAGGACGACCTTTTGGCTGGGAAGTTTGAGGATGCTAGAAAAGAGACTCTTAATGGTTTCAACTGGCCCAGAAGCTTGAAGCTTAGCGACTTCTTGTTGCTGCTCGGCCTGGAGGCTGGCCGCTTCAACGTGAAAGACCGGGTCCAGGGTCATGTTGCTCAAGCCAACCCGGTCAATCTTTCCACTGACAGTCATCGGAAACGCTGCCAGGAGCTGGTAGCAAGCCGGGATCATGTACTTGTTCAGTGTATTACTCAACTCGACGTGAAGCCTGGTCGCGATTTTCTGACTTTCGGCCCGCCCAAGTTCCGATCTGGTTGTCAGGAACGCCACCAGTTGACGATCGTCTGTCATGCCTGCAGCTGGGGCCTCGGCCAAGGTTCGCGCGAGCAAGATGGCGCCCGTGACCACACTCATAGTCGAGTCCTCCGCTGCGACACGTCGAATCTCGGCCTCGATTTCTTCGAGGTCTATGCGGTGGCCGCGCAGCTTGACTTGCTTGTCGCCTGAGATGCGTCCCTGCAGGTCAATGTTACCGTTCGATCGGAACCGGGCCATGTCGCCTGTTCGGTAAAGTCGGTCCCAGCCCTTGTTCTTGAAGGCGCCGGAGACGAAGCTGTTGTCCAGGAACGCATCACTGGAGCGGCCGAGATAACCCAGGCTGACCTGGGGCCCGCCAACGCACAGCTCACCCGAGACGCCGACGGGAACTGGTCGGCCACGGGAATTGAGAACATAAGTGCTGCTGTTCGGAATCGGTCGGCCAATGTCGACGGTGGCCTGGCCGGGCTGCGGGTACGGCACCTTGAAGAGCGTGTTCTGCGATGTACTCTCGGACGGCCCGTACTCGTTGAACACAGTCAAAGACGGCAAGCCGAGATCGTAGACTGCCGACACGAGCCGCGGAGGTAGATGTTCTCCTATGAGAGAGACGGCTCTCAATTTCCGAGACTGCTTCAGAATGTCGGTGCAGTTTTCGAGAACCATGGCAAGTTGCGTGGGTGTCATGTACACCATGGTTGCGCCGGCATCGCGGATGAAGCCCGCAAGCTCGTCGACGTCTTGCCTTGCCTCCTTGGTGGCGAGGGCCATCGTTGCTCCGGAGGTGAGACTGCCCCAGGTCTGCGCCATCGAAATGTCGAACGATGTCGACGACTGCTGCAGGAACGTATCATTGGCCCCCAGCCCGTGAATCTGCTGGCGCCCGCAGAGCATTGCCTCAGTGTTCTCGAAGGTTACCATGACACCCTTTGGCTTTCCCGTGCTTCCAGAGGTAAAGACAATATAGCAAACGTCGTCCGGGTGTTGAGTCGCAATTGCAGCAGTGGCCAAGCCGTCGCTAGGTGCCGCGTCAGTCATGGCAACGAACTTGGCCCGGGTGGAGGGCTGGAGCTTTTCAACCAGCAGATCCAGCTCTGGTCCATGAAGTACCAGCGGCGCTGAAGTGTTGCTAATCATGTATTCTAATCTCCCTTGCGCAGCGGTAGGGTCTAGAGGGACGTAGACGCATCGAAGCATCGCTATGCCCAGCATGGAGGCCATGACATCGACAGAGGGGTGGGAGAGCACGCCGACTCTATCACCGGACTTTACACCAGATATTTGAAGCAGGTGAGCAACGTCTCTTGCCCTCTTGTCTAACCCGGAGAATGTGACAGACTGGCCCTCTGAGGTTTTAATAGCAGTCGAGAGTGGCTGTTGACGAACCCTGTCCGCCCAGCGGTCGACGAGCGAGTGACCCATCCACTCGGCTGAGCTCTCCTCCTCGGTCCAGCACACATCCCGGAGGAACTGCATCTCTTTCGGGCCGCACATCTCGATTTCTTCAACAGGCTGCCTAAAGTCACGCACCGCGTTCCCGATGAATGTTATGAAATTCTCCAAAAAGCGGTCCATATCGGCGGCACCATAAAGGTAGGAGTCGTAGTCCAGGGTAAAGCCGAGTCCCGTCTTGGGATCCTCCAAGACTTCCAACTGCAGCTCACAAGCCGTGGGGACGTCGGTGACGTGAACGTCCTGGACCTTAAAGTCGACGGATGTATAGGTGGGGGACTTGGCATACATTTGGTAGTTCAAGGCGATCTGGCCCAGGGGAAAGTGCGCAGGATTATGTCCCAGGTCCAAAGCGTCGACAATCGCATCAAACGGCGCCTGAGAGTGTGCCATTGACTCCATGGTCAAGGCCTTGGCTTCTGCCAGGAGCGACTCGAACGAATCATCAAACGAGCCCTTCCACAGAAGAGGAATGATGTTGACGAAGAAGCCGATGATGCCCTCAAACGCGGGATGAGGGCGCTCACCGTTGATGACGAGCAGGGTGAAGTCTTCCTCGGCAGTGTAGCGAAAGATGAAGGCCCTGAGCGAGGCAAGAATGAAGTGGAATGGAGTGACGTTGACACTGCTGCAGATTCGCTTCATCCTCTTCAGAATGGCCATGTTGATGCTGGATCGGATGACTCTTCTTTCGTGGCTGGCTTTTTCTGCACGCGCCCCGTGCTGCGCAAAGGGCAAGAGCTTGCTGGCCCGCGGTGCGTCTACCAAGCGACTCTTCCACCATGCCAAGTCCACTTGAACTTGGTCTGACTTGAGATAGCCCTCATGCCAGAGAGTAAAGTCGACATACGAAAGCTTCGGCGCTGACTTCCGGAAGTCGGAGCCTGTTCTGACATCGTCGTAGCAGGCGACGATCTGCTCCATGAACGATTGACGGCTGGCACCATCCACGGTAATGTGGTGGGTGGCAAAGATCCAAGCATATCGCTGGTCTCCGAGTTTCACAAGGCGGGATTTGTACACCTCGCCCTTTTCGAGATCCATAGGCTGGCCGATGAGATCGAAAACCTGATCCTGAACTGTCTTGTCATCTGCACCCTGGAAAATAGCAGCAGTGGAGAGATCAACGTAGTCGACATTGGCCGACACGGAAGCGATGACTTCCTGCTCAACCATGTCGTCGCCTTCAAAGTAGCGCGTCCTGAATATTTCATTGCGGCGCGCGACCTCATGGAATGCTGCGTTGACGGCTGCGAGATCCGGTTCGCCCTGGATAGAGAGAGTCCACCCGCAAGTGAGATCTCCGGGACGCTCCATGACAGTATCCATGAACCACTGCCGTGTCTGAAAGGAAGAAAGTGGAATATTCTTAGGTCTGGAAGAAGGCAAGACGAGCTCCACGGTCGATTCGGTGGCTGCCTTGTTGACCTTGACATTCTTCTCGACTGGCCGGGTGTTCTTCGTCTTGTCCTCCTCCTGCGTCGCAAATACTTGGCAGACCCTCTGGACAATGGACCTAATGGTTCTCGACCCGAGAATTTCGAACAAGGCCAGGTTGACACCGAGCTCCTGTGAGAACCACTTTCTAAAGTCGACTGCCGCGAGGGAATCCATGCCGTAGGAAGAGAGGGGCAGGCCGATGTTTATGTCTGGGGCGGATATGGAGAGCGAAGCGGCAATCTTGTCGACGAAGGCACCAGCAAGCTCTCCCTCCTTGTCTTGAGAAGTGGTCGCTTCGCGGATCAAGGATCGCAAGTCTTTGGAGGCGTCAGGGGGTTCTGAAGATGATGAAGAAGACTCGAACAGCCTTCGGCATATAGGCTTGGAGGACCAAAACTCATCGCGCGACGAGAAGTCAACACCGCTGATAATGTTGTGATCGCAGGTACCATCCGCTTCGCCGTCGGGATACTGTGCCAGGAGTCCCTGCTCCAGCTGGAAGAAGAGCTGGTCCTCGCTTAACACGCCAGCTCCAACTTTTTCAAGGGCTTCCTTAATTGACTGAGTTTCGCTCAAAATGCTAACATTGTCAACAAGGCCGATATTGAGGGATGCGGCCGGAAAGCCCTGCTGGCGCCGCCATGAGACAAAGTCGTTCAGGTATCCATTCGCCACGGAAAACACGGCTTCAGAGGAGATGCCGACGATCGGGGCATTAGAGGTTATGCAAAGGAAGAACTCCAGTGCATGAGAAGTTGTCTCCCGGTGAATGATTTGAAGAGCGTCAAAAAATGGCTGTACGGTCGCTCGGAGCACTTTAGAGTTGACCTGGCCCAATGGCAGCGGTTTGGCGGATAGTGAGCCCTGTAACACTCCTCCAATCCTGCCATCCACTGACTGCAGCCACTCTTTGATGGAAAGCTCCTCATGGCAGTTGATTGAGTGAACGGTCACGTCAACCCCACGCTGCGTGAGCCAAGTGATGGCCTGTTGAGGAAGTGGAATGCAGGGGGCTTGCGAGAGGACGCTGAGCTTACGAGCGCCTTTGCGGAAGAGCCACTGCGCCAGCGTCCACCCGGCATCTCCAAATGATCCTGACAGGAGGTAGGTCTTGGTGGCATCGAAGAGTTTGGATTTTGTGTTGGGAAAGCTTGCGACTTTGATTGGGGAGTCATCCGCGTAGAGACGCACCTGCTGCAGCTCGGCTTTGGCTCGTAGGGCTTGCATGCCTTCTGCCGCCTGACTGTATGGCAATTTCAGTAATTCTACAGGGCTGTTGAATGTATGGCCACCTGTCTCAAGAGTCTTCCAGGCATGGCTGAAAAGGTCTCGTAGTCTGGATGCATCTCTGCTCAGCAATCTGTAGGTCAGAACTAGGCCAGGGCCGCGGGCTGCGTTGCCCAGGTTAACCACATGACTGCAGTCAGAGGATATCAGGCCGGAACTCGGCTTCCCATTGTCCGAACAGTTGAGCACAATTTGCCAGCCTTTTCCTTGTGACAGGCTTGAGACGGAATCGTAGGTGTCGGGGCCAGAACCCACCACGACGGAACCGCCAGTCAGCTCGAACTGCTCAAGCAGATGCTTGCGGTCGGATTCTTTTCCAACAACCGCAACAAACTGACAGCCAATTGAGAGAAGCAGAGCAATGGCCATTTTACCAGCCGGAGTGGCGGCGTCGTAGATGAGACACTTGTCGCCTTTCTGGACCCTGGCCAACTCATGTATAGCATATGCAGTTTGAAGCAAAAGCGAAGCCACCGGGAGGGCGCGCGAGAGAGATTTGACGTCGAGTGCGAATGCGAGCTGCGCCTTGACACGCAGACGAGATGCATGCGCACCCTGATTCTCTTCAAACACGAGAACCTTTCGTCCTGCCTGCAATCCAGAACAAGAGCCATCCTGCGTGACGGTACCAACGCACGAGGTAATTGCATCGGCGCGCGAGAGCAGCATGGACGTTTCCACTTCCACTTCAACCTCATCCTGGGAAATTGATAGATTCCTTATCCCGTCATTGGCCTCAAACGGTGGGCTCAGAGAAGAGGAGCTGAAGACGTCTGGCGACAGGCGCACGTCCTGACCAGCGAATGAGCCAAAGGAAGCGCTCCCCGAGTAGCGGGCGTTGAGTTCGTTGTCTGCTCCGATACGAGGCAGCAAGAGGCAGCCGTCTTGGATTTCGAGCTCTTCGCCGTCAAAGGATATGCTGAATGCGTGTTTGATTGAGTCCTGGACGTGCTTGGTGGCATAGTCGCCTGGCACCGCGAGGAGGGTCAATTGGAGGTCTGGGTTCTCTGCGCGCGCCACTCTCGATACGTTGCGCAGGATAGAATTGCCTAAGATATCCCGTTTCTGTAGCCACACAAGGTTCACGGACGCGCGAGACAAAAACCAGAGTAGTCTGTCCCAGTTTTCAGACGCTGGGCGAATTACGTTGAAGTTCGCATCCAACTCGACAAGCGACAGAATGTAGCTTTCGGGATTGACATCGTCACCCAAGTTGTCAAGGGTTGTTGTGGAAAACTTGACTCCATTAAGACTTGCCTCGATAGATTTGGCAAGTTTGAGAGATGATTCGGATGGACGAGATGAAAGAAGAATCGTGACCTCCGAAGGTGCTGGCGCTGAGGCAGGTGCCTGCCAGATGCTCAGCTCCCCTTGCTTCCACTTCAGCTCGAGTTCTGTTGCCGGCGGCTGAGACCCCACCATGACATAAAAGCTTTCTGGCTTTGCCAGTGCGCCAGCCTTCTGCTGAGACCCTTTCCCAATCACTAAAAGATCGTAGGAGCCCGAAATCTCGGCAACCTCCGCACCCTCGTCCAGCCGGAGAATGGTGTTGCCAGGATACTGGTGGCTGTAGCAAGCCAACAGCTCATCCACGCCAGAGAACTCGGGCTCCATCTCGTTGGACCCCAACAAGTTGAAGGCGGGTTTCCATGTCATGCGGAAGAAGGCATCCGCGGTTTGGTCTTGGACATCGGCTAAACCGAGCGCGGTGAACTTGACGTCATGCAGCTCAACCAAAGGCTCCGCGGAGCCCATATCGCAAATTCTGAGAGTGCTGGAGCTCACGCGCCGGTTAGTGATGTCTGTGTCTGCATTCACCCAGTACTTCCGCACCGCGGTGTCCTTGCATCTAGGAAGCATCGACGAGAAGACGCGGAGCGATTGGCAGGACGTCGCGACATGGGCGTCCGCGAGACAGCGCCCGGATTTCGACTCCAGGGCAGCGAGGATGACGTGAAAGCTGGAATCCAGAAACGTGGGATGCAGAACGCAGCCGTCTAGTTCAGCGCCGCCGGTTCGAACACCGAGGGGGTCAAAATCAAGCTGCGCGACAGCCGTCCCTTGGCCACTTTCAAATGCGCCGCAAACAAGCTTGAATGCATCTCCATACTGCAGACCCAGGGACTGAAGGCGGTTGTAAAACTTTTCCGCAGGTGCGTGACTTGACATTCGAAGTTGCGTGTCTTCAAAGGTCGCTGCAGATTCGCGTCCTGGGCTTCCACTCTTTGGCGGGACGGCGGCAATCCGACCGGAACAGTTCTGTAATGTTACGCCACTCTCGCTAAAGGAGTAGACTGTAAACTGATAACATGGTGCATCTTCATGAGCACACTTACACTCAAGCAAGTCAACCATGATCTCGACGCCGGTCTCGGTATCGGGAAGTGCCAGCGCAGCCTCGATATGGACGCCCGACAGCACAATGTCGAATGGCATATCAACTGAAATAGTGCGAACGAGGGCCTCGATGCCAAGCGAAAAGTATGCCGCCGCCGGAAACAGAACGCTACCATCGATGGAATGGTCTCGGAGCCAAGGGAGCTCTGATAGACGGATGTAATTTCGCCAGCGCGGGTTGTTAGACGGCGTCCCGGGCACGGGAGCTCCAAGGATGCTATGGCGGTAGGGCCGCTGCCTGTATTCCCTGTTCCACCGGGTCTCAGACCAGAAAGACTTGTGGTCCCAGGAATATGTTGGCGTGTCTTCCAACAACCTCCCCAGAGCCTGCATCTTGATGGAGTCGTCCTCGCCGCGAACGTGCTCACTGTTAACCGCGACCAAGTCCACAGGGTAGCCCAGCGAGAACAGCTGACCAGCGCAAGCGAGAAGACTCTCGTATGCGGGTACCTTCCTATCCAGGGAACCAATGTAGGGGATGTCCGCCTCAATCCCCAGCGACTTGACCGTCTGCTTCGTCGGCCCCTTGAGCGCAGGGTGAGGTCCGATTTCCACCAGGACGTCCACCGCGAGCTGGTCGTCCTCGCCAAGCACCATCCCCGTGACGGCATCCGAGAACCGCACCCTCCCAGTCATGTTGTCCGACCAGTACGTACCATCCATAGCCCTCGCAGTGGAGTCGCGCCCGGTGACGCTTGAGAACATCCGGATCTTCGCAGGCTTCGGCGCGAACCCTGGCGTCGACTCCAGGGCCCGCTCGAAGCCCGGCGCCAGCGGCAGCATGTGGTGCGAGTGAAACGCCTGCTCGACTTGCAGCAGCCTCGCAAACACCTTCCTCTCATCCAGCCTCTCCTTGATCTCCAGGATGGCGTCTTTGTCGCCACTCAGCGTGATGCTGGACGGGCTGTTGATCGCCGCGATGCCCGCGCGGCCCGCGAACGGGGCGAGCTCAGCGGCGGCCTCGGCCTCGGTCAGGCCCACGGCCATCATGGCGCCCACCGTGCCGTGGCGGCCCTTGGACATGTACAAGCCACGGTAGTACGCGCAGATAATTGCGTCCCGACGACTCAGTATGCCCGCTGAATAGGCCGCGGCGATCTCTCCCGAGGAGTGGCCGACCACGGCGGCCGGCTCGACACCCCAGTTCCGCAGCGTGTCAGCGAGCACGATCTGGAGCGCCGTGCACAGCGGCTGGGAGAACTCGCTCTGCGAGAGCCGCGAATCGCCTTCCGGCTTGGTCATCTCGTCCACGATGGACCAGCTGGGCGCGTCCGGCAAGGTGCCGAGCACTGCTTCGCACTCGGCCAGCATATTCGCGAAGAAGGGACTCTCTTCGATGAGCTGCCGCCCCATGGCGAACCACTGAGCGCCCTGGCCGGTGAACACGAATCCAAGTCTCGGAGACTCTCCGGCCTGCTTCCAGGTCGCCAGAGGGCTGGGGGTTGTCGCGGCGGCACTCATGGTGCACAGATCGCTTCCGACGGCGAATGATCGAAAGCGATGCAGGCTGCGTCGCGTGCTGTACGTGTGCACCAGGTCCTGGACGGGAGAGTCGGGGTTCTTGGTAATGTACTCGGCCAGTCTCCGCTGAAGCAGCTTCCCGCCATTTTCTGAATGAGAAGATAGCGGCAGAAGGAAAGGCCGTTTGGGCGCAGGATGGATGCTCGCCTCTTCCAGCAGAACCTTGACGTTTGTGTAGTTCTCCAGCACGACGTGTGCATTAGCTCCGCCAAAGCCAAACGAGTTGATGCTCGCGCGGCGAATTCCATTCTCAGGCTTCCATTCGATCGTTTTCGTTGGCACCCGAATCTTCAACGCATCAAAGTCAATCTTTGGGTTCGGCGTGTCGAAGTGCATGTTGGGCAGAATCTTGCCCCTCTCCACGCTCAGCATGGCTTTCATCACACCGGCCAGACCCGATGCGCCTTCCAGATGGCCGATGTTCGTCTTAATCGAGCCGACATACAGCGGCTCCTCGCGCCCGGCCGCAAACACCTCGCCGATGGAGCCCGCCTCGCGTGGGTCGCCGGCCTGCGTGCCCGTGCCGTGGGCCTCAAAGTACCCGGTATCCCGGGGATCCAGACCCGCTCGCGCATACACTCCTCGCACCAAGCTTGCCTGCGCCTTGCCGTTCGGCAGCGTCATGCCCTCCTTGATGCCGTCGTGGTTGGTGCCGGTGCCGCGGATGACGGCCCGGATGCGGTCGCCGTTCGCCTCGGCGGCGCGCAGGCGCTTCAGCACGACGGCGCAGACTCCGTCGCCGCGGACGTAGCCGGAGCCGCTCGCGTCGAGGTGTCGGCACCGGCCGTCCGTAGAGAGCATGCCGAATTCGGCCATGGTGATAAATATGGTGGGGTCGAAGTGCAGCGCCGTGCCGCAGACGATGGCCATGTCGGACTCGCCCGTCTGTAGACTCTGCACGGCGAGATGGAAGGCAGTCAGGGAAGAAGAGCATGCCGTGTCGACCTGGACACTGGGCCCGTGAAGGTCAAAGACATAGGAGATGCGGTTCGCCAGGATGGCATTCGCGTCAGTCCCGGTGACTGTGTACTTGGGGTAGTTGGCCAAGTCACGATTTGTCATTGACTGGTAATCGTACGTAAAAGAGCCTGCAAAGACTGCGGTCCTCGTACCTCGAATTTCTTTCAAGGTTATACCCGCTGAATACTGTCAGCCGGTTGCTTCTCCGCCGCGGGGGTGCACGACGAGCATCATGACATACCATTTTCTAGGGCCTCGTACACGACTTCAAGTAGTAATCTTTGCTGAGGGTCCATGGCCTCGGCCTCCTTGCCCGAGATGTTAAAAAAGGCAGCGTCGAATTGGTCTATGGGCTGGTCAAGGTAATACCCCAGCATGGCATTGCTCTTTCATTTTTGACGGGCAGTGTCAGTGGAAGGGCTGAAGAGCCAACAGCATCAGAGTCGGTCCAGACTTACAGTGCCTTTATTGGCGCCTTCGGGGTGATAAAATGCGTCGGCATTATATCTTTCAGAGGGTATCTTCCTCTGAACATCGCGTTTCGCGTCCAGCAGGTCCCAGAGCTCATGTAGGTTGGTGGCGCCAGGAACTCGGCATGCAGCCCCAACAATGACACTTGGATCCTGCATGGCAGTCGTGCTGTTTAGCTCAACCATTTTGAGTGGTGGGTTTAGATTGCGCTCGCAGATATAAAACAAGCTTGATAGTTTAAAGATGCTTAAATCAGCGTTATCACTTGAGGCTGTTGTGTTGATAACGACTTGATTGCAGGATACCTATCTACCCGGCGGGGACCCTTACATGAAGGACTTTATACTCGGCGTATCACAATTATACGGTAACATGGTGCTTTCTATTTTTGACTGTTTCTATTAATTTTTTTAAATTCTTTTTTCCATGCTTTTCTTTGAGACTTTTCAACCTTTTCCTTCCGCCTTTGGACGAAACGTAACGGATTCACATGCTTCTCGCGCAGCATCCAAATCCAGGAACCGCGCCACGATCCAACATCATCTCTTGTGATACTGAGGTAAAGGATGCTGAGCTAGAAACCAGGACCCTCTGCGGCTGAACCATATTGTAGTAATATTTCGACAACAACCAATGGCTAGACACATCATGGTCATGAATGTCACCATGTCCAACAACGTCCCGGGCCAAAACGGCCTGACAATATGCCGCCTTACGCTGCGGAAATGGGCGCCCTTCTGCAATGCATCTTCGACTCTAGCGCTGATGCGAACTCCGGACGTACGGCTCACCGGCAACGGGTCTCTCCCCATCGTACAGCATCGCATCGCCGAAAAGGCACGCCACGCCATCCCCGTGAACCGCGGTCCAATCAATTGACCCGATCGCCCTTCAGCCGCGCCGCTGATTCGTGGTCGGTGACAAGGAATGCCCGCCACCCGATGTTAGACACGGTGCCAAGCCACGTAGACGATTCCCGTGAATTTCTCTTCTTGGGTAATGCCATTAGTCGTGGATGGGGCTCATCTGCCATCCGTAGGCCGGCATCTATTCTCGATGGGGAAAGAACGCGATCTACCTCAAAGTTTTCCGCGCATCCAAGGTTGGACATCCGGCAGGCAAGCTCGTAGCATGACGAAATACGGTCCCCTGAATACTCATACACATGTAAATCACGCCATGTGTAATTGCTGCGAACTTTGGTTCCGCGGCGTCTTTGCCCAGACCGAAGTCTAAGTCATACAATTTCCACGGCAATATTTTGCCGGGTTCACGACAATTGACACATTAATGCGATTTGGGATGAGATTGGCGGTGAATAGCATTGTAATATTTCCATGTCTGCTTTCATTGCATTCTTTTTTCTTGCTCCCTCTGTCGCAATGTCATTGTCTTGCTCTTTATTGACTACTCTTGATTGACAAAACAAGCGATCGCGCAAAGCTGCCAAACAGAACCTGCCAAGGTTACTTTAAACAATGTCGAAACCCGTCATCATCTGCCTCCATGGCCGCGGCGCCAATGCCGAAATCTTCGAAATCCAGAGCATGCCATTCATCCGCCTACTCGAGCCCCGATTCGAGTGCATATTCGTCGACGCGCCCAACGAATGCGAGGCCGGACCGAACATACTGCCAATCTTCGAGGACGAAGCTCCGTTCTACTCCTGGCTCGGTTCCGGTTCTTCGTCCACATCAGCCTCCAACTTGGAAGCAATCGAAGAAACCATTTACCTCCTGAACGAATTGGAGGAATCTACACCAAACATCGCCGGCATCATAGGCTTCTCGCAAGGCGCGGCGGTGGGTCTTGGCCTGCTCCTCCGCGATCAGCGCCGTCGCAGCATAGGTCTCCCGTACGTCGGCTACAAGTTTGGCGTCTTCGCCGGCGAGGTGCGCCTCCCGGTGCTGTTCGAGCAGGACTACCCGAACTCCGGCACAAGCACCCCTTCGTTCGATTCCGATCATAGCCGGCCGGCTCTCGGCTTAAGCACACCCACCATCCACGCAACAGGGCGGATGGATGCTCTGGCAGCCAAGGGCACGACGCTCTCCAAGTCGGACATTGGGAGGCGGGCGACGGTCTTTACGTACGACGGCGGCCACGAGATGCCGCAGAAGCCCAATGATGCGCAATACGTGGCGCAATGGGTGCACTCTCAATATACCAAATGCTAAGCCATAGGTGCAGGGTGCGCCTCATGGGGGTGTTCATGGAGGTGTAAGGATACGTGCTGTAGACTGTGGTGAGGCTTCCATGCATTGCGACGCGGAAGCAACTTACATACTTGCATCCTTGATTATGCTGCACACGACATGCGGCTATGCATTATGTATACAGGCCAGAAAAAACTCTCATTTTAAGAAGCAAGTTGAAAAAAGGCAATTTTAGATTCACTTGCATTTTATTTGCTAATTAGTCTCGCTTATTAAAAATGCAAACAAGTCCCTGTTTCGCCCACTGTAAAATGTAGCATTCGTCTCCAGGCCGATCAACTCGCTTCTTCAGGCATGCCATTAACGAAATAATATCAGCATAAATTTAGAAATTCCATTATTCTAATTCTATGTACTGGTGATGCTGTGTAAGCAATCCTTGGCCACCGGCCACCCCAGTCTTGTCCTTATGGGTTCATCGCCCCAATTAGTTTACGCGTCCAGGTGAAGTCGGTCGGTTGAATCGTATCGTCGCCAATTGCCACTCCGTCGCGATCAATCGCGTACGAGAAGATGCCGCCCTTGGTCGCGCCGGAAGGCTGCCACTTGGCATACTGCCACGCACGGCTCGACGTCATCGGCGTGGTCGTGTCTCCCCAGTTTGCGCCGTTCTCCTCGTAAAACGAGAAGCCGATGAGATACTGCTTGCTCGATACGTACGCCTTGAAGGAGTCGTATGTCCTCTGCAGGCCGCTGACGCTACGGCCGTAGGACTGGATCAGCACGTAGCTGACCGTGGGGTAGACGTTGCGCCAGAGGGGCTGGCTGCCGTCTCCGTTGGTGTCGAAGATGAGAATCTTGTCGGTGCCGGACTTGGGACCCAGCTTCTTCGAGAGGGCGTTGAAGACACCCGTGGCCTGCTTCAGCTGGTCAGAGCTGAGGCTCTGCTCAACGTCGATGTCCAGCCCGTCCAGGCCATACTCGTCGACATTCTTCATGAGGGCGTCGGCCAGGCCCTGCCACCCGGCAGGCGTGTTGGGCCACTGGGTGTTGATGAGCTGCGCGATTCCCAGACTCCTAACGACCTTGGTGCCGCGCTTGCGAAGGGCAGGCGCGTACGTGCTGTTCAGCGCTGTCCAGAAAGAGTCAGGCTCGTCGCCCTCGGGGAAGACAAAGGCAATGTCCAGGCAGTCCGGTAGGTCGAGCATGGACACCTTGTTGCCGGAGCCGCTGGCCGTGTCCCTCCAAGATCGGAAGTAGCCGGCCATGAGCTGGTGGTCGCCCTTTTTATAGTCGATTATCTTTTGCAGGTCTGCTCCGGTGGCATGGGAATTGTCGCCGGGGCAGACGGAAGACGATCCGGCTATGACCGAAGCCACGCCGGTTGAGAGGAGTGAAAGCACGGAAAGCTTCATTCTTATTTTTTTACAGATATAATGTTATATCCTATGTAGAAGGCAAATAAACGGCGACATTGAAGTGTATTTATCTTGATGCGACTGCCTTGTGGACACTTATCTGATTTATGCGACTTGTCGTGAAGACTAATCTGAAATAGTCAGGTCCATTCTCAATGGTGACATAGATGGAAGGTGGCTAAACAAAGGTTACCTTGATTTAACGCGGGGTAGCCTCAATACGCATTGTTCGCCGGGCTAAGGTTCTGGTCGCCTGCCGTCGGGAATATTATCATGTCCCCGTGTATGGGCGTAACGAACCATGTCCTGGTTCGTAACCGAGGTTTACATAGTACGGGGAAGCTGAACCCGACGGGAGAAGGAGAAGTAGGGAAGATGTCATCTCGTAAAATATATTTAGACTCCAATAATCCCCCGCAACCCCACAAAGCAGTGAAACGTTGTACGCACCTCATCGCGGTGCTCGAGGTCGGCAATTGCATCTGTTCGGGTGGGTGCAGGGTATGTGAGGTACTGCCATTAGGCTACGAATCTATAACTAGTTAGTAGTCCGGCAGGAGTAATAGAGTGAGAGCGCGGTCCTTTGTAGAGTAGTAACGGGTTTGCTAGCTAATCAAAATCTAAGTCAGAAACATTTCTAGAAAAAAGCGTATGCTGGGTGCTATTTACGTCATTAATTTCCCTCCCGAATGCCAAAATCATCATCGTCGTGCTGGTCCAATACTGGGTAGTAGAAAATTAGATGCCTGTGCAGGGTCTTGACCCCTGGAACTTACAGCTCCGCCAGCTTCTTACAGTCCGATGTATTTTCCACCTGAATAATCGCGGGAGCCGCCAGCGTCGCGCAAACAACATCATCAACTGTCTGGAAATCCTTGCCCGTCGTCAGCGCCGCGTGGCTGAATCCCATCATGACATTCTTCTCAAATGGAAAGTCGGCCTCGAACTCAATCTTCTTGTCGGTCCACTTGACCTTGTCGATCGGCACGGAGATGGGCTTTTGCTGGCCGGTCGCGTAGGTGAGCCAGAGCTTGTCCGCGGTGTCACCGCCCATGTACGCCGTGCAGTTCTTGACGCCCGTCAGGTCCGCCGAGAACGACAGGCGCTGGTCCTTGGGCTCGATGGCCGCGATGGGCCCGCCGTTGACCGCGAGCGGCGCGAGGATCGGCAGGTCGATGTTGGAGAGCGGGTACGGGCACGAGCCGGGCACGACAAAGGCCTGCAGGGCGGAGAAGGCGAAGCCGGCAGGCACGGCGGTCAGGAAGGGCGACTCGGACGGGACTTGCTTGATCAGGTGGCGGTAGAAGCCGTTCTGCTCGCCCTCCTGCCCGATGACGGAGGAGATGAGCTGGATGGGCACGGTCAGACCCTCTTTGGCGAAGGCGACGTTGGCGCCCTGCAGCGCGCCAAGGACAACGGCGGTGAGCGTCTCGGCGAGGTGGATGGCGCCGGGGAGGTCGCTGGTCGGGAACTGGTACTCGCACGCGGAGGGCGAGAACTCGCCGGCGGTCTTGAGGGCGGCGACGGCGGCGATGGCGTGCTGCTCTTCTTGCTGAACTCAAGGGTTAGAATTTGTCATGACGTTAAAGCTGTCTGCGAATAGCGTACCGCTCGCACGGTCGTCAATATCTTGGTAATTTTTTCACCATGTTGCTCGACTTTATAGCCTTGCACGCCCTTAGTGACATTTTGCAGCAGCGAGTCGAAGAAAGCGGTCTCGAAGAGCTCGTTGAAGGCGATGAGCTGGAACGTCGTCTTGCTCCCCGGCCCTAGCTTGGTCGGCAGCGGTACATTGGGCAGCAGCCCGCCGGCTTCTTTGGCGAGGGAGAGTGATTGCTGTGTGTCGGGCTTTGGGAAGCCGTCGTTGTTGGGTATGACCGCGGCCGAGACGGCCCCAAGCAGGCCTATGATAGGCACGCAAGATCTGCAAAGAAGCATTTCCTGCTGGAATATATCGTCGCGTTTCGAGCTGTTTATGGTAGAGTTTAGCTGGCGTGTCGATCGATCAAATTTCATGCGGCATGCCCAGGTTACTATATACGTGAGATGAACCCAAGAGCGAAACGCCGCTCGCTTACACGGGGCATGGAATCACGCCGGCTCACTGCCACCACCAAATTTGATGTGCTAATACGGATCATAAGCGGCCGAGAGCCTCAATAGGATGTCGGGTTCCTGGAGCCATGATAACCATCTGCAGCCTTATGAAACACATGGCCAATTGGCCGAACAGGCTAGAGTTATAGAGGGTAGTTCTGCAAGGAGGGAGGCACAGACAGCGGAACGAATAGTTCCCGTTTCAAGCTGATCCACCCACCGCTGCACAGCCTACATACTTAGAAGCCCGAGTCCGCCTCGCTGGAATCAAGGTGTTGTTTTGGCCTTGCATTTGGCCTATTGTTCTAGCGTATTGTTGTACGTCTCCGCTAAACGGCTATCACGGCTCCGCGAAACAATTACCACTGGGAGAAACGCAAGCTGCGGCAAGCACTCTTGTTGGTTTCAGGAGCTCGGGCTCCGTGCACAGGAAGTAACACTGGTAAATGTCTACCTCAGGCCTGGAATGGCTGCTAATCTGGTTTCTTTCCTTACTGCCCTGCCGCCTCCTCAGCGAGCTCCCAAGGTAGCTTAAAAGCGCAAGGAGTCTCGCCCTCGTTCCGGCCAGACGGGGTAAGTTCCAGATAGCCATTGATGCCAGCGATGCCGTCGATGGCATGGAAATTGCTGTACGTGTGGTACACCTGGTCGCCCTCCAACTTGAACACGCTGATGCCGGGCTGCTCACCCTCAATGTTCTTGACACCCGCCGTATCCAACTCCGCCTTGCTGCGGTAGCCGTACTCGATCGGCACCACCTTCTCATCCAGCGTGACGTGGTAGTCGTAGTTGAAGTCGCCGCCGTAGCTGCTTACCCACGGAACGGCCCAGAAGTTCCTGGCCTTCCAGCGCGCGATCTTGTCCATAGGCGCGCGCGAGACGATGACCAGCGCCGTGTCCTTCTCGGCAAGGTGACGGTGGTCTGGGGCGTTGGCCAGCGTGAACGCGCAGCCGTCGCAGCCGTCCTCCCACGCCGGGTCGAACATGTAGTGGTAGATGACGAGCTGCGAGTGCCCGCCGAAGAGGTCCTTGAGGGAGAGCGGACCGTCAGGCCCGGTGAAGGCGTAGTCCTTGGTCACAGGCAGCATGGGGAGGCGCTGACGCTCGGCGACGAGCTCCTCGTGTGCCTTGACGAGCGCCTTTTCCTTGGCGAGGAGTGCGAGGCGCGCTGCGCGCCATTCTTCTGGGGTAGCGATCTGGCCGTGTAAGTGACGACGTTCTTTTCGGGAATTGAGAGCGACTTACATTGCCTGGCATTGTGTGATCCCCTATATACTGTATATATTCGGTTTGTTTGCTTGCTTGGGCTTTTAGTTTTCGGCTGTGATATTTTGCTTCTAAGTCTTTTCGGACTCTTCACTTGCTCTTAAATATTTATTCCAGGGTGTTTGCATAATTCGTATTTCTCGTGTAACTGGTTCTATGGCCATAATAATATTTCACGCACGCAGCACGCCGAAGAAGCGATTTTGTAGCCGACGACAGTGAATATCCATCTTGTATATTCAGTCAAGCCAGCCCCAGGCCAGTTGCTGCCTGGCAGCTGAAGATATTCACGGTGCGCTAGTGCGCCGCCACGGCCTGCAATAGGAGAGGTTGTTGATTAGCTTCCAGGCAGAAGGTGATGGCGCGAAGAGATGTGGACAAAAGCACTGATGAATGGCAGTAGCTGCATAATTTGAGGTCGGTTGGCACACTACAACCAGTAGAAAATCAAGAATGTTATTATAAATGAAGATGTTGTTTCCTGGTAGTTACAGTAATAAGATCACCAGAACCGAGCCAGCTGGCTAAAAATATGCGCCGCTATTTTTAGCGACACGATTACATATGGTTATTTTCGTTGGATGCATGAACAATGAGCTGGGTTGAAAACCATGAGATTAGAATACCACTTCTAATATGAAAACATGCTACTAAAAGTATCTTCACTAAAAGCAGAAAAATCTTTAAGAAGCCTTGGATTTATCGGTGCTGGTGCGGATGCTATCCCCACCTAATTCTGAACCACGGCCTTCCACAGACAACAGCAACGATCAGTAGCTAATAATCAATAATAACCAGGTATGACAGTCTCTGAAACTGAAAGATAGAAAGAATAATATCTCATTCATTTTCAACGGCCTGGAAGAAGCCGAGGAACAAGAGTCCGTAGATCGCCTGCATGCTGGCTACTTAATGCTGTATCCCTGCACAGCCACCCTAGCCACAGCCCAAGCCCCAAGCCACTAATGTTCTGCTATTCATAGCCTAAATAAGTCTCATCAAGGAACGAGCGTAGCCGAACGCAAGTTGGATTTTATTCGTCTCATCTTATCTGGTTGCCGATGTGTCATCTTCATTCTTAGAATTTCGACTACAGCGAGCCCACAGTCACTGAATGGTCTCCAGTGGGCCTCCAGGGCAGTTGGTCAACGCCATGACTGATGCGTGAGGTTCACAACTTGGACCGTGCTCCGACCAGTCCTCTCATCGCGCTCACCACCCGATGCCGTGCAACACTCGCTAAATCTGGTTCGCGACTATGGCCCCGAAATTCACGTGGCTTCCCTCGATCCGACCCTTTAACCTACCAAGCTGCTCTCCATGGCCAGAACGCATGATCGAAAGTGAGCCCGCGCCCTGGACCTCTCGCAGCGGCGGGCACCGTCCAAAACGAGAAGACCAAGTCGAGAGGTGGCCGCCCAAGCTGGACATGGCAGTTGCAGTGGCGGAACGGTATGAAGACTCGTCTGCCGATGAGGACGTTGCAGCACGAGCCGGAAGACGAGACTCCGAGCCACGAGCCTGCATCTGTTGGTGTTCAACCTGCCATTAGCCTCGCCGCACACTCGACGTCCAGCTGTACCGCCGCCACGCGGAGCAGCAGCTCAAGACGGAAGGGAGCGAACCCCCTGGCAAACTCCTAATCGCGCAGGAAGCACGACTCGGTCAAGAAACGGACTCTTCGGAGGACAACCCGAGGAGCGGCTAAGAGTTGTCCTCGGCAAGACGGGACTATAGTATCCACGGACTTGGATGGGAGTTTACCCCGTCTCCGTGATTGGCTTACGTTCCAGCTTTTTTTTACCCATCACCAGCTGTTTCACATACTCCCAAATGAGGAAACCCGGATCTGATACATCGCAGCCTTGCCTGGTCACCAATGGAACAAACGACGGAGGATGGGCTGCCTTGTCGCGTCATTGTCTATCTGCAATACCGCTCAGAAACTCTTATCTACCCAATAATTTTGACCACATAAGTCACTTGTCGATCATTCATAACATAGCTCACACCGTCGGCCACGTTCATAGACCTGAACCCAGCTTGTCCATCGACTGTTTGCCCTGTCACCAATGCAGTCGCCAAGCCTCGTGTGCCCGATTCGATTTCTGTCGGACCAAGACGTAGCTAGGTGCAATTATCCTCAGCAACGTACAGTAAACCCCGACATCTCAAGGGAAACATTAGCTGCAAGCTCATCCAGAGGGGCAGCCTCGGCTGCAACTTGGCATCCGGACAGCCGAAATCGACGCACGTTGTTATAATCTCTCGTGATTCTCCTCATTCCATCTTCTTGGCCCCAATTTGGGCAAACGAGGGGGGGAGTCTCCGAAGTGGCCCGCGACAGATGACGTTAGATGGCAGCAATGGGCGTCCATCAGCCACCATACATCCCTCGCATGCCAACTGCATCCGTAGGCGTGCGGGCGTCAGGTCGTGCAACGTGGGTGGCCAGCCGTCCAGGCTGCTGCTGTCTACCTTCAATTCTAGTACCGACCGTTTTTGCCGCCAATGCTTCTAGGTCATCCGAGACAAGGGTTCTCAGTGCTTCTTCGCGGATACAGCACCTATCTTTCGACCATTTACAGCGATGAAGAAAGCCACGGCCCCCGGAATTTACAAGGGAAAACGGCCAGGACCGAATCTTGTCGGTATCACAATGCAAATTTGCGTTTTCCGGCAACATAGCATTGGCACAATCCTCGTCCACCAATCGAACGTCTGTCCGGACACAAACTCGGTGCAGGTGGCACAGTATAGAAACGGTGACCACTCGGGGGTTCCGACATAAAACGGCTCTCATATCTTTAGAAGGGTTGACGATTTTCGAAATCTTCTCCGAAATTCTACGCAAAGCGGTTGCCCACCACAAGACAGGTCGCTGACACGTAGGCAGCCCTGCGGTACCCAGCCAGCGCCATTGGACCTATTCCGCTTCTCGCTCATTGCCCAGGCTCATGCCCAAATCTACTTCGTCCTCGAATTCTATCTAGTCTAATCCGGCCTCTCTAGCACCAATCCTTTTGCTTTTCTGCCAGCCAGACATCCAGTAACGGAGTACTCAGGAGCATCCGGAGTAACCACGGCGTCACTTTTATGTAGCTATCTTTACCACCCGAGACACGTGTACTATGCCATGGCAGTCACGATAGCAAATGGTGTTGTGGACGTACCAGACTTCCGGGGCCTCTTAGGGCGCTCAGAGTTATCATTCGGAATTTATGCGCTTCTGCGCTCTATGGGCCTGTCGACCAGAAACGCATCTCAGTTGTGAGCGGAATCCTGCCCGCCAACGTGCCACTTGAGACCAACCCACCTACAAGCCTAACAGGTGCTGAAGACCGGGAAAACCTTGCCTCCTTTTGGCTCTCTCGTGGGCACACACGTGGCAGCGTCGCTTTTGCAAAAGGGTTAACCGTTACGCACGAGCCTCGCCCATCCAGCAGTTCGGTGACTGGAGCATCTCCTTGATGGCTCGAGATGACAGCCAGTATACTATTCATCGCTTGGAGCAGGAAAAGGTACTTACATCAGCACAGAATAAACCTATATTTGCAGTTATTCTGTGTGGAGGCACTTCTCATGGTGAGGCATCGGTCGATCTGGTGATGAGGTGTAAGCCAACCATGCCGTCGCCGGTAACCTGCGAGGTTGGCCCAATCCGGCCGCTCAAAGCTCAAAGTATCACACGTGGCCCATGATGATCTCGCTCACACCGTACCATGAAGCAAAGACAATCAAGACCGATTGCGTGAGGTCTGAGACTTTGTATCGAAGCTGTGGTTTGGGCGGTGCGGGGGGCGCCGATTATCCACTAATCAGGAAACCGTCGGGCCAGAGCGACCTCAGAGCTCACGATGAGACAGGAAAGGGCATGTAAGAGAGTTATTACTCAGACATATATCGGGGTGCTAATGTCATCTCAACTGGCAGAGGGCATCACAGAAGTGCCGGCCAAGAAGCCTGACGGCGCCTCGCTTCTGAGACCTGATCCGTCATTATGCGACCCTGATTGACCGCACGCCATGCTTCTCGGCTACCGGCCACGCCCTATACACAATCTTTCTACTCTACAACCTAGAGTGGAAGACTTCCGCTTCTTTCCTCAGGTGATGGGTGTTTTCCCAGGAATCAGGAAAGGACACCATGAAGAGCCCTGCAGAATATCGGCCAGTACTCTGCCCGACTCCCTCGCACTGTCACAATCAGTATACCCCCCCTCCACCACGTCGTGATCTCAAGCAAATAAGGTTTTGGCTAGCGCCATTTATATCACTGTACATGATCTCTTCTATTTCGTTTCATATATCTTAAGCTTTCTGTCCAGCCTCATTACCGAGTTCCTCAAACTGTCTTGTGGGCATAAGAGCTATTCCCACCTTCTATTCCGCTTTCCACAGCATCATTGATACCGTCATATCTTATTTTGACGATCTAAAAACTCTTTTTTTGAGGCTGACTTTCTACTGTTTCCTCCGTCTTGCTGACTCTGGGTCAGAATGGAGATACCACACTGCTCTTCTACTCCTGATGACTGGTCCCTGAGCTCTGGCTATGGCATGGTACAGGCGTCACCACAGATCGCTACCGACTCTCACTATCGCAGCTATGATCAAAAAGAGACACTTTTTTTCAATCTCATGGAAAGTCAGACAGCAGGTCTCGGCGCTTGTTTCAACCTTCAACACCCAACTCGTTTTTCGGGAAACCCGTTCCCGCCAGTCACCGCGCCAGGCTATCCTAACTGGGCTCCCATCGCTTGCGCCGTTGACGCCCAGTTTGAGGGCAATACAACAGACACAAGCTGTGCTCATGAAATTGGCTACGATGTTATCATCTCAAGCTACTACATCCCTTCCATGAATGGCAGCTCCAAGTACACCACTCCTCGCTCATGCCATATTCCGAATGACGCAGCTGCCAGTACCAGTCAAGGCCAACACTACGATGTTGTCCCGTTCGGCTGCACGTCTAGTTCGGAAGCTCTGTCCAATTCGACCACACAGATGGTTCGCCGCCTTTCTTTTTCCAGCCAACCTACGTCGGAGCTCGCCATGCGCAGCTTATTCACATCCAGCGCCGTCCCCGCCTGGGACCATGTCCGACCTGGACATGCAAGACCACTCTTTTGCATCTTCCACTATGCTGGTTGCACGTTGCGATTTTCTTCCAAGAACGAGTGGAAGCGTCACATCATGTACCAGCACCTCAATCTCCAGTACTGGGTCTGCATCGAAGGTGGCTGCGGCCTAAAGCGACGCCAGGTTGCTGAAGTCCACGCGTCGTCGTTGCCGGCGCGCGGCTCCATCTTCAACAGAAAGGACCTCTACACGCAGCATATACGCCGCATGCATCTCATGCTTGAGGCTGGTCCCGTCGACGCGGACATCAAAGGGCTTACGTCAAACGAAGTCAAGGAGCGCATGCGCAGCTTGCAGGCCAGAGCCGCCCGCACGCGCTGCGCCTTGCCGCGCTTCATGACTTGCCCGGTACTAGGCTGTCCTGCTGAGTTCGCCGACTCCAACTGCTGGGATAACTGGATGGAGCACGTTGCTGGCCACATGCAGCGAGCTGCCAACGGCGAAGAGCCGCTCGTGAGCTTCGGGGGTGCCAAGGACTGGACTCTGACGGAGTGGGCTGCCAACAAGGCAGTGTGCATCACGCACCAGATGCTTGATGGCAAATGGGCACTTTGCAAATCGATACGTGGCAGAGGCAGCAACGCGCCGAGTGGTCGTCTTAAGCAGCGCAAGTAACGAGGAAGCCGTCTTTTTACCGCGGAGCTTCACGAGCGCAGCGTTGAGCACACGCCGCGTACATTGTTGGTGCTATGGAATGAGATACCAAAATAACGAAGTAAATGAACACATGTCTTCTCCCATTTTGCCTAATTCTCATCACATCACCTTGTTGCCCGACGTCTTCTAGATTGTGTGAGCAGTTTCGCAGTGAGAAGCTGGCAAATACCAACAAACAACAACTGCAAAGAGTGCCTAGTAGGGGACCAAAAAGGAAGCGGGTGCGTTATTGCTTCAGCAAATGTTGCTTAAGAAATCAGTCTAGATTTTACAGTGGAAGAAGTAAAGAAAGTCGTCTGTTCTTCATGATTTTGTTCCTCATCTGGAGTTTAGGGTAGGAGCAACATCCTTGCTGAAGTCGATCTACACCACGTATCGCTGCAACACTATAAACAGCAAACGCCTTTCTTGGTAGTATAATAATAAAAGTCTATTGGTAAAATCATAAAATCTATGCTTCTCACGAAACCAAAAAAAACTAACCATTTTTAAAACCGCCTACTCCGACTTTGGCGGCCACTTGACCCTCCTCTCCGCGCGCACATACAGGTTGTTCGGGCGGATCAGCTGAAAGTACGGGTCGTACTCGATCGGCCCGTCCTGCGCGAGCGTGAACTTGTAGCGCCAGACGAGCTTGGGCAGGAAGACCTTGATCTCCTGCAGCGCAAAGTTGAAGCCGACGCACATGCGCGGCCCCTGCGCGAACGGCGTGTAGCTCCCCTGCGGCCGGGCCTTGACCGCGTCGGCGTCCCAGCGGTCGGTGTCGAAGCGGCCCGGGCTCTCCCAGACCTTGTCGTTGTTGTGGATGTGGTGCAGCGCGGGGACGACTACAGCGTCCTTGGGCAGGCGGTAGCCGCCGGGCAGGATCATGTCCTTCTTGGCGGTGCGGGCCGGCTGGTAGGACGGGTTGTGCCGGCGCTGCGTCTCCTTGATGAACTTGTCGAGGTAGGTGAGCTTGGCGGTGAGGTCGGCGGTGACTTGGGTGTCGTCGTCCCAGTCGTGGTCGACGAGCTCTTGGAGGAGCCGCCCCTGCGTGCCGGCGTACTGCACGAGGCTGTAGATGAGCCAGGATAGTAGGGATGAGGTGGTGGTGAAGCCGGCGCCGGTAGCGACGACGAGGGCGGGCGCGAACTGGGCGGGCGGGAGCTTCTTTCCCTTGCTGTCCTTGGCACGGAGGAAGTAATCTGCATGAAATTTAATTAGAATGCAGCTCTGAGGGTGCGTGCAAGAGGCTTGTACTTACCGACAACGTTTTCAGCTTCCAACGCCGCGTCCTGCAGGTCGAGGTCCTCCTCGCCCTTGGACGCCTGCGCGATGGACTCGAGCAGCATCTCCTCAATGCGCGCCTTTGTCTGGCGCAGCCGCCTAGGGTCGCCAAACGGCATACTCGCGTACCAGGCGCCCATGGTCGACACGCGCTTGTTGAGCTCGAGGTTGTGCGCGATCTGCAGGACCATCTCGTGCAGCGGCGCGTCCACGCCCGTAAAGTGGCCAAAGTCCATGCCGAGCACCAGCTTGCCGACGGCCTGCGAGCCGAGCTTCAGCATGTACTGGTACACGTTCCAGGCCTCGCCCTGCTCGTCCAGCTCGTCAAAGACCTTGAAGGCGTCCTCGACGCTGCGCTGCATAGTGGGCGCGTAGTGGCGGACGGCCTTGGGGCCAAGCGCCGGGGGCAGGAACTTGTGGGCGAGCCGCCATTCCTCGGTGTCGGTATCGCCGAGGAAGACGCCAGCCTCGGCAGACTTGATGGGGTGCAGCGGGTGGCCGGGGATGATGCGCTTGGTGAAGAAGTCGCTCTCGGCGAAGAAGATGGTGGCGAGCCGCGGATCGTTGGTCTGGTACACGCGGCTGCCCATGTTGCTGGTCGAGAAGAGGGGGCCGAGCTTTTCGAAGAGCCGCTGGTGGTTGCCGAGATGGTCGGGGTAGATTTCAAGGTAATTTCCGAAGTAGGGGATGCCGGCCGGCGAGGGAACATCGCGGACGGCCTTGCCGTCGATGGTGACTGCGACGGGACCATCTTTGGCGACAATGTCGGCGACGGCTGTTAATCTGTGCTGGTCATACAAGAAGCCGACCCCTGATTTTATTAGTCTTGATCAAGTGTCTGTTTGCTTGGGAATGGACGAACCCTTGGGATCTACTATGCTATAATGGGCGGCAATGTGATGTTGGAGCTCATCAAGATCGGTGGACTCTGGAAGCTCGATATCGCGGGCTGTCGAGACATCTTCACCGAGAAGATAAAATTGTTTTGATAACATGACAAAGGAATGCTGTGGCTCAATCAAGTAGTGCAATCATTTACTGGTGTGGAAATCTGGGCGGATGATCGCTGGCTTTCCGGTTTCTTCTAGACGGGGGCCAAGCTAATAAATATCACCAATGACGAGATCCTAGTCCGGGACCTGCCGAGGCATGTTTTCGAGTTCTTCTACAAATGCCACTCCTGGGCAAAAAAATATCTCATTCCGCGATGCTACCCGTTGCCGGAAAACATGAGCCCATCCGAGATCGCCTCCGGAGACATTGGGCGGCGGGCAATTCTCCGGCACAACAGCTGCGTATCCACGCAGTGCTGAGGGCTTACATTTGTGCTGTGCTTATTGGTAGCCAGACGTAAAACAGCCCCCAAACCAGCGACACTAAAGCCCCCTAAATCTTGGGATGACGCCATGAAACTGTGTTTTTACACGCCGCCACCCGCCGGGACGATGCCGTCCCGCTGAGGTCCCGCTGATGTCGGCGATGCCGGGACGCTAATCTCGGTGACGACCCAGGTCAATGTCCGCGGTGGGAATGAAAAAGCCCGAGAGTAGTTAGTTGGAACGATCCGGTCTTTTTCCCTGCACCAATGGATGACGTCGAGAAGCCCTGTGTTCCAGTATTCCAACCCATGGATCTCGGCTTGAGATGCCTAGGCAAAAGCCCACTATAACCCACCATCTTCACTATTGTCCGCGGACTATGCCTAGTACTACAGGGGTAGGAGATACCAGCCATGTCCGGCATGAAGATCGTCTGGCGGTCGCGATAATTACCGTCGACCGGAAAATAAAAGAAAATTAGTGTGACTTAATTTGTAGGCTTTCAGACGTGAGCCGGTTCTTTAAAAAGTCAACAATCGCAGACTCCTGAACTTTTTGCAAGCCCTCTCCAGACTGGACTCGATACTTGCCCTGGTATACCTGTAGTCACTCTTCCTATAAGCCTGCAGCGATCAAGACCATGGAGTACGACACAAGACAAGTCGCCGAGCACAAGGTGGCAAGTGATGCTTGGATGACTATCCATGGCAAAGGCAAATCTCCCTTATTTGCAGTCGCATCCCACGTGAATTACTGACCAGTTCCCAGTCTATAATGTGACAAAATATCTCGAGGATCACCCTGGCGGTGCCGAGGTGCTGGCAGAGGCCGCTGGCACGGATGCTACAGAAGCCTTCGACAATGCCGGCCACTCAGAAGACGCATTCGACATTATGGAATCTTTTCAAATCGGTAGCCTCAAAGGATACAAGAAGAAGCCACAGCGCAAAGCCATCACCGTGACGCCAGCGCCCACGACGGAGAAGCCGACGTCAAGCAAGACGCATGCGCTCGTTTCCCGGTTGGGCAGCTTCGGCCTGTTCTCCCTCGCCGTCACCGGCGTGTATCTCGGCACCCGCCACTACGGCCCGCCGACGCCGCGATGGGTGCTATCCGTCCTCAACAACGAGACGCCCGGGCGGCACGGCTTCGGCTTTACCAAGGGCCTGCTGGCGGGCGCCGGAATCTTCGCCGTCGTCGACGCGCTCCTGGCGCAGCACTTCGCGCGACTCACCCTTCAAAGCAGCAAGTCCTTCACGAGCTACCCGGCGCACATGAAGGTGCCCGAGCCGGTGCGCGAGGACACGCTGCTGCAGCGGGGGCTGCTGGACCCCGCGCGGTACTCGCCGCTGCCGCTGCGGGCCAAGACGCGGCTGTCGCGCAACGTGTACCGGTTCACGTTCTCGCTGCCGACAACGGAGACGGTGCTGGGCCTGCCGATCGGGCAGCACGTGGCCATCAAGGCCGACGTGGCGGGCGAGAGCGTGTCGCGCTCGTACACGCCCGTGTCCAACAATGCGGACCGCGGCGTGCTGGAGCTGGTCGTCAAGGTGTACCCGGACGGCGCGCTGACGAGCGGCTACCTGGCCGGGCTGGCGGTGGGCGACGAGGTGCGGTTCCGTGGGCCGAAGGGCGCGATGCGGTACGCGCGCGGGCTGGCGCGGCGCATCGGCATGGTCGCGGGCGGCACGGGCATCACGCCCCTGTTCCAGGTGATTAGAGCCGTCTGCGAGGATGACCGCGACCTCACGCAGATCAGCCTGGTCTACGCGAACCGTACGGAAGAGGACATTTTGCTGCGCAAGGAGCTGGACGCGTTCGCGCGCAGATACCCGAAGCAGTTCAAGGTGTGGTACCTGCTGGACAAGCCGCCGGCGGAGGGGTGGGAGTACGGCACGGGGTACTGCACGCAGGAGGTCATCGCGGAGAAGCTGCCGGCGGCGAGTGCGGACACCAAGATGATGCTGTGCGGGCCGCCGGGGTTGGTGAGCGCGGCCAAGAATGCAATGCTGAATATGGGATTCGAGAAGCCTGGCGCCATGTCCAAGATGACGGATCAGATTTTCCTGTTTTGAATTGAAACTTGTTGGCTTTGTCGAAAATTTACTCCTTGTATTTTATTTGTTGATATGTTTAGACACTTTATTAGTATTAGACTGAGCGCCACCTGATTAATTACAACCCAGAACTTGAAAAAAAAAAAAAAAAACTGCATCCCTGTCCATCAATCTGGATCGGTCCGAAATATGGCGCCGAGCCGGATATTCTCCATCCTCTCGTGCCCTCCTACCCTTGACAAAACGAACAAACGGGCTCCAGAGGGTTGGTTATTTTACCTCTCGCCGGCCCATGCCGTCGCTGTCAGTAACCTCCTCCTCCATCGCCATTTTGTAGTAATTCATTGGAGATACAGGTAGCCATGATATTTGGTTTACTGCATACGAAGGTACCAAGTGTTCCGCCATCCTGAGCAGTCCTTTTAGAGGTGTTAGATAATGTTTGGAGAACTACATTGGGTGGCAACATGTATTTGTCCCTTGCTAACTAGGTATCTGACCTATTTCTACAATAGTCGAGATAGTTAGCGAAGATACCTAAGATGTATGAAATACCTAGGATATGTAAAATAGCCAAGATATATGAAATGCTCAAGATATATAAAATACCTAAGATATATAAAATACCTAAGATGTATAAAATACCAACGTCATCCTGCTATCACCGACGATCAAGCTCGTATCAACGCAAAGCATGGTGAAAATTATACAAAAGACACAGAGGGGGCGCATAAACGAGAGAGATGTTGAGGACGTTGTAGACGGCGGATTGGGCCTCACTAGGATGGGGAATACAAGGAACGCAGCCTAAGTTTTCACGGAAGTGAGAGACAACGAGGAAGCTAGGGGCCCTGGGAGAAGAGTCAACCTTGGGAGAAGTCGATGACACCATGTTGCAAAGTACCCTGGTCGTGAAGTGTGGGGTGGTGATCAGTGGCGCCTGTTCGGCCCTAAAATGAAGTACAAAGGGGTGGTGGCGATAATTATAATTATCACGGAATTGTTGGTGCCAAGATGAAGTGCCCCGAGAGGGCAAGGAGCCTCGCAATTTGTGCCTGATCTACCTTTCGCCAAAAGCTACCTGTGTAACAGCCCTGGCGAAGCCCATGCGATTTACCGGACGTTTCCGCTGCGAGCCCGCGCCTCTGTGCTGAGGAGATCATGGATCGCGGCGAAGCCATCAAGGCGCCCTTGATATAAATAAAACTTAATAATTTTAATATTCTCTTTAGAGCTTTGAACTGTATCTAGCACGTTATTAATACATAAATGCTATCCTCGTCTTGCCTGCCTCGTGTTGCTTCTCCACCATGCCCGGCGAGCGTCGGCACGCCAGGCATGCTGCTAGCTGCCCGCGTTATTTCGGTGTTGGACAATCGCCAGGCCTGGTCGCCGTTTACTCTCGCCTTCGTAATTTATTTTTGTCGGCTCAACACCACGGCTATCCTGTTCAGCTTGGCCATGTATCTTGCCGTGTCACAAGTGTACTACTCCTACAAGTATAATCCCGGCTGGACAGCTGCACTTTGGTACAGAGCAGTCTGAGGAGCAGGAACGCGTTGGACGCCCAGCGACAATGGCCACTGGTTACACAAGATTTGGCCTTGTTGTTAGCCTAGAAATAGACCACAGAACCATTCCATAGCGCAGACCAGATTGTCAACCAGCCGGTGAGCTGGCGGACTACCAATATCCGCAGCCCGTCGGAATTTGGTACGTAGCCCGCTCACTTATAAAAGGCAGCCGCCCTTAGGTCGCCCTAATTCCTCCTCGTCTCCATGATTTAATTTCAATTACAATGGTTGACCCTATTCGAGTTGATGTTGTCATTGTTGGGGCTGGCTTCTCCGGTTGCCTCGCGCTCCATGAGATGAGGTGTCGCGGTCTGTCTGCACGCATCATCGAGGCCAACGACGGCTTTGGTGGGGTTTGGCACTCCAATCGATATCCGGGGGCACGGGTAGACTCCATCCTGCCATTTTACCAGCTAACCAAGCCGGAAGTATATCGAGGCTTCACCTTCACGGAGAAATACCCCGACTCGTCAGCCTTGCGTGACTACTTCAGCCACCTCGACGAGACGCTCAATTTGAGAACGGACACTATTTTCGGCCACAGAGTGGTCAAGGCTAGCTTCAGCGATGAAAGAGCGACTTGGAACTTTGAAACGCATAGAGAATTGACTGCAACATCTCGGTTTGCCATATTTGCTGGGGGCACGACTCAGAAACCGCACGTCCCGGACCTCCCAGGTCTCGATACCTTCCAAGGACAGATCGTCCACCCCGCAAACTGGCCCTCTGACCTTGAACTAGAGGGAAAACGAGTTGGATTGATTGGACAAGGCGCCTCAGGTATTCAAATACTGGAGCAGCTTGCCAAGGACAATCACGACATTACCCTCTTCATCCGGACCCCTTGCTTGGCCGTCCCGATGCAACAGAAGACGGATTCCATGGAAGAGAGCCAGGAGAAAAAGTCCGGATATGACGCATTATTTGAAAAGGCCAAATATGGACAAGACGCCGGATATCCATACCTCCCGGCAACACGCATGTTCGAGGACGAGACGCCGGAGCAGCACAAACAAGTCTTCGAAGAGCGCTGGAGTCATGGCGGCTTGATGGCGACGATGGGTTACAACGATATTACGACCAATGCGGATGCAAACGCCACAATGTATCGTTTCTGGAGAGACAAGGCGCGCGCGCGTATGACGGACCGGGCCAAGATGGCCATCGTGGCACCCACGGAGCCGTTCCAGTGGATCGGCGGGAAGCGGAGCGCGCTGGAGCAGAACTACTTTGAGATGATCGACCGACCAAACGTCAAGCTGGTAAATCTCAAAAAGGCTCCGATCAGCAGGGTCACGCCGTCAGGGATCGTTGTGGGTGGCGAGGGGGAGGGTGATGGCGACGACCTGCACGAACTCGACGTCCTCATCTTCTCGACGGGCTACGACTCGGTCACGGGTGGCATGTACGACATGAACATCCTCGACAGACACGGACGGTCGCTGCGGGAGAAGTGGAAGGACGGAATCCATACCTTTGCTGGCATGATGATCCCGGACATGCCCAACGCCTTCCTGCTCTACGGCCGGCAGGCGCCGACAGCGCTGGCCAACGGACCAACCTTCATCGAGCTGCAGGTCGAGTGGATAGGCAAGGTCCTGGACGGGATGGAGCGGCGGGGAGAGGAGATGGTGGAGGCGACGCAAGAGGCGGCAAGGGAATGGGCGGACAGGACCTTTTCCATCTGGAATTCGCTCAGGGTCCGCGATCAGGACTCGTGGTGGGTTGGATCGAATATACCCGGGAAGCGACGAGAACCGCTCATCTGGTTCGGCGGGACGAAGCTGTGGTGGGATCTCTGCAATGTCGGGTTGGTAGACTGGGAACCTTTTACGTCAAGACTGTGAATGGAGTCTGCTTTATTGACGTTAGATTGAATTAACAGATCATTATAAAGAAACATTACTAGAGTGGCTATGAAATGCTGATGAAAAGAGATCAGCGGCAGCCATGTCACCATGCAATCTGGTCTGTTCAGGAGACGGTAAGAGTTCCAATGCAATCTTGTTTGTACAGGGGACCATAAGAGTCCCAGCGCAGACGACTTCCTGCTCAGCGCGTCTCCTTGCGCGTCCAGATCTCGCCGATCGGGTCGCCCGGCTCGGCCACACACTGCCACTCGCCGATGCCGAGCTCCTTGGGCGCTATGCGCACGCCACGGCCGCCGCCGCCGACGATCAGGTTCCCCGGGCGGTACCCCTCGTCCGCCTGCATCCTCCGCAGCACGCTCCCGTGCACGCGCACTCCCGGCGGCACGTCGCGCACCTCGCCGCGTGGCAGCGGCCACCGGATCGGCCGCCACGACCCGTCGCTCTGCAGGTCCATCCTGCGGAACGGCAGCCACTCCATCGCGCGCCACGCCGTCACGGCCACAAACCCGAGGCCGCCGCCGTAGTCGAGCGAGTCGTGCAGGCGCGACGTGTGCGAGCGGTGCAGCGCCTCCGTGAAGACGGGCGAGTGGCGCGACCGGAACTTCGACTGCGTCTCCGGACCGCCGCAGTCCTCCAGTTGAGTGACGCCCTCATCCTCCTCCACCTGGGTCATGCCCTCCATGCTCTCCGGCGGCGGCGGCCGCACGGTGACGTGAACCTGCTCCTCGGCGCAGCCCATGGCCTGCATGCGCTGCATGTCGAACTCGAGACCGGCGGCCATGGCCTCGCGCACGATCCAGGTCAGCGGCACGTGGCTGGCGCTGCGGCGGTCATCGTCCACGATGGGCCAACCGCCGCCGACGTCGCCGTGGCCACCCGCGAACCACACCTCGTCAATGTCCTGGCCAAAGTCCTCCTCGTAGTCGGGCTTGTCGCGCTTGCCCTGCGCAAGGGGGGCGGCGCTGGCGGTGTTGCCGTTGCGGCGCCGGGTCTTGAACGAGTGCGTCCGCGGTGCCATACGGTAGGGCAGGTGCCGGTTGTTGCGCGACTTGGTACGTTTTGGAGGAACGCCGGTGGCGTCGGCTGGGGATAGGAGGTGCCCACCCTCGCGCTCGGAGGAGGGAGGAGGCTCGAGGTTGGCCGCGGCCACGCTCTCGTCGTCGGCGCGGGAGGTGTCGCCGCCGCCAACGTAGTGCTCGAAGCTCCTTCGGACGGGCTCCAGGAGCTGGCTGAGGTGGAGGTGGTGCGGTTGCCTGTCGTCGTGTGTCTTCTGGTACAGCAGGTCCTGGCGGAACTTGGCGCGGCGCTCGTCGATGCTCACGGCGTGGCGGATGACCTCGGCGCTGGTGCGCGCCGTGTAGGGGAACTTGGCGCGCTGCATCCAGGCGCTCTCGAAGCGGGACACAGAGTTGACTGTGTCAAACAGCCCGAGGAAGCGGATGCGGCCGACCGGCCGAGAGAAGGTCTCTCGAAAGTCCTTCATAAACTTGTACATCTTGTCCGTCTTGGTCTCGCCCTCGCTGATGTCGGAGCCGTCGTCCTCGTCGGCGTCGTTTGTGCTGCGGGACTTGCGACGGCACTGCCACTGCGAAAAGGCGCGCCAAGCGAACTTAATCATCTCTTCGTTGCCGTGGGACAGCAGACCGATGTAGTCGAGCATCTCCGCCAGGAATCGGGCGATGTAGGCGCCGCGGCTGAAGCCGAACATGTAGATTTGATCGCCATTCTTATAGTAGCGCATCAAGAACCGATATCCGGCCACGACATGCTGATCAAAACTCGTCCCAATGGCTGAGTCCTTGGCTTTTTGAAACTGTTCGGAGATCTTCCCCCAGGTGCCAGACTGTGACAGCGAGTCGGACGTGACATACGTCCCGATGCCAGCTTCAGCATCGTCGTCAGTACAAGTCGGTGCATGAGAAGAGGGACAGACGGCATAGCATACGCTGGTAATAGTGATACTGATTCTGCGAGCTGCGATCCAGCATGCGAAAGATCTTCAAGATGTTGCTGTCGCTGTCATCGCCGTGGAACTTGTTCCCAGTCCCGTCAAAGCATAGCACCAGTTTGCGCTGGCCAGGGGCCGGCGCGTCCACTGGGACATTCATGTTGGGTTGGTTTGTCTCTCGAGAAAAAAACGACTTTCGGGGGCATCGGAAAAGTTTTGTTGCACGAACTCCCACGTCAAGGGGTCAGATTGCCTCGCTTTTCGTCGGAGGCGGCACTGGACTCGGCATTTTAGCTTCATGTGTGAGACAGACCTTCCAGCCCAAGCGGGGTAGACATATCACGGTACAGGTACTTTGAGGGATGGTTGAGACACATGAGCTATTATTCATGATAATTGTTCATACATGTTCATCAATATTTCTGACTGAAGCCTGAGAGCCGATGCCCGAGTGACTGCTGCATGGGCTTGTCTAGGCTCAGCCAGCCACCACGGCCTGGCGCGCCTTCTGCTAATCCAGATAGAGCAGAAATGTTTCAGGCCTGAGTTCAGCGTTTTATTGAAGGCTCTGGTCGTTCGTGCTCGCATCTCAATCCATACCTGTACATTGTTTCCAGGTATGGGGATCACTGACGGGAATATACAAAGGTAGGGCGAGACTCGAGACAGGCACCGACAGCACTACTAGCTGGGTACGATTCGGAGTCTGTGTTTCTCATGCTTCAAACATCCAAGACGTCTCGTGACTCATTTCTTCTTGGCCCTTGGCACATATAAATTTGATGCTTAGCTGAATTGTCTTGGCCATGTTGCATTAGGCAGGCAGCGCCGCTCGTCTACACAATGGGCAGGTTTATTACTTGCCCAACTAGTTAGTCCGAGCGCCTGCCTGCATCTTTGAGCAGGAAAAAGAGTCGCATGCTGCTTTGGCATGTTACAAGAAAAACCGAATATTTTCGTGGGGTCAGACATGCATGTCTCGGAAGTTGCTTGCAGCTGAACAAAATGAGGCAATCTGGTTGGCTGCTAGTGGATACTCAGCGGCCTACGATGCAACTTACAGGGTATACAGCTGGATGTGAATCAGTTTATCTGCAGCTGAAATGCGCTCATCTAAAGAAACGGCCAATCAGAAAGATTCGATATCTAACAGTATCCATGCTGCCGAATGTAGCCAATGCGGCCCGGGCCGGCTCTCCACCCCGAGAGATTCTGGATTGTACTGGTACCAGTACTTGCGCATGAACATGTCCAAGGACGTGGCACATATATTCAGATTATTCGTACTGTGAGGCCAGACTTAAGAGGAGCAGACGACTGGGCGTGCGAAAATTTACGTGGAGCGAATTGTGCGCATCTCCTCATCGCTATTTCCTCATGTCCTCGATTGAACCTCACTCCTCCACAACTCAGCTCACGGCTTCTTTGCAGAAAGACATGTCGCCGCAGACGAATCAATCGGCCACGGCCGTCAATAGCAACAGCCGTCAAGCTACCAATGGACACTCAATTGGTGCGAATACTCAACCGCGACAGCCCTCGCCAAAGTATCCGAAGCCCTCCAAGATAAAGCCTGAGGGTAGCCAGTCGTATCTGTCAGGATTCAGGAGGCTCAGGGCGGCATCGCGCAGGCCGCTTCCTACCGAGATGGGAGATGGCACATATCGACTAATCAAACACCGCCCATCTATCATGCAAGATTTGCGCAGCATTACATTTGCGGGTATGTTGTATCATGCCCGTTGATCCCAGCCGCGTGGGCGCCGCACTAACACACCCAAGATCTCAAGACACTCAAAGACATCATCGCTGCTCAGTTGAAGCGCGAGAAACAGTCAGATGACAAAACCATGATTATGGAGCGCACGATCCAGCTTGTCGCCGGACTGCCCGACTACTCCAGACGCCAGGAGCTGTTGACGAATGATTTCATTGACAAGCTCTGGTACTCGCTGGATCACCCGCCGCTTCTGTACATGGGTGATGAATACCGATTCCGCCAGCCGGATGGATCCAACAACGTATGTGCAGCTGTGAAGCCATGCTTCAAATAAAAGAGGAGGAAGAACTGACTTGTACGCTGCGCCAGAACCCAATCATGCCTCGGCTTGGAGCTGCTGGCACCGCCTACTCTAGGACTTGCAAGCCGCGAGGTATGGGACTTGGTGCCCTTCCACCCCCCGACACCATCTTCGAGTCCATCATGGCACGCAACGAATTCAAGAAGAATCCCAATAATGTTTCTAGCATTTTGTGGTATTGGGCAACGATTATCATTCACGGTAGGTGAGCTCTCCCCCGATGTCACCCGTGACAGACGCTGACAGCCTTCAAGACCTGTTCAACAGCGATTCCACAGACGGCAATATCAACAATAATTCTTCCTATCTAGACCTCTCCCCGCTCTATGGAAACAGCCAGGAAGCTCAAGATACCATTCGAACCTTTCGAGACGGAAAGCTCAAGCCTGATGCATTTGCAGACAAGCGCATGCTAGGCAACCCGCCCGGTGTCTGCATCATTCTCGTCATGTTCAATCGCTTCCACAATTACATTGCTGAAAATCTAGCTGCCATCAACGAGGGTAACAGGTTCCCACAGCCTCCTCCGAACCTCGCCCCAGAGCAGGCCGAGGCCGCGTGGAAGAAGTACGACGAGGAATTGTTCCAAACTGCGCGACTGGTGACGTCCGGGCTGTACATCAACATCACCCTCATCGACTACGTCCGCAACATCATCAACCTGAATCGGGTTGACACGACGTGGACTCTTGATCCGAGACAGGAGATGGGCGTTGCAGCCAATACGGGAGAAGGCTCCCACAGCGGTGTCGGAAACTCAGTCTCGGCCGAGTTCAATCTCTGCTACCGATGGCACTCGTGCATCTCAAAGAAGGACGAGGATTGGTTGCATGACTTCTTCTCAACTCTTGTGGGCAACACCGAGCAGGAACTCGACTTCGCCACATTGATGAAGGCGATGAAGAAGCTCGAGATGATGGTACCCGAGGACCCGGGCGAGTGCGTGTTTGGCGGTTTCAAGCGAGGAACAGACGGCCGCTTCAACGATGACGAGCTTATGCGGGCTCTTACTGAGGCCATTGAGGAGCCTGGTGGTGCATTCGGCGCAAGGAACGTACCCAGGATCATGAAGCCGATCGAAGCGCTCGGTATCATCCGCGGCCGCAAGTGGCACGTCGCGAGCCTCAACGAGTTCCGCAAGCAGTTCGGCCTCAAGGCGTATGATACCTTTGAAGATATCAACTCCGACCCGTACGTTGCCGACCAGCTACGCCACCTGTACCAGCACCCTGACAACGTGGAGCTGTATCCGGGCATCGTCGCCGAGGAAGCCAAGCAGCCGATGGCGCCCGGTGTCGGCATCGCTCCCACCTACACCATCTCGCGCGTCGTCCTGTCCGACGCGGTGTCGCTCGTCCGGGGAGACCGGCACTACACGACCGACTATCACAGCGGCGCGCTGACCAACTGGGGCTTCAACGAGGCCAGCTACGACCTCAGCGTCAACCATGGCTGCGTCTTCTACAAGTTATTCATCCGGGCCTTCCCCAACCACTTCCGGGAGAACTCCGTGTACGCACACTACCCGATGGTGACGCCGGCGGAGAACCGCAAGATTCTGGCCAACATGGGCCGCGCCGACTGGTTCTGCTTCGACCGCCCCGTGCGCGTACCGGACCGCGTCGACGTCATCTCGCACCGCGCGTTCCGGCACGTCCTGGGCAACGAGCTGAAGTACCACCCACCATGGGAGCAGGGGCTCGGCTACCTGATGAGCGAGCGCAGCCTACGGACGCTGCTCGCATCCGGGCCGGACCTGCACGCGATCCAGCGCGCCTCCGTCGGCACCACGCTGTTCGGCGACGGATGGAAGGCGGCGGTTAAGACATTCTACACGGACATGGCGGAGCGGCTGCTCACGGAAAAGTCGTACCGGCTGGCCGGGCAGGCGCAGGTGGACATTGTCCGCGACGTGGGAAACCTGGTGCACACGCACTTCGTGGCGCGCGTCTTTAACATCCCGCTCAAGACGGCGACGCATCGCAGCGGCGTCTTCTCGGAGCAGGAGCTGTTCCAGTTCCTAACAATGATCTATATCTGCGTCTTCCTAGACTACGACCCGGTCAAGTCGTTCCCCCTGCGGCGTGCGACCAAGGCGGCGGCCGCGCAGCTGGGCGGCCTGATCGAGACCAACGTCAAGCTGGGGCTGACACTTGGACTGAGGGGCTTGTACGTGCAAAAATTCAAGAACGACGTGCTCGCGCAGTACGGCCACCAGCTCATCAAGGCGCTGGCCAAGACGGGGCTCAACGCTCACGAGATTGCCTGGAGTCAGATCCTGCCGACGGCCGGCTCGATGGTGCCGAACCAAGCCCAGATGGTAAGTTGTTAAATGTGGCGAGAAATGAGAATGCTATAGTAACCAACTCAGTTTGCCCAATCCGTTGACTGGTACCTCTCGGGAGACGGCGAGCCATACCGCGCCGAGATCGAGCGCATCGCCTCGCAGGACACCAGCGACGCCGGCGACGCGCTGCTCCTAGGCTACGCGATGGAGGGCGTGCGCATGGCCGGCACATTCAGCCTGTATCGCTCAGTCGCCGACCACGACACCGTCCAAGACGACCATGGCAACCCGTTCCCTGTGAAGCGCGGCGACTCCGTCCTCATCTCCGTCACGCCAGCCACGCGCGCCCATGGCGGCGAGCTGCCAGACCCGGACGTGGTAGACCCGAGGCGCCCGCTGGACAGCTACGTGCAGCACGGGCTCGGCCCGGAGCTGTGCTTGGGTCGCGAAGTGGCACAGACGGCGCTGGTGGCACTGTTCCGCGCGCTGTTCCGCAGGAGGAACGTACGCAGGGTACCAGGCCTGCAGGGCGAGCTGAAGCGGCTGCTGAAGCCGGATGGTAGCCACGGGTTCATGACGGAGGACTGGGGCACCATCTGGACGTTCCCTACCAGCATGAAGCTTATGTGGGATGACGAGTAAAGACGGTCTTCGTTTTCGCCTAATCATTCCCAGCCAGGATGAAGAGGGGGAGTGAAGTGTAGCTACAACTTCTGTCAACGTTTCATTTTATAATATCCAACTTTGCCTTGACCACTAAGATCACATAGTCTTTCAAATACTACTACGAATATTCATTTCAATTTCACGTGAGCCTACAACCAGGCCTATTGATAAGGATATATTATGCTTTCGCGCCAGCCGTCTAACCAACACACCGTCAAGCGAGGGCAAAAAAGTTTGCAAAGAACATGTGACGGCGTTCTTTTTCTTTTTCTTTTATTGTCAAACTCAAAGTTTGAATTCCGAACTCTATAGCAATGAGAAGCCAAGTCGCCGCCCGCTGCCTTGTTGGAAACCTCTTCCTAATCCGTCCTCACTCTCACTCTCATCAAGCCTCGTCGAGCATTCTCCCACTGAGATCGCCTATCATGCTCCTCTTTCTAATCATGGCAGGCTTCCTGTATCTTGGCAGCATCGCCAAGCATGCCGCCTTACCAGTGGCAGCACACGCGCTTCCGCCTACCGACGACGCATCTGGCATGGCGATCCCGCCGAGTCGAGATCGGTGGTATCGCGCCGTCGACGGGCTCCGCCCACCACAGAACGGCGGCCTGATCAAAATTCGGGCTGCGCCAGGCAACCTATCATCGATGCTGCGCAACCTGGACTGGTCAGACCAGATCCTGTATCGTACTCTCGACGCAAATGGGACGTCAACTTGGGCCGTCACCACCGTGCTCGTCCCCAAGACTGCGGACCCCGCGCGGCCCGCGGTCGTGTCTTACCAAATGTCCCAGGACTCGGCCTCTCTCGATGCCAGTCCCAGCTATCTGCTATCGACGGCCAACGAGAATGTACGATATGACATTCTGGACCGCATGTTGCTCAAAGGTTGGCAAGTGGTCGTCCCAGACTACGAGGGTTCGTTGGCCGCCTTTGGAGCGGGCAAACTGGCCGGACACGCGACGCTCGACTCCATCCGCGTCGTCCACTCCCTCGCCGACGAGCGGTATGGCATGAACAAGACCAAGGCTCTCTACTCCGCCTGGGGATATTCCGGCGGCGCTCTCGCCACAGCCTGGGCATACAAGCAATGGTTCGGCCACGCCAACGAGCTCGGCGACCGACTCACCTCCTACGTGATTGGAGGCTTGCCCGCCGACCTCCTCGAGACGCTGCATTCGCTAGACGGAACGATGGGCAACGGGCTCGCCATCAACGCCATCTCCGGCCTGATGAGCCAGTACCCCCAGTTCAACGAGACGATCCGCTCCCACGCCAAGACCACTGGCCCGCTCAACATCACCGCCTTTGACCGGGTCAAGACGCAGACGTTCAGCGAGTCCCTCATCAGGTACGCTCGCCATAACATCAGTGACTACTTCGTCGGTGGCCTGGACGCGGTGGTCCGGGAATTACAGAAAGTCGGTTTCGACAAGGAGGTTTCGCTGCTGGACCTGCCGGAGGCGCTGCCGCGCGACCTGAACAAGCACGCGATCCTGCTGTACCACGCGCTCGCCGACGAGGTCGCCCCGATCAGGCCCGTCGACGAGCTAGTCAGAAACTGGTGCAATGCCAGCCACAGGATCGAGTTCCACCGGCTGCAGGGAGGCGGACACGTCCAGAATGGTGACAGGGGGATAGAATCTGCGATAGAATGGATCACGGAACGGTTCAGGTCGGGCTTCGAGACGGGAGCGCAGGGAAGGATAATACCATAGTCGAGGAGGGCGTGCAGAGTTAGCCATAGATCAAATGCCTAATAACTGAGGATATTAGCAGACATCTTTTAAAAGAAAGAAAGAAGAAGAAAAGTCTCTTTAAAACTTTATAATTATATAGATTATAAATAAGATTCTACTTTAGTTAGCTTATTAAACTATTAACGCAACTCTAGAATCTTAGCCACTATTAGGTAGAGAGAATGCAAGTTAGTACAGTGGTCGAGAAAGCAAAATGGCTCTAATGGATTTTTTAGGTCGTATACACTAACGTCGGCCACCCACATCTTAGTACCACCTACATCTTAGTAAGTTATTATAAGTATAAATATTAACTATAAGGTTATAAAGATAATCTAGATAAAATTTAAATAATTTAAAAACTAATACTTAAAGTTATTAAGGACTGGCCCTATAGCTACTATAAGTAGGCGTTAATATAAGGTTTAAATTAAATCTCTTATAGAGGAAGAGGTAGGGAGGTTATAACGAAGTGGCTACTATACATAAGGGGGAGTCCCCCCCCCCTATTAGCCCTATGCCTTAGGCCACTAGGCTATTAGTCTAGCTAGGCTGTGGCCTAAGCTCTTATATAGCCCCCCCTATTATAGTTATAGAAAACCCCTCTATAGTGCCCCTTAGTTATTATAATATTACCCTCTATTAGTTATCTTATTTAGAGTCCCTTTTATAATAGCCTTATCTTTCTTTATTACTTATTTCTTATATATATACTACTATAGAGAGTATTCTTTTAGGTTAGTAGTAGTCTATTATTTATTCTTTCTAATATAAGTATTATATTAATATACACTTAATAGCCTCTTTTTAATCCTAAGGAGGGTGCTACTTTATAGATAGCTCTTTATTAGGAGGTTATAAAAGTAAGCTATAAGTAAAATACTAGTCCCCCCCTTTATTAATACTTAATATTATTTTATTTTCTTTTAAAATTCCCTCCCTTTTAAACCTTTTCTTTTTATTATTATTCTTCTAGTAAGTAACTTTATTATATCTCTATTTATATTTATTCTTAATTATTACTTACTATTCTTTATTTATATTCTAAATCTTTTTTAACCCTAAATAACTTATATTATAATAAACACTACTACTATATTACTATTATCTCCCCCTCCTAAGGGGAATAATAAGGTTAGACTAAAAGGCTATAAGGGCTTATACTATACTTAAGGTAGTATTCTATTATAGAGTAACTCTAATAATAAGTAGTAGGACCTTATTAAAGAAGTCTAATTTCTTTACTTTAACTACCTTTTATTAATAAGGATACACTTTACTTTATAATATAAAATAATTACTAATAGTAGTTATACTTAGTACTCTATATATAAAAAGCCCTATAATAGATATTTATACTTTTTTACTATAAGCCTATTTTTATATTAACTTATTTACTATACTATTTCTTTTATTACTAATTAGAAGGTAATTAAAGTTACTATAGTAAGTAAAATAAGTAAGTTAGGCTTAAAAAAAGTAAAGTCTACCCTTACTATAGTATTAGTACTTACTTAACTTTATAATATTATAGTCTACTTTAAGGCTAACCCACTCTATACTAATATTATTAAAGTACTTACTACTCTTATACTTATTATTACTTAGGATACTAAGTCTACTATATTAACCTTAGTTAGTACTTAAAACACTATTATCTTTAAAGGTAGTAGTAGCTACTATAGTACTAGTTAGGACCTTATATTAATAGTATCCTCCTTTAACTTAACCTTATTTAGAATCTATAGTAAGATCTAAGCTCTTAATATAAGTGCCCTTACTATTATTACTATACTTTATTAATAGTATTCTAAACTAACTACTAGACTAAGGCTAACTATTACTATAAGTTTAATATAATTATAGTTACTTTTAACACCTATCTTCTTAAGGGTATAATAGCCCTCACTATAAGCTAGTAGATACTATATTAGGCCCTTAAGGCCCTTAAACCTAAGTTACACTTCTCCTATAATAGTTATACTTATAATAATAATTATTTATACTACTACTACTTTAATTAGTAATCCTATTAGTATAGACACTATAGACACTATAAGTGATTATACACTTTAATATATTAGAATATCTTTTCTTAAGTTTATAGTTAATATAAGTACTTATCTTACTATTATAAGTAGGAGTCTAGGTTATATATCTTTAATATAGAGTTAATTTCTTCTAATAATAGTACCTCCTTTTTTAATAGACTATTATAAGTTTATTATTTTTATTATCTAGTATATTTATATTAATATTATTTTTCTTATATTTTATTTTTATTTTTCCTTTAGTATAGGGTTTTATAGTATTAAAGAGTTTTTATATTTTTATATATTCTTTTTTAATAAGTAGTTTTATAAGTATAGATTATATATACTAAGGTTCTTCTAAAGTATAGTTCTATTAATACTATAAGTCTATTAAAGAGTTTTTATTATAATAAATAAATTCTTTTTATTTACTACTATCTTATTATTCTTTTATTAATATCCTATATTACTATTAGTTCTAATTATACTTTTTCTATAAGTATACCTCTTATAGTCCTATATTATAGTATATATCTCCTTACTCTATTTTAAACTTATATAGTACTATAGTACTCTATAGTGTATTAAAGGGTTCCTATATAGGGTTATAATACTCTTACTATTTTACTAATACTTTATATCTACCTCCTCTTCTTTATATATTTTATACTTAAAGGACTATTGATACTTTAAACTCCTCCTTTAGACTATTACTATTTTTATTATTAGTAAGTTATAGTTTAAGTGTTTAATCCTCTTATAATTAGAATAAAAGGGGGTTATTCTATACCCTCTTAACTAGATCTATATAGAAAGTATTATAGAGGTCTCTTAGTATATTAAGTATTATATTTAATAGTAATAGTATTATTATTACTATATATTTTATTTAAACTTAATTAAGCTTCTTTAATAGTCTTAAGGTTATAATATTATAGAGTAAGAACTATACTTTATTTTTAACTTAGTACTAGTTAGTTAGATACTATAAATAGTCTACTACTTCTTTTATATATTATTATATATAAGTAATACTAGTTTAGACTAACTTAATACTATTATAAATATAGTTAAAGAATACTTTAGTCTTTATTATTAGTGTTTTCTTTTAATATAGTATAGTGTTTTTTAGTTTTTTTTAGACTACCTTTAGTTAGAACCTATATAATAATATATTTAGACTATAATCTATAACTAAAGAATCTTAATTATTAAAGACTATTTATACTATTAGTAGTTATTTAGACTAGTTATACTAAGAGTATAAAATAAGTACTTATAGTACTATTTAGACTTCTTAGTTTACTTACTTAGTACTTTTATCTATTTATAGGTAAAATACTATTAAAAGTATCTACTTAGTGTCTATTAGTAAGTATATTATATACTAGAATAATCCTACTTAATCTAAGCTTTAGTTATTTATAATTACTATAAAGAAGCTAAAGTACTACTACTAGTAGTAAAAGAACTAGTGTGTATAGGCCTCTACTATTATAGATATTATTACCTCTAACTAGATATACTTTAATAGATAGTCTATTATTACTATTAAGTACTATAACTCACTTTTAGTTTAAACTAAAAGATCTATTATAAAGTCTACTAAAATCTATTATTAGTACTTATTATCCACTAGTATTAAGTATAATAGGCCCTACTATTAGTATTAGGATATATATACTTTATAATATAAGTAATTATATATATACTACACTATATCTTAGGATATCCTTAGCTAGTAGAAGTTATATATTAGTATTATAAATATTATATTCTATCCTAAGTAGACTACTATTAGTAATATATAGATATCCTTAATTAAATAAGTTATTAAGGGTTCCTAGGATAGGATCTATAGACGCCCTTAGTATTAGAGATTTTATAATAGTAATAGTAAATAATCCCCTACTTATTCCTTTAATATAGCCTTAGTAGAGAATTATCTAACCCCCTCCTATATATCCTATATCTTTACTATATATAATAGGTTAGTTACTAAGGCCTCTTATTATAATATATTTAGTTCTTTATCTTAGAATAGTATTAGTAGTATTTTATATTAGGTTATAAAGCTAATAACTATAATATTAACTAACTAAACTATTATATAGGGGGGGTTCTATAGTTAGTTACTATATATCTCCTACTAACTTAATATATCTAGTTATTAAGTAAGGGGGCTTAAGTAGTAGTATAAGTAGTAATAAAACTATAAAAGAAACTTAGCCTAATATACTTATTATTTAGAAAAGAGGTAGGGTTTTATAAAGTATTCTAGGTTTTTATAGTCTATTAATATTATAAAAGAGGAAAGCTAACCCTAGAGTTCTATTACTTAGACTTTAAAGTAGACTACTATTATAAAGAGCTCCTTATTATAAATAGTATAATTCTATTCTATAGTAGATAGTTTTACTAAGTAATAGACTACTAAGTATAGTATACTATCCTTATCTATCTATAATAGATAGTCTCTTAGGCTTACTCTAAAGTAGTCTATCTTAACTATTAATTCCCTTATAGGGTCCTAAATGTAACGGTGGCTCTTCTCTAATCCACAGTAAATCTGTTTCTT